ATCAGTTGGAAGACTCTCCTCGTAAGAGAATTTGGAAGTATTATTCTTTGACTTTTCATTATTTAGAAAAGGAAAATATGAATATAATATAAGTTAACACGAAAGAAATTGCTTAAAAGTAACTTTTTAACTTTCTAAATTATTTATTTATTATCAAGATGAATTGAACTCTTCAACATGTGACAGTTTCCGTTTAAGTATCTTAACTGGCTTCAATCATTCAGTTGCCGTCATATAAACCAGAACATGTGACAAGTTCTTCTTACATAATCTGATGTCAATGAATATCTAATTTTATCCTCCTCATTAGTTTCAAATCTGAATCTTCCAGTATAGTGAAATGAAGCTGCTAGAAACTTAATGCTAAGAGAAAATTAACTGTTCAATAATTCATTTCTATATGAAGAGAATGCATCATGACATTTAGTTTACATGAAAAGAGCTAGGTAAATAAATTTTTCTGAATCAATTCCTCTCATTTATTCAACTAGAAGCTGTCATACACTGAATCGAAGTGGCATAGTTATAATTGTATCACAAGACTTGTCATTAGAGATATGGACAAATCTATGTTGAGTAAATAAAGTATTTTTATGTCTGACATAAGCCGCTTTGACTTTGGATTTAGAGTTTTCTATTCTTAAGAAATTGACGACGAAAGATAAATACTAATCTTTATTTTTGTTTCGTCATAATCAAAACATATTATCAAAAATTTATTTTATTTCAATGTTAGTCCTAATGACATGAGAAATAAACATCAAATCTTTTTTTTTTATATTTCTTATTCTCACAGTCAACAAAGTTTTTGTTTAATTCAAGTTCTAAATATCAAAAGAAGAACTAAACTACTGACAACAAAAAAAAATTATAGATCATTTTTATTCTAAACATTAGGCTGAAATTTCTGACAACACAGAATAAGAAAATCAAAATAAACAGATGTTTCAATTTCAGTTTATTAAATGTTCAAAATAGTGCCCATAATATTTATACAAAGTTCCATTCTTTCAAACAATTTGTCAAACGTTTTTTTCTAACTATTCTCAACCAGAACAAGCATGTCACTTGTTGTACAAAATTGGAATTAAAACAAACTGTGACTTATCATCTATGTAGTTTGTTCCCTGTGTACAAGGTGTTAGCATCCAAATTTTTTCATGTCAAAAGGGGTCAAGTTTTTTTCCCAAAAAATTAATAAAACTTGATGTTGTCCAAATGCACACATTTTATAAACACGAAGTCACATTATAAATTCCATTGTACAGAGTTAAGAGTGTTGAAGATTCTTAAGCTTGACCATAAACTTAGAAAAATAAAACAACATTTATTTAGAATAATATTGTTTGGAATTTTTTCAAAAACATTTGTACAACACTTTAAATTTTCTCTTAAGGTACTTTCTGCCATTAGGTTTCTTGATATCATGAGAACTAACTATTGTTGGTTTATTAACAATAATAATGCACACAGAAAATGTAAAGAACTGAACAACTAAATAGATGCTTTGAATAAATTGTGAACGACATCATCTTAAATAACTGTTATTGATATTTTCTCATATTTATGGTGAATACTAAGAAGAAAGTAATTAGATAGTAGAAATATTATTATTAGATCCGATGTATAGCTTACTACATTAATTCTTGAGTCAACATTAAGGAAAAATTATTTGACAAAAAAAACAACAACTTTAGACTCATTTAAAATTGAAGATTTAACATCATCTGACTAATTTATATTGCATAATGAATATCTCTCTCGACCTTATAAACTAATTACTCATTGAAACCAAATAATATACACATTGATACTATACGGATATCTCTCTATATTTATAATTGAATATTAAAAAATTCATAGATATTAAATACGAGACACTGCCTTCTGTCAAAAATGCAGTACTTAATGGGTGTCTATCTTCTATCACTGCAAAGTTATTATTACTCGAAGATTAATATTTCTGTGTCAAGAAATATATATTTGATAGAAAAATTAGTACATATATTTTAATAAGAGGTATGTTTTTTTTCTAATCTTACGGATTGACTGTAAGATAAAAGAGCGCAGAATTGTATTAAGAAATAAATCTCTGTTTCATACTGAAAATAACCTATACAATGAACGAAAAGACTTACACTTTTTTTAACAAGCAAGTCTATCCTCTGTTATCACGAAGTGGCTACTCAAAAAAAGCGCACATGATGAGTGAACAGTAACTTGTTCTTATATCCTTACGTATTCGTAGGATGATAACAATGAAAAAATAGATATATATTTAAAAAAATGCCTTTCTATCCTCAAAAATAGAATATTAAACGCAGTGGTGGATTTGGAAGGGGAGAACGATCGCTTCCCTTCCAAAAGATATATCTTGATTTTTCTCAAATCAGAAAGGCTTAAAAATAAACTAATACTACTTTTAATGAATTTCAAAACACGTTTTATGATCATGATCATCCTCTTCTTCTCTAAAGCGTGCCCATCATAAAAATTCTAAATCCTCCACTGATTAAACGGAGAAAAATGAGCTTACATTACAAAGAAATATGTCTGTTCTTATATTTTCATGGATTGACTATTCCGTGAGAAAAAAATATGACGTTTTCTATAATTATGAGATTACAGAAAGTAGTGTCACAAGTGTTGCGCTGATACTTGTTTTGATAATGCTTATCAAACTCATCTATGGTAATAATTCCTATTTCAGAAATGAAATATTTATCAACTGTTTTATTGCTCATACATATTTTCTTAACAGATCGAAGCATAATCATTTTTATTACAAGTATTTTAAAATTCAATACCAATCTAAATGTCTTTTTTATATTTTGATCAAATACATCCGAAAGTATATATCTGCTTAATTATGCTGAAATGTTTGCTACGAATTGTTAAAGTAAATAGTTAATAAGAGTGAATTTTCAAACGAAAACAAAATCTAGTTTGGTGTGGAAAAAAATTTACATGAAAAATTTTTAGTCCATAGATGCTCAGAAGTTCAAGCTTTTGATAAACAATGATTGGTTTTTTATTAGAATAGCTCTTCAATCACCTTTGTGCATCAATGTAACTAAACTGTACAGGAAAAAAATTTTAAAAAACTTTAAAAAAACTAGAAAAAATCGACAAAAACATGACATTTTGTGCGTTTTCGGAAATATCTAATCAAGACGAATCAAAATCGAATAAAATTCGCTAGTTTATTTGTGAAACATGAAAAATACATAGTTTATTTACAACAGATTCGAGACAATTCTCAATACAATAGTTGTAATCTCTAGTCCTACTCTTATATGCACTATGTAGAAGAACAGAACAACTTGATATGAAGAGTATAGAAAACGAGGATTTCCTTTGTTCAAATCTACAATAGTCGTTTATGATTCATCTCACCTGTTCAGATTACGTTAGTTAACTTGTGCCCAGCATACGTATGATAAACTTATGTCTCCTCACTTGTAATAGTATTACATGGTCACGAAATTTCGCCAAATTTCCAAGAAAAGTTCTAATGCATGCTTGCATTTGTTCATCATTGAGTTGATGAGACACCCAACATCATATTTGGACAATCGTTGATTATTTGTTCTATCGTATTATATTTGTCAGATCGGAAACTCGACGATCAGATCAAGGATTATTATCATAAGTATCTTCTTTTTTTCATGAAAATGCTTTGCTTACCGTGGAACTGCTCTATATGATGGAGAGTTAGATCCCAATGCTATTGTAATTTTCTCGTGAATAGTCTTTGCATCTATTCCTAAAATCTGATGGTCTCAAAATCCCGCAAAAACTTTTGATTTTATCGCGATTATTCAAATAATACTTCTGATGATCCGACTTGGTTGTAGTATGAGGATCTACGACTATGATCGAGTCTCAACACGCATACCACCATCGTTTACCATCGTAATTGTACATGTTTCTTGTGAATGAGGAGAGAGATGGTTTCTTTCTCCTCACCCATCGTAAATAATACTTACTGTTCATTCAAGTGATCAGATGATCTATTGAGGAAATCATTTTAGATGATAAATTGTTTTTAAGTTTAGACTCGAAGTATAAAGTAGAACCCAGCTAGATATGAAAATTTTCAAAAGGAAGAATTCTCTTAGACTTTCCTCCTAACGTTATTGTCATTTTATGAGAATTTTAGACTATGATATAGTTTGTACTAAAAAATCGAATGAAGAGTATTTCGATCTGAACTTTAGCTCAGATGCTGCTCTACTTGTGAATAGAATTTTCTGTAAATTTTACTGGAAGATCATGTCTCCTTCACGATATATTGAATTTCAGATTTTTTGAGAATTCAATACTTCACGATGGAAACACTCTTTTGATCTGACATTTTCAAAGCATTCTAGTCAAAAGTAAACATATGTGTGAGCCAAGTTTAAGATCGAAACGCCATCATTCTATTTGTTGATTCACAGTGTCATAGCCTAAAACTCGCATAAAATGTCTATAATTCTGGAAGGAAGGTTTAATGGCATTCTTCTTTCTGAGGCTTTTGATGTCTCTTTAGTGTCTAGCTAATGCTTAGAGTTTGAACTCAAAATAGATTTATCACTTGAAACGGTTTTTTCATAAATAGAAAACAGTCAAATATATATTTATTTTGATACAATAACACTTATTGATTGACATGAGATAGTTCAAACTTCAATATAGTATTGATTGAATTCATGATTCATTAAGACTTATTATATAAATTGTCATAGACAAGACATTCTACTATTTATTCATATATCATACTCTTTAACGTCGGCTGATTTACAAATTGCCAGCAATGTTACCTACATATCGATCAATTCTATTGTTTTAATATTTTTGCCCACGAACGCGCGCATTTTTTTTTTTTGTTTTGCATATTTCTTACATTATACTCGACCGAAAACAAATAACTAATAACATATATAACATTTTTTTACTTTGCACCAATTTTTTTTTTGTCTTTCATCACTTCCATCAAATATTGCAAAATAAAAAGAATGGTCTATCGTGATCGTCAAGGTTTATCACCAACGACTGATCCAATTCAAATATCAAATAATCGTGATCGTTATTTAGATAATTGTTTTTTATTATGTATTAATCGTAATGATGATACAGACATACCTGAGATTCATCGATTAGAAAATAATAATCTTATACGAGAATTATGTAATAAAAATCCATTAAATCAAATTAAATCACAACAACAAAAATCAAAACTTTATATACAAAATCAACGTGGACCAAAAATTGAAAATTATGATTATGAAAATGATAATGATGATGATGATGATGATGACGATGATGATAATATAATAAGATTATCAAAACAACAAAAAGATCGTGATAATATTTATCGACGAAAACAAAATCCATATGATCGAGATTCTCAATTCATAACAAATCGCTCAAAATATCAACGAGATAATACAATTGATAATTACTATACTAATGATCAATATTCACGATCAGCTAAATATAATTATCATCGTAATGATTATAATATCATGCAACATAGTGATGATGAATTATCTGTATATGAAGTAAGTTTATTATAATTATATTAATATAATTATTTTACTTTAGGTATATGTACCAACAAATACATTAAATCGTTTAGGAGATAAACGAATAAATAATAATATGGTTTTAATTGATTATGAAGATGTATCAATGTTGCGTGACATTCGACAACCAACATCACCTTATGGATATCCGCAACAAGTATGAAATCAAAAAAGAATTATATTCTTAATTAATAAAAAAAATACTAATATAACAGCAATATTTAACTATAGAATATAACTTCACAATATAATAACTACGTACCTTTAAATCAATATAATGAATATGATTCACAATATCCATATGATTTATCATCAGATTTAACAAGAATTCGTGTTGGTCAACAACAATTTTATCAAAATAATCCATTACAACAACAGCAACAACAACAGCAACAGCAACAGCAGCAACCACGATTAGGTAATTGTTATTGAAATGATGAATTTCAACCAGCTTATAAGTTAAAATGATCTATTGAATTTATTTTTAGACTCACCACAATCTGGTCCATTTTTACCGACAAATATTTCAATTGATCAGTCAAATGCAATTAATATTCGTCGTCATATTTATTCACCATCTCAACTTCCACAAGGCCTTACTGAAGGACAACTTGTTATGTTATTACAAAAAGGTAGTCAATATCAACAAATTAAATCTGGACCAACAGGACAACAAACACAACTTTCTCCTATTCAAAAAGAAGCACAAGTATATATTTGTTAGCGACTAAAGAATTCTATATATATATATATATAATCATTATTTAGCCATCATCAACAACAGCAGCAGCAGTCGCTCCTCAAGCTACCGTAGTACCAAGCACTCCTTTGGAAGCTTTAAAAAGTCCTTCATATGGTTTGTTTTCTTCTATAATAGATGCCAGAGGAATACTGAATCATTTTTGTCATTATGTAATCAATGAGAATTTCAAAAATGATTGGTTCGATCTAGAAAATCTTCTATTTAAAATTCTCAGAGCTCAATTACCATTGGGGAAGTATTAAAAATATGCACAGATATGCAAATTTCAAAACTGTATCTGCTTAAAATTCGAAAAAATTCCTCTCCATGTCAATTATAGATCCTGTATGAATCTTTAACATCATCAGAAAATTCTGTATTTAGCCATGCATTTTTCATAACTTCGTCCTTACACTTGTTTTTTTAGAAAAACTTTCAAATAGACTTGAAAAAAATCATATTTATATAGCCATCTTTCGCACTCTTCACTTTGCTTAACTGCAGATCAATAAAACATCAATGAGAATCCCTCGAGTTATACTTTTATTGGCGTATTCAAAATGGGTGCGTCTTTTACCGGTCCAATTGTAGATTATGAGTATATGTGGATATTAAGAACGACTGATGAGCCTATAAACTATTTGAATCGATATATTGATCCCGTCGGATCCAAAATTTTCAGACACAGACTCGATCTGCTGGGCTCTATCGATGGAGTACATAGTTTTTTACATAGTCATATACGAATGTTGAATATATAAATTCGCTCGAAACGGCAACTTAGATTATTTACGAACAAAACAGAAAAAGCACAGTGCAATTTTGAATACACTTTCGATAATAATTGAGCTCTATCAATTTCAAATAATATGTTTTGAGCGAGTTTATTCTGAAATTTTCATTGATTACATAAAGATAAAAGTAGCTCATTATGTCTGCGTCACTCGTTAGATTAATCTATTTGTTTTTTTTTTAAATAATTTTAGTTCTATCATCACAAATAAAAATGTCTCAAGTACCGTGAGTGTGTTTTATATAAATTTCTTTTAATGATTTTCATATATTTATTGATTAGACCACAAATAGTTGATCATCCGTTAACAAATGATGATAAAATTTCTATCGTAGATGAAATAACTAAACCAATGAGTACATTAAATACAAGAAATTCAATAAAACCATCAAAAGATATTGTTGAATCAAAAGAAGACAATAAAGAAAAGAAAAAAGATAGAATAAATGATGAGTAAGTTTTAATCACAATAAAACAATTTTCTATTTTAATAAAAAATATTCTCTTTCTTAGGAAAAAAGATAAAAAAACAGATAAAGAGTATGTATTAAAATTATTTTATTTTTTATTCATATTACATTCTTACGCATTTTATTCTAGTACTAGTCATAAAAAAGATAGTAAAAAAGAAAAATCAAGTGGAAAAGATGCAAAGAAAAAAAAGAAATAATTCTCAAATGAACATGTTTTCTTTTTTTAAACCAATAAATAAACATTTTTTTTTTTCTTATTCTTTATCATTTACCTAAAATATATGATTGTCATAGGATAATTATCATTATTTAAATAGGGCGGAGTTTAACGATCAATTCATTCGAATAATATAAATACAGAACAACTGATCAATCTAATGAAATAATAGACTCTTATAATATGAGAAGTGTGCGTGTATGTTTGAGAGATGGCATCTTCCTCACGGCGAATTTCTTTTGGTGTATATTCAGTCTGTTTCCGAGACAGGACACATAGATATGAATCGAAAATATCCAATTGATGAATGTTAGTCAGCTGCTAGCCTCTATGTGTCAGGGTATATGTTTCGTCGGCAATATACTTTCACCTTCTTTTTCTTTTGTTTTTTTTTCTTTTTTACCCATAATTACAAGTAAAAGAGATAGAGACACTCATCGATCTCTCTTTATGTCAAATATATATGCACTTTGAGTTAAGAAATGAGTGGGAGGATCTTGTCAAAGAAATGAACAGTTTTAATGATTAATTCATATTATATGTACAAGGTTGTGTATGAATGTTAGTTTTTAAAAGCGTGAAACATATGTACTTAAAATAGGATTCAAGAACAGACTAGATTATTTAAAAAAAATTGTTCAGTTTAAATTTTCACACCTATTAATAGCATATAGCTAAAAAGAAATCATTAAACATTAGGATTAGTTTTGTACATCAACACGCAGATGTTTCGTTTCTTTTTCTTTTTGTATCAATTTATTATCTTGAACTCGCGTCAAAGTAAAATAACAACGGGATACAATTGAAACAAACTATTCGCGTTGTTGTTCCGCTAAGTGTCTATCTATATCTCGGTAGATGTAACACCCCCAACTACCCATCTGTCTGTCACTCGTTTCCTTAGTTCGTTTCTTTTGCACGTCAATAACGTGCAGCATATCTAATATAGAGCCAAAAAAGAAGAAGAAGAATGTGTTAGAGCCGGTAACGCCCACCCTAGGGCATACGTATATATGGCTCATTTCTATCAAGAGAAGAAGCCTTTTCTTTTCACAAATGACCTAATTATCATTTTATTAAAGAGAGAAAATGAATAACAATAGAAAGAATAAGGAAAAAGTAACGTATGGTCTAGGTGATAATTCTCATAAGGAATGTCTTTTCTTTCAATCGTTTTATAAATATGAATTAATATTGCGTAGGATTTATGAGTTCGTTCAAGGGTGACAGTTGCGTTCGTTCGTTCGTTCGCCTGTCGATTAACTGTCATATAATGGACTCGCACTCTCACTCATCGTCTCGAAAGTGATTTCATTTATATACATACATACATATAGATATATTCAAAGTATACCTGTATAGTATGTCACATTCGTCTTTTTCCCCATATTTTTTTTACGTTCTCGATTAATTCAATGATTGATCATATATATAGATAAACAAATATCAACGCTGTCAAGCAAGCAACTATAGCCAACATAATGAGAATGTTTCTTTTTTTGTGACATTTAGAAAAAAAAAGCAAAGAAAAGAAAAGAAAAACTTTCTTATTATTTCTGTAGAATTTTTTCTTCATCGATCTATTTGAAATATTTAAATTGCGGAATTATTTTTGTGACAATCATCATTTACTAATATATGCTCTATGTTGTTCAATATCGACCTATTCATTTAGAAAACAAAAAAGAAAGAAAAAAAAGCTAAAATGCTCCGTAGGTGGTCTACAAGATGATAAAGCATGTACATATACATAAACACGGCAAGAACTCGAAATTGTTGCATCATTCATCATGTTTTATTTCTTCAAACAAATATGCGCGTGTTAGATCGAAATACCGCATAATAATTCTTCTTGATTAACACACTAAACATTAAAAACAAAACTGTTCTTGTTATTTTCTGTTGATCATCAAAATCAAGGGTATCCTCAGCGAATAGGTGTCAAGGAGTTATCGTTTCCAATTTTGAAAAATGTTCGTTTCTTTTCAGTGAAGTTCCAGTATTTTATTGCACTTTTTTGTTTACCTATTCTCAGAAAACATGCTCGATTTCCTAGATCCAGTTAAATTTAACAAAAATTTTCCAATCAATCTACTGAATTACGGATTTTTCTTTTTTTCCTTCTCTCCTTTCTTTTCAATCCTGGCGGCGACCTCGGGACATCGCTTATCAAAATCATTTTATATTTAATAAACAAAAACTAATTAATATTGATTAAGCAAATATTGACTGTAATATAACAGAAAACTAATCATGTTGATGTCAATTGCCGTTGTTTTTCTTCTTTCTTTTTTATTCCAATCAGATAACATCATTCTTATTTATCATTGGACAAAAATGCACATATTATCAATCGACCAATCCAATCGTATGTATCATTCCGAACAAAAAAAAAAAAAAAAGAGAAAGGGAAGAGAAAGGGAAAAAAAATCGATAGTGTTCGTTTGACGAGTGCGAACATCTTCTATGTCTTTTTTTCTCTCGCATGAATGCATTTATCTGATTAGTCGTTATATTACGATAGAAAAAACGAAGAAAACCAGAACATACACACACATACATACATATATGAAACACAAATTGCCTTGTACACCGAGCTAAAAGAGAGAGAGAGAGAGGTGGGTAATAGAAAAAAAAAAATCTAGATGAATGCATATCTTGTCATAAGAATCTTGCTCTTTTGCCATATTACTATTCGCTATTCATTTTTTGCTCATATATAGAAAAAAATAATATGCTGTTGTTATCTATTCTACCGGTCAACGCGTGTAACTTGTAGTTTCAACAAAAGATCCTATCGAAGACAAGATACATGAGCGAGGAAAAAAAGAAGGATATTTGCGGATCTATCAAAAATTAAGATAAATCCGTTTCATCATCATTCTTACATTCTTTATTCGATTAGACAACAACAAAAAAAAATTATACCTATACATGGATACATTCGAATTATCATCATCGTCATCAAATAATAATACTAATAATAATTCACATCGTAATACATGGTCTAATTATCCTACAGAATGCTATCCAACAAGTGTAGACTACTATCGATCGTATGGAACAGCACGTAAGTATAGAAAAAATATATATTAAAAAAATAGTAGTTCAATTATTTTTTTTTTGTTTAGCTCTTACATCACTTCCCTGGGTTGAATCAAGTAAATATTCCGTTGCTAATTGGTCAACTCAAACATCATCTACATTTCCTTATACATCTTCTCATCCTGCACCTCCACATGCTCATACAAATTTTATGTCAACAACAAATCCATCATCATCATCATCAGCAACAACAGCATTTGGTCAACCATATTACCCTCCAACACCACCAAAAGATATTTCACATGATTCACTACTTGATACATCAAATAAACAACATGATTTACTTAATAATAAAAATTATCATCAACATAATCATCATCATCATCAGAATTTATTTCCTAATACAACATCACCAACAACAAGTGCAGCTGCAGCAGCAGCAGCATATCATCATCATAATTGGGGACATGTCCTTAAAGATTCTGCTGCTTTTTGGTCGACCATGAAATCACCAACAGAATCATCAGGAAAACTTTCAAATTCAAATACAAAGAAAAAAACTAGTCAAGGTTTGTAAAAAACAAAAAAAAAAAAAAGAAGCAAACAAACATAATTTCTCTTATTTATTGTTGTTTTTTTTAATTATTCTCTTTTAGCTGAAGGTCGTGAATGTGTTAATTGTGGAGCTAAAGCTACACCATTATGGAGACGTGATGGTAATGGTAATTATTTATGTAATGCTTGTGGTCTCTATCATAAAATGAATGGACACAATCGACCATTGATTAAACCTAAACGACGTTTAGTATGAAAATATATTTTTCGAAAAATTCAAATATTTGTTTTATTTTTTAATAATAGTCAACAGTTAAGAAAACAGGTGTTCATTGTTCAAATTGTAATACAAGCACAACAACATTATGGCGTCGAAATGGTCATGGTGAAAGTGTTTGTAATGCTTGTGGTTTATATTATAAATTACATAAGGTAATTTCATTAAAACAAAAACGAAGTCAAAAGTGTGTGTCTGTAAAATTTACATGATGAACTAATTTAAGGATAGAATTCTTTTTTTTTTTGCTGTGTCCATGAAAGTATACATAATTATCATGATCAATCGTCAACGTGTTCAAATTCATTCATTGTATTAAATACGTGACAAATTCGATTAGAGAAAAAGAATAAGATTCGAGACATTGTCCACATACATCATCATCATTATCATCATCATGATATTCAATTGAAGAAGATGAACCGTTATAATAGATGAGGAAAAAAAAACAGAAAGTGTGAAAAAGAACGTATCTGTTTTTTTTATCTGACGTAATAACAAAATTAGATTTCTTAATAGAAGATAAACATAAAGTTTTGTTATTCTTTATTATGAACTTTTTTTTTTTTTTTTTTGCCTAAACTGATCATTCAATCTTTTTTGATAATATAGGTAAATCGTCCAATAACATTAAAAAAAGAGAACATACAAACACGTAATAGAAAACCAAATACAAAACGTAATGGTAATTTACTTGCAAGTAGTTCATCATGTAGTATTAAAGATAAGGATCCATTTCCTTATGGACTTTTAATGAAGAATGAACAAGCGTTAAATGGTTATCATGCTCAAGCAGCAGCTGCAGCTATGGCAGTTAACAGTGCATCAACATCGTCATCACCATCATCATCATCAGTTTATCATCAATCTCATCAAGCAGCATATGCAGCTGCGGCAGCACTTCATCCATTATTTTCATCATCAATGTTATCATCCATAGGTACGACAACGACAACAGGTACATCACTATCATCATCGTCAAATTCGTCATCACCAACAAAATCATCATATATGACAAATCAACAACATCATGTTGGGGTTTATCCTCCGTACTTTTAACAAAAAAAGAAAAGAATAGTTTTGACGAATATCAATATAGAAAGAAATATTTGTCTTATTTTTTTATTCGTTTTTTTCTTTTCTTTTTTTGACTTTTTCTTATTCAATAGAATCTTTTTTTTCGCATGTTGTATATTGTGTTTGTTCTACTTATATCAAAATCTTGTTTTTTTTTCTTTCGTTTTTTCTTTTTCTTTTCGGTCTTATTTCTATTAATACACAGCAGCAACAGATCGTGCCTGAAGCTCATTATAATTCTAATATCACACAAGAAAAAGAATCGAAGAAAGATACATATCACTAAATATGCAAGCTGTTATAGATTTCTTTTTACCGTTAAGCGATCATCACTAGTAACATGAATATCTATCTATCTATTTATCGATCTATCTATTTCTTGTCGCCCGAGGACACACCATCTTCATCTTCTCCTCCTTATACGACATTACTTTTTTTTCTTTCTTTTCATTGAATCACCTAGGTAAACATCACCATATGGACACGGTTATGGTTGAGTTCATTAGCAATAGTATATAGAAAAGCAAAATACATGACAAAGGCGGAGCAAGTCAATCGAAATATAATTATGTTAAAAAAAAGCTTGTACATCTATTTAAATCGAATTTAAAATGAATACTTTCTAAATATGAAGTCAAATATTGTAAATAGGTGAAAATTTCAAATCGTAATAATCATTCGCACTGTTGTCGGCATCATTTTTTAATAATTTGAAATTTTATTACTTAATATCTACAATTCATTACTTGCTGTGTATTCTCAACATGAATGTGCTAACAAGAAATACAGAACTGATAATCGATATTATTGTTTGATGACGCGCTTCTCTCTCCCTCTTTTTTTGATTCCATCATTATCAACTACATTCATCATCAAGGATAGATTGGCATGTTCGTGTCAGTTATTATACACCAGCCGCGCTACTCATTCAAGTTCTTCTTCTTTTTTTTTTTCTTTTTTATTAGATCAAACAAATTTTAGTTTCAATTTCACTACTAACATCCCAGATTGTGTTTTATTTTATTCATCGGCAGGGTGTATGTGTGTTTATCACTATCTATTTTCTCTTTTATCCTTTTTTTGTGAAACAAAAACGAAAGAATATACAACACGACACCATCTGTAGAGTTGACTTTGACCTGAAGGCAATTGAACACGACACCATTAAGACTAGCATCATTGACAATAGTTTACACATGCAAACAATCGAGTGACAAAATCGCATTTATCTCTTTTTTTTGTTCTTGTTTGATCTTCTTCTTTTGACATCTAAACACAACAGAATTGATGTGCTTCAATGAACATGAACTGTCGAATAAGAGAATAAACCCCAATAGTTCATTATCGCTGACACATCTATTGTCTATATGGATGGGAAAGAGATAACGCATGGATACAATGCTAGCGATGTGAAAGAAAGACAAAAGAATGTGTCAAAATTATGTATTTTTTTTAAATAGGTGATATAATATTACCTCGTCAATTAAATGTATACTATTCAATATTCATGTGTTGTTTTTTTCAATATAGAAAGTTTTTAAATACTCTAAAAAAAATTGTTTTTGTGAATATATACATTATGTTTCTATAATAAATGAACTATTAACTGACATAACTAAAATCATGCCATATGTGTATCAATCAATAAAAATTTTTACACGTTATTCATGAAGAAATTCTTTAGTTCATTATATATATATAAAGTCGAAGAAATATTTTTATTTTGTTTATTCATCCATATAATTCTTTCCAACAAAAGTCACATGCTTAATATTCATGCTGAGCAATTAGCTAGAATCTTTTCACCAATATAAACATTGCCGTTATATGTTCAATTCATTAGTACCCAACGGCGATATATACTTATCGTCGATCAGTATTCTGTTAGAGATAATGGTCATGCAATTCCATTGAGATTGGGTGGAGAAAAAAAATACAGATTGGAATCAAAAAAACATCATGCAGATAGTTGCCCTGCGAATACGTCATACAATGATGATGATGATCAACAGATTGATCCCTGGAGAACTATTGTTTTATTTCTTTTCTTTTTTCGATGAAAGAATAAAAAAAAAAACGATTCCTTTTTTTTATTCTTATCATATACTTTGATTTCCTTTTTTTTTTTTTTCAAGTAATTAGTTGTTCTTTTCTAATAATGATGAGAGAAGTCGAGTGTGAGACAAGATAAGAAACAAGACAAAAAAAGAAGAAGACTTAGGAATAGTCTGGTTGACGAAACGTGACGGAATGCATTCATATTGGATATAGAAGCGGCTATACTTTGATCATTGATTGTACAGAATATGTTCTGTCTATCAAAAATAAATCAAGCATATTTTGATGTATATTTGTTTGACGTGTAGGATTTTTTTCTTTTTGGTAAGCATAAATGCTGAACTTTTGTCAACAATAGTTTTGTTCAATACAAAAATATATCAAACCATATAAGTGTTATTATATTAGAGAAAATCTTTGACGTGATTAGAAATGAAGATTGACCTAATTTTAAACTTGACATTTAACAAGATAATTGCATTATAATGGGTAGCTCATAGAGAATAATACTGTTGAGAGAATGTTTTATTTCGTCTATAAATATTACCCTTGTTGATATGTAATCTCAATCCATGGCTTCAATCAGTTCATTCCATAAACTGTAATCTAACGGACATAAATCAAATGAATTTATGATAGTTGACGCTTTTTCAGAATGAACGTAGAAAAATGGTCAGCAAACCATTTTTGACTCATGTGACGTGTGCTGACGTGTCAAATTGTTTCCTAGTATTTTGTTACTGGGTTTTAGACCAACATCGCATGCTTATTTGCATTACCGTCGATATATTGGCGGTAGTCCTTACAACTTTCAGTTGCAGCTATAAACGATTGCAGAGAAAACAGTTTTAAAATAAATTCTATTAAGAAAATTTTTTTTCTTATAACTGGACTCGGTTTGGATTTTGTAGTTAGTACAGGCGGCTCAGACGCATCAACTTTGTCAGAGTGTATTGAAAACAACTCAATTCTGTCAGTTTTGACAGATTTCAAAAATATTCACATGTTTTGATACAATACTCCATGATGCAACATTTAAAAAAAAACCTACAATGAACTGTCGGTAGTTATTCCATGGAAAGCTACTGTAAGAACGTCATTAGTGTATTTTTCTGCATCCATTGTTCCATCTTCCAATATCGTCAACAGAAGAAAAAAGAATGTTTCAATCAATGAACTTTTAGACAAGAAAACTCAAAGATTTTAACACTATAATTCTTCATGAATCATTCGATATATTTGATATGACTGAAAAACATTCCGAATTTTGTCTTGGAATCGAAATCAATTGTTTTATTTCAATAACTTTTAGATAATCTTTTCAATAATTGATGTGTCTGGTTTTAATAGAGATGAGCAAGCCAGCTCTTTCTTCTGACACAAATCAAAGTAAGTCTCAAATGATTGACTTGAGCTTTTTTAAGTTTTATGATTTACTAATGTATTAATTTACTGGAAAAAAGTTTTACATCAGTTTCTAATTACATTTCAGTATGGTTAATATTTGTAATGTCTTTCTTGACATTTTGGCTTTATGCTGTCGAAATAGAAAATCACATTGAGAAAATATTCTTTCTACACATGATGTTGTTGGAACTATAAAAATGTTTCTTGTCAATTTATGCAATGACTTGTATTTAATTGATTGATTAATGAAAATAAATCTATTTGAACTATTTTCATCAACCACTAAGATAATTAGTAATTTTATCTTTGATAAATGGAACATTATCAGCTATTTTTTGTTTTTTAATATTGCTCTGTGCAATAGAGAACAAAAAACTTTTGCGGTTTGCTGTTGATTATTGTTCATTATCCGTAGGATTTATTTCAAGTGTTGTTAACAAATAGAATTTTCCTATTAGAACAGAAAAGTATAGTTTTATGCAATATGAATCTAATATGCATTTTAGTTGCAGAAATATATCCAACTTGACTTGTTCATCTGTGGTTTTTAATTAAAGAATTTTCTTAAATAAAAAATGCTTGTGTTGAACGTCTAAATTTGACTACGTATTGAAATTATTTTGTATTTTAGATCTAGAACTAATCATTTAAACACAGACAATGATGATTGTATTAAAATATTGACAATAACTCTGGATTTCTGTCTAGATATTTGAGATAAATTATGATGTTTGAAATAAAAAGCCGATTCTATGTGTCAAAAAGAAAGAAGAGTGATGATAATAAAATTTCGATTTTTCAAATCTATTTCAATTATTATTAAGCAATTGTTGATAACAAAAAGACTCTTATGAGAGGTGTATTCGCCATCTTGACTACATTTGCCATCATGGGCAACACAAGGTCAATTGTTTTAGGGAAAGCAATATAGTTTTGAATAGGTCTGTTGTGTCTCTCATCTTCTAATAGTGAACAGTCTGACAAACAAAATCCTTGTTGCTTGAATTTATTTTTTCTTAAAAGTATCATATACATATATAAAAACTTGAGTATTAAGTCATCTAATCGTACTTTACGAGCTTCAAATTAATGTAATACTTTCTATTTTTAAAAAAGGTCCACTTAAAAATAGTTTAGAAACATTTGAAATCTTTTGTTATTACCTTCTGTTTATTGACTATTGTGTTCTCGTGTTGATGTTCACGTGAAAGATTGTCTAAAAATTTAAACAATTATTCTTCTTTGTTTTTGAGAAAACTATAGACGTAACATTCAACTGAAAAGATAGAGGTGTAGTCTAGTATCCTTCAAGTCGCCTCAGCTCGAGGCATGAATTCGAATGTAAACATAGGATCATACTCGGACTTGAACCGACAAATAAAGAGATTTCGACATTTCAAAACATTTTTGCTTTTTCAAACTGCTATTGATGTAAAATAATTGGATTAAATCGTGGTTCGATCATGATTGAGCAACTTATTGTACCTGAGAACAGATCACAGAAAAAGAAAGCGATATAGTTTTATTAAAAGAATTTGTCTTTAATGAAAACTTATCTACCGATGATGATGAATCATATGAAGAAGTAACTGAATGCAAGAAGAGGAAGATGAATTATGAAAAAAGTGAACATGTATTATTATGATGATGGCCAAGGCATACATGTATATATCTACAATTATGACGTTTGGCATCAACATCGATTTCTACTTCAGCATCGTTAATAACAAGCAAACGTATAATTGGCGAAATAGATCGGATTTTAGAAGCAGAAAGATACCAAATGGATATTGAATCACTTACATTTTTGTTGCATTTGAGATGATGCCCTTTTTTCGATGCTGTTTGTGGAAGAAACTCAGCAGCATACTTTTTCAAATAAAATAAAAGTTTGAAAACCACACCCTGACTGTGAAAGTACCTGTTGAATGCCAAGTAGCTCTAGTTCGAGTTCGATCGCGAAAACTCGTACCCATGCAGAACACTAGTACTATCCTTCTGATTGTGAGGTAACAGATAGGTTTACTATTTTTCAAACATGTTGATTTTCAATTTAAAAAATCCAAATTGTATATTTTGTTAGAAAGACAACTAAAACAAACAATGAATGTCGAATGACAGGCTTATTTTTGATTAGTAGCAAGTAGCAAAGAAGATCCAGGAGCGGTGCGATCGGAGGATCACCCTTCCTGCTCCAGAAAATTTTGGCTGGTACTTTCTTTGATTTTAGAGAAATATGTTATAAAATTCTGATTCGGAGAAAATTTCAGTTTAGAGAACACTTTTCGACTTTCTCCGATTTTAGGACTGACTTCCCCTGCTCCGACCTCTTCGCGTCGCCCCTGAGAAGATCAGTTATTGTACTTGATTCATTAAATGTTGGACAATCCGGCTTCAATTCTTTTGGTCAAAGTCGTCAAATGTTATACACATAATATGCCTTAGAGAGATCGAAGTCGATTTATAATTACACTATTGGCCCGGATCTAGCGGTAAACTTTGGATGACGCTTATTATGACATATGAAGGAAAGTGGACTGATCAGAATCACAATAAACAAAACCATGAGACTATTGATCAATCCTCTTACATTAACTACAGAGTTTCATTAAATACAGTAAAGTTTTGAAACTTTTGCAAACTGTTCGCTATTGAGAAGCGTTTAGCTATGGGAGATGTTGTATGTATTACTACGAAATGAAAGGAAAAGATTTAGAATATAAGTTTCTTTACTAGTTTTGAAGTAACCAGGGGCCATTCTCTGTTTTGTTTATCTTTCTTCATTCGAGTATTTCAGAAACTTTTCAACAATATACAAAACTTTGCCTTTTGTTTCACAAAGTCTTGTATTAATGTTTTGATCTCGGCATATGTGAATTCGATGAACGTTGCTATACAAATAATTCGTAAACATATTCATTAGGTTTTATCATATTAAAGCCTTTGAATTATCATTTAATGCTATGATTTTAGTTTGTTTGATAATCATTTAGATACTAAATTTTTCAACTGATTAACACTGTGGTGAACAATAACCATCGTTTTTATCATTAGTTAATCGAAGTTTTTCATTTAATTTAAGATGTTGTCGTGATTTCAATATTTTCTCTGATGTGTACAGTGACAATAAACAATGAACAACAGTTTTTTGTGAATCTTAGCCAAGAATGATGAAAACAGGAAGGAAAAAAGTGCATCTGTATTCCTTTAAAAGAAATTCAAATAACAATTGAATCTGTAAAAGCATTGTTCCAGTTCAGATTAGGAAAGTGTTCGTTGATGAGAGATACATTTTCAGCAGCAACTGTTTTGTAGGACCGAAAACTTGTTTGGTATAAACAAGAGGCGTCAAAAACTTGGAGAACGCAATTGCTACCCCCTGGTAGTATTGGTGCACCGCTCATGTTATTTTGAAACATACAGAAGGTTTTGAGTATTGTATAAAGAATTAAACTAATTTATCTACATCTAACAGTGCCATCTATATCTAAAGATTATATTCTATTCATGTATTCTTCTTCTATTTGAACCATCTCCTTTTTAGTTTTCATCCTCTACAGTATTTGTCATTGTCGCTGATCATAAAATTTGTCGCTAACGTCTCTAATTTATCCATCTATAGACTGAATAACAGCGAGAGTACTAACACTAATAATAATAAGACTAATATTAATCATAATCATAATCATAAACAAACAAAGAAAAAGGAGACGAGTCGTATTTCTGCATAAGAAAAAAAAAGCGAATTCAAAAAACAAAAAATTATATTTCTTCAAAGCCAGTTAATTTGATTGTTTGACTGTCAAAATTTGAAAAAAGAATAAATTTTTTTTTTCATTCGGTCTATAGAGATACCATATACAGTAGCAATAGAATGATATTATCAAGGTGATTTTATATGTAAGTCAAACAGAAAACGTGTCGTAAAGGCAGCAAACGGTGGTAATTATTGTCTAAATTATTTTATTAAAATTCTTTTTGTTTTTACTTTTAATTCTAGACGTTTATTGTCGGACCCAATGAACTTTCATTATTCGACATTTATCGACAATACGACGTTCCGTCCAGAAAATCATCATTCACAGTAAGATAAATATCTTTTTATTTTAAATAAAGGAAAAATTTTGAGTATGTAAATATATCTTTACATATATGAGTGTCCAATCAGCTAGAATAATTCGGTTATTTTTTTTCTCCTATAGCCTCAATCATATATTAGAAAAATATAATATTTGCATTAGTTATAGTATAACCATAATACTGATTGTTTGTTCTATTCAAGTCTTGCCTCTCGTAAATGAAGAGATTTATTTGTCAAGATCTTTCTTAGAATCATTTAATTAGAACTCCATCTTCGATTAAGAAAGCCATTGACAAAGTTTTTAATTTACAACAGACTGAGCTCAAACAAAAACAATCATCATAATACATCTACTATAGCTAGTATACAATTTGAGATATCCTAACTGATTGGACACATCTATATATAACGGATAATTGAAAAGTGATTAGACAAAGTGTTCATTCATTTCTCAATCTTTCTTAAAAGAAACCTGTAGAAATTTGAAAATATTGAGTTAGTAACCAGAATTTTGTGTTCTGTTCTAATATGGGTTCAAAATTGTTATAGGACTTCTACTTAAAGAGTTATGAGCCGACCTTTTAGAGACCCGCAGGTTAAGCTAATACAATGTATGAAAGAGTAAACATTTCTAAATAAAATAGTATTTCAATAATTATTCAGTTCGAACATTCGTGAAACTCTTGATTCTTACATCATTTTGCAGAAAAGAATTTCGTCTTTAATTCTATGTGAAAAATTGGCTATATAGCGTATACACTAACCACATCTATTCGAAGGAATCTTTCTACATGTCACAATGCTTTTCGAACGAGGCGATGTTCTTTTACTGAGTAATAGAAAAGTTTAGAATGGTTCGATTTTCCGAGCCTTCATTCTGCAGACATCGAAATTTTACCAGATTTTTCAACAAAAAGTTGCGATCACGTGAAAATCCGACGTTCGACTTCAAATTTTGCATAAACAGAGTATACATAAGAGAATTAGGAATATTGAATATCTCAGGATCAGAAATACTGGAAAAGTCACGACTTGATCAATGAACAAATCTCATTGGGGGACTTTGTTTGTGCAAAGTTTGAAGTCAAAAGTCGTTTTTTCAAGTGACTACAGCTTTTTGTTGAAAAATCCAGTAAAATTTTCATATTTGCAGAATGAAGGTCGCGAGAATTACATCGTCCTAAATTAAAGTTCTAAAAAAATTTTGAATTCATATTCGAAAAGAAATCAAAATTCTGATTCATTCTCAATGTTTTTTAATTTCTGTAGGCTTCTTAAAAAGTCTGAAAAATGAGTGAACGTTTCTATCTAATTACTTTTCAATCACTCATTCTTTATATATGTATAATACATAGTTTCAACGAAGACGCACACTGTGATAACGAGGTCAATTTGATCTTGGAAAAAAATTACAATCAACATTTAATCGAACAATCAACAGAAAAACTTTTATACCAAGTACCAGAAAGGTATTTCTGAAATATCTAATTTCTATATTAGGCTAATTATACTTTAACATTTATGCAACACATGCTAACTATTTTCTATCTACATATATATATATGTGTGTGTATATGTATTTGAGGCTAGTTTTAAATGAATGATTAATTTTGAAAGAATAATTTTCTTATAATTTATTTTTCGAAAGTGTCCTCGCCAAACAAACTGATCAATATTATTTTATGCCGATACAAGAACGAAATTCAACAATGGCTTTAACCGGAAATAATTGTAAGAAGAACAAAAAACTATATTTCAGTATAAAATAGATGTCTATAGTACACGAATCCTTTTCTTTCTGATTGGTTGTTAAGAGAATCATAGAAACTTGATTTTTTTTAGGTTAAAAAGAAAACAAATAAAACTATTGCATACAGGTTTTGTTTTTAAATAGGAATTTTTTTTCGAAGAATTTTCTATGGATTTCATAACAGTTAAGATAAAAGACAGTAAACAATGATTTAAGAAGCAAATTTTCGATAATAGAAATATGAACTGCACTCATGATAATTAACTATTGAGTGACTTATAGTTTATCTGAGGAAAAAACTTCATCATGTAATAGATTATGATTGAGATAAATATCGCTATATTGAATAGGCTTTATTGACATGCAAGAAAGACTAAAAGAATAAATGCTGAGAGATTTTTCTTTTTCAATAATGAGCATTTTAATGAGTATTCTCACAAAATATTATACTCATCCTGAGATAATTTTCAAAATCTATTTCCGAATTCAAACATTAGACAAATAAAATTCTCAATCTAAAAGTGATCGAAAGTTTATTAAAATATTTATAGCACAAGAAGAAAGATTCACAAGTAAGAATTCTCTTTTCACTTTCTTTAGTCTCAATAGGATCTACTGTATAAGATGAAATTCCCTCATTAGCTGTATTTCTGAGTACAGTGTCATTATATTCAGCATTATTTTCAATCCATAGAATTTCAAATCTACTGAATTTATTATAATTTAATGTGAGCTATCCTAGAAAAAATATCATAAAGGTAATGATGGATTATTGTGATCCTGTCTGAGTCGAAATCTAAGAAAAAAGAGAATGTCCAAGAAAAATGAATCAGAATGAGAAGTAGAGCGCGGAAATATCCGAGTTTAGTTTGATATGATTTATCTTTTAGATAGTCAATGAGCATTAGTTAACATATTTTAATGAATTCTTATTGAACAAAAGAAAAACATCTTTGAAAAGTATAATAAAATAGTTGTAGACACTTTGAATAAGTTCTTTTTCAGTGATAAAATTGATAAAACAAGAGTTGTGTTTTTTTCTATGTCAAAGATCATAAGCAGCATCAGTTAAATTAATATTTAAAAATTCTGCTTGCAAAACGACATTTCTTTAATTATTTCTACAATGCTCAACATATTACGCTTGTGAAAAGTTGGTTTTGTATGAAACAACTTGTAAATAAATGAAGCATAAGCGAGAATAATGTTTATGTAGAAAGAGATAATTATTTCTTTGTGACTTGAACGTTCTTTTCATCTACAATTAAAATATTTTATAAGTTATCAAAGAATTAATCTAACGAGCTAATATCTTCAATTGATCAGTTGCTGTTGAATTCAGACTCTGTGCATAAGGTTGAGCCTAGTGTGACATGAAAAATCACACAAGGATAATTTCGTTTAGACCTTCTGTCCAGAGTTACAGGCATCTTACTGGAATTTTAAAATCGGACATGGTAAATACTAACAAATCAAATGATAGTATTTTGCCCATAGAGAGATCGATTTGTCAGTAGAATGTTCTGAAAATTTCAATTCAAAAGAATATTTCCTTTCCGAGATATTAAATTGAAAAAAACAGGAAATTCTAGCATTTCGTGGAATATAAGTAATGCTTAAGACTTTAATATCGCAGGAAGGAAATAATCTTTTGAAATGAAATTTTCAGGGTATTCTATTGACAAATGGACCTATCTATGGGCAAAATACCATCATTTGATTTGTAGGTATTTATCATGCTCAATTCTAAAATTTCAGCTAGATACTTATAACTTTGAACAGAAAACCTAATGAATCTTATCCTTTTGAGGTTTTCCAAATCTCACTGAATTCCACCTTATGCATAGAGTACGAATTTAAAAGTGATTGATCATCAGTTGAAAATATTTTCTCGTAAAAAGAAAAAAAACCATACAGAGTTTTCTGTTTCAACAAATCTACGATAGGTTTTATTCTTAATTATCTTTTAAAATTGCAATTTAAATCATTAATATATATATCTTTAATTCATTTTAGTAACTGATAATTCATCATTATTATTATCATCCAATCTTCAACATCCGTCATCTATATTTAATCTATTTGATGATACGTCACTCAATTATTTTTCTTCCTTAACACCAACTATGGATTTATCTGATAGAACAACAGTGAAAATATCAAATACAAATAATAATAATAATTTAACTGATGCCGAACTTGCTGCTTTATTTGTATCATCTATGATTACAACAACACCCTTAACACAAACAACAACACCAACAGCAACAAATAATTCAATTGATAATATAAATAATAATAATAATGAAATATCATCAAATACATTAGATGATGTATTTTTAAATCAAGTTACTGATTTAACGTATTGTTCATCACCATCATCGACAATTATTGATAAACAACAAACAATAGGACCACCACCTGGTTTTGAAAATTTTCTTTTTAATACATCATCAACATCCGATTTACTTGTTTCAAAAACAACGAATAATACTCCAACAATATCATCAATTAGTAATACTCCTATGGAAACAACTGTTTCTTCTTCAGATACAATTAATTTTAGTCAGTTATTAAAATCGACAACTGTCGGTAAATATAATTTAAACTCTAATTATAAAAATATACAATGCCTGTCAAAATTATTGAATCAGTACATAATTTTATTTTGTATATATCTCAAAAACAAAACACGTTAGAATAATCTGGTTTTCATTAGATAACAACCTCTAGTCTTAAGTATACTAATAATAAAAAATTCTAGACCATTCTATTGATGTGTCTAGCTTTTATTAATAATATAATCGCATCATGCCGTTTTTCATTCTTTCAAAATTATTCAACCATTTTTTTATGTAAGATTATGAGCGCCTGTTCTAAGGTGAAATTTTCTTTATTAAACATGATTCAAAAGAACGAATTATGCTCTACATAATCAGTACTTTTTATTGTAGCTTCTCTTCAAGTGTGGATTTAATAACAATGTTTGTTTGACCTATATCAGAAATTTTCAATAGCAAAATGACAAAAAAACCTTTTTTTTTTTTTTACTCATATGATGTTTACTTAATTTATTGTTCAAAATAGCATTAACAAGAACACTAGAATTTGCATGAGATATTTTATTTTAATGGACGCTTACTATTGAAAAAAAAATTATGTTTATCATATCCTATGTGTATACAAAAGTCACAGATAGACATTATCGATCTAATTCATGCATAGAAAAAGATGCAAAAATTGTTTTAAAAACTTAAATTTCTCAAGAATAGTTTTCCGTAGAAAATTTCTTATATTTGAAATCAAAACCAATAGATCATTTGAGTTATAAATAACAAGACTAAAAAGTTTACCATACTATCAATAACAGTTTTAGTACAGATCTCATGAAATACACAGTTCATATTCCTTAGAAACTTATGCTTGTAAAATAATTTTTTATACAGTCATTAATATGTGAATTAGGATAGTAAAAAAAATTCAACTTACGTTAGTCATCTTGTTTATGACTATTTCCGTTATAGGTCAAATAAACCTTGTTTTTCAATCTTTCCCTTAAAGAAAAGCTATGACATAATGTACTTATTAATCAGAGTACTATTTTTCTTGATGAATCATATATGCGAAAGAAAATTTCAATTGAGAACAGGCTTGCAATAGTTTGCTAAAAATAAGCAGCTGAATAATTTAAAAACGATGAAAAGCAGCATTTTGTCATTGTATCATTAATAAAAACTAAATAGATCAATAGATTAATCTGGAGTTTTTTTTTTACGAGTATACTAAAGACTCTAGATTGTAATCTAATAAAAATAAAATTATCTACTGTTTGGATAATCTTTTTTCTTTATACAGAGACTGTTTACATTCTATTTTTATATATAGATACACAACAGCAACAACAATCAATCGTTGGTAATGCTGGAAATATTCATTCATCATCATCATCATCTCATTCACCATTTACATCCGATGAACAATCTTTATTTTTTCCAATGTCTACTCATTCATACTCATCAGCATCATCATCATCATCATCAATTCTTCATGCAACAAGTCAGATTTTTTCCACTAATACACCTTCGTCATCCACGACAACAACAACAACAAATACTGCTGCTAAGCCGCATATGCCCAATAGTCTTTCATTATATAATAATAATAATTTATCAACATCATCATCTCTTGTTACATTTAGTACAACAGACAGTCCTTTATCAGCCACAACAATTGAAAATGAAAAGAAAATAATTGATAGAAGAATTACACCAAGTCATATATTTGCATCAACAAATTCATTCTTTAGTAATGAATCTATAGGTAAATAATAAAAAAGCACAAAACAATTTAGTTTTTAATATGAAAATTGCAAAAAAGAACCAAGATGAATATAATAGAATAACCATTTCAACTAATTATTTTTCTTTAACTTAAATAGGTTTTCGAAAAAAAATAGTGAGTATAAGTTTTAAGTGTGCGGCTTTGTGATATCTCTCTTACACAATTTAGTAGTCGAAATCAAAGTCAAATTCCATTTTATCGTTCCTTAGCAACGAAAAAAGATGCTAAATGGCATGAACAAAAAAAAGTTTATGAAGTAACTTTCTCAGATGTCTTCTTCTGATTTTAATGAATTGTTTTTTTGTCTATAGGTACCACATAGTGTTCTAAGAACAATCCTAAAATAATTAGAATTTCTATTCCTATTTGATTAGGCTATCGAGTTTTTTTTTCTAGAGCCCCCAGGTTTTCGGGAAAATCATATTTTCGAATTTTGATCTTGAACTTTGTTCATATAGAAAACTCAACTAGAATAGCTTCCATAAAAAATCAGAAGTTTTAAATAAAGTTTCTTCAAAATATGAGATATTCAAGATGTTGACCTTTTCTCATGTATAGTGTATACAAAATGTATTTTGAAAACTTCATACCTTGAAGAGATTTTGTTGAAAACTTCTGAATTTTTTTGTATAAACTAGCCTAACTAAATTCTCTATATGCGCAAAGGTTCAGATCAAAATTCGAATATATGAGTTTTCCAAAAACTTCGAGGCTCTAAAAAAAAGTCCGATAGTATAGTCAAGCCTCCATAGGAACTCAATTCCTTTTAGAATTTTGGTTAGAACACAGTGCAGTATCTAAAGATAAAAAAATCATTGAAATCGGAAGGGGATATATGAGAAGGTTATCTCGTTAGATCGGCTTACGTTTTTGAATGCTCTGAATAGCGCAGTATCTGACTTTTGTATCGATAAACGATTATATGATAAACATCAAGGGTGTTAACTATGGATGTATAGATTCGTCACAGTCATTATATGAACTATAGAGAAAGCATATCATCATCAAATTCTAACTTTGGGAAATATGCACGAGGGTATATATCCAGCTGTCGGATGCCGTTCGATCCCATCTTTTGGCTGTCAGTAGACTTCGATGAAATTAAGAAAATAGTAAAAGAGTTCGTACCCATGGCGTATCTGAGTGAAGATTTCATTATCACATAGGTGAAAGAGAATGAATTTGTTGGTGTAGGTGTTGACATAGAGAAATAAAACAGACAGCTTATTTTTCTGATTATGCTTGGAAAAGAATCTCTTGTTTATTGAAGATTTTTTACCTTAAATAGTTTTTACAATAGTAAAACTAAGGCTAAAAAAGACGTACTAGTTTAACGTTTCAGTTTCAAAAAGATCGTCACTGATAAGTTTTCTAAATAAAATCTATTTAAATTATTAAGATTTTACTCTTTCGAAACCAAAAACAAATAAAAATTCAACAACAAATCATCAAACATCAATTACGGCTCGTACATCATCATCATCAACTTCATCATCAACTTCCTCGTCAATCGATGAAGCACTTATACAATTAACACAACAACAACAACAACAACAACAACAGCAACAGCAACAACTACAAAATGTTAATAAATTATTTAACGATGAACCTATATCAATATTTAATTATTCATCATTACCATCAGAAACATCTATAGATAAACAACAACAAGCTGTTCATGATAATATTAATCTTCTTGCATCAATGGCAACTTCATTAACACCAATTGCAACAGAATCAACATGGCAACAATCAGCAACATCAACATCATTAGATTCAAATATTAATTTAAAACGTAAAATGCGTGCTATGATGCTTCAACAACAACCATCAAGAAATAATTCTATAAATATTCATGAATTAATAGAAAATTTAAATGAAATTTGTTATAAAGGTTTCGATGAATTAAATTTACTTATACAAGAGCAACGATGGGTAAGAATACTTTTTTTTTTAATCATAATTGATTGTTGAAATTTTTGAAAAAACTAATAAATTTCTATATGATTTTCGACGTTAGTATAGAAAATACAATTTAAATTTAATAGAAGAAATTAGAATTGAGAAGAGTTATGATTCGCTAAAAGCAATATGAAATAAAACAAAAAAATTCATGAGACAGGAAATGAGTTAATTATAGTTCAAATCTCGAGCAATAATACACAAGGATATGATAAGTCAATCTCTGAGACTGTTGAAGTCTGTTTAAAGTTTCTGAAAAGAATTCATAAGAATTTGTTACATTGATAATAATAACAAATGACTCCTTAACTTCTAGCAAGTTTGATAGGGTACTAAAAACAAAATATTCGGATAGCTATTCATTCTTTCGTGTTTTCTAATTCATTTCATATGTACTCAAAAATAATATTTTTCTATTATCATCCATGATGACATGTACTTTTATACTTTGCTTTTTTTTTGTACGAATAAAAATTTTCCTAGATGATTATCTTAAATTTCAGGCAAATGACTTGAAACGACAAATACTAATTCGAAAAAAAAATCAAAGAACTAGTTTTGTTGGAATTGAGCTTTCGAATATTGACACAATTAGTATTTTACCGAAAGTTAAAGTTTTTCTAAAGAATTTTTTTTTCAAGTTTTTTATCAGAAAAAAAATAAATACTACATCTTTTATTTTAACGTTATAAACACAATATAAGATTTATAAATAAATATTTCACGTTATAAGTTGTACTCAACGTTTTATTTAGATTTTCTTTTTTTTTTTTTAGAGGAGGAATTTAAAACTCGAAGAGATCTATTTTTAGAAGCTTATACATGATTAAAAACTCCGGAAGGACCGCCACGATATTCGGAGTGACGTCACTTCCTCGTCCTCTAGCCTGAATAAAATATTTGATGATTACTCAATAGATTAGAATTCAATAAAAACTAAATATAAATTCCTCATGTCATGTCTTCATATTAGAAACGAAATCAATTGAATATGTTCTCTATCGATCTATATATATAGGTACAAAGTTATGCTAATACAAATTCTTCATCAATTCCATCACCAAGTTCACCATCGAGAAGTTTCAACGGTTCAAATTGTTGTTCATCACGAATACTTATTGTACCTGAATATTTTATATTTAAATGTAAAAAAATTGAAATAACTGTAAGATAATTTGAATAATTTTATTTTAATTAATTATATATATAAATAGGCAAGTCATGTTTTTGAATTATTAGCAAGTGAACGAGCCGAATTACGTTTACGTGATTTAATGTTTGTTTTTAAATCATGGAAAAAAACCATTTTAAATGCCGAAATAATTCATCAAGATAAAGAAAATAAGTTAAGATTAAGTACAGAACATCCACAATCATATTATATGAGTGATACAGTTTTACAATCAGGTAGGTTTTTATCTCAATTAATATAAAGAAAAAGAAAAAAAAACAAAACCTTATGAAAAGAACAAAGGAACAAAAAAAACCATTGAAATATTTCTTTGATTTACATGAATAAGCTTTTGACAAGTTTTGTCTATCATACCTTTTTTCCTATTGATTATGACTAACGAGGCATAGGTAATCCTCCCATCTACGAAGACGTTTTACCTATACGTTTTCTTCGTTTGTAAAATTATTAATATTAAAATATCGTTTAATATATTATTCGATTTATATATGAATTAATTGTTCAATAATAATAATAATAATAAGCACAAGGATGAAACTTTTAATTATTTGACATATTTTTTTTACGTGCTGTTGTTAGAACAGTAAAATTAATAAACTGTTTCTATTTTCTTCTTTTTAATTGAAATCAATATTTCATTGGCGAATTTTTTCTCTTTATAATTATGATAGTTTCAGCTATTTATAGCTTTAATGTTGCCATCTATAAAAATTGTAGGTCATAGTGTAGGCGTAAATATAGATCAAGGACAAATAGTGCAATAAGATCATAAATCATAAGAACCAGTGAAAAACAGACTCATTGATATATTTATTAATTAACCAAATAATTTCTTTTTTGTATCGTAATATAAACTTTACTAAGAAAAAAAAAACTCTCATTACTATTTAATAGAGTTATTTTTTTATTATTTATCTAGTATTTGATCGAGTTTTATATGCAATACGTGAATTATGTAATATAACACAACAAGCTCGTGCTGCATTTCAATATGCAACATTAAATATCTATCAAGCATCGTCTCGACAACAACAATTTCAGTCTCAATTATCATCAAATATTCCACCAACATCAAGTACAATTGCTCTTGCTCAATTACAATCTATGCGACAACAAAAATAAATATTCATTCATTTGTACTATTCGTTTTATATGTATAATGATATGAAATAACAGACTTTCATAGAATTATGAAAGACAAAATCAAAGACCGGTGATGATTTTCAAAAAAAAAAAAAAAGGCAACCGAAGATAAATATATATTATGAACAGAGCAATTTCAAATAATCTATATGCCTTATTAATTTTGTTTTCTTTTTCTGTTTCTTGTCCTCAATAACATCTCGATTTTTTTTCTATGCACTGATTAATCATTCTTTTGACCTAATGGAAACAAGAAAAACTAAGAGATTAGTTTTTGTTTTTTCTATTTCTTATTTCTTTCTCTTATCTGGTTAAACTTTTTCTTTTGTTTTTTAATGTTCCGTCTATATCATTTGTGTCTGGCAGTCAAAATGTGCATTTTTCTTCTTCTTTGTGTTTTGTCCATTGTCTTTTGTGTGTACAAAGCAAAATAATAAAAAAACTGAACGAAGGTCAAAGCTCTTTTTTTTTGTTTTTGTTGGATCTTACTCTGCTTTCTTGTTTTTTGGTTTATTACTACCAAATTTATTCTTTTTTCTTTTTTTCTTTCTCTTCTCCTTCTTCCTCTTCTTCTTCGTCTTCTCCTACTTTACTCGTACGCTCTTTTCTTTTATGTAGCCACATCGCGCTTTTTCCTTTTTTGTAATAAAACATGAGAAAAAAAAAAAACTTTTTGATTCAGAAAATTACGATGGGGAGTGACGTGTGAAAAAAACGTATTTTTTCTAAATACATTCTTTTCTTTTTTTCTCCATTTAAGATATAATATTCACCTATTATGCATCTATCTATTTGGAAACTAGTTTGATTTTACGAATTAACTATACTAATATTGTCGAATATTTATTTCGATTATTTTCTCTTGTTTTGTCGATATAGAACAAAATTTACTAGTTGGTCTCGAAACATAATTTTGACATAATTGATGTAATGCATTACGTCCGTTAGCTTTAGTTGAATGATCAACTTCTATTTTCTTATTTTTTTATAATGTTTTTCTGGACTTTTGATAACTTATTAGGTATTCTATCATGTTTTCATTCCCTTATGAATATTTGTCACACGTATGGTGACTATTTCTTTTTTTAAAGTAATTATTGAAAAACGACATTATGTATGCAACTGGATTCTGCTGAAATTTCAATCACAATTATTTATATAAACATCTGGTCGATATAAATATAAGAATGTGACCTACATAGACTTATTCAGCTTTTAGCAAAGAAGAAAAAACCTAGTTTCTTTAGTTTATTTTGAGAAAATAAAGGAATTTTTTTTTAAAGACTGTTTTTTTTTTTTAAGAAATCTTCAATTAAGATTGAAATCCTTCACATTACTTGTCTTACATCCTTATTTAATTAATTTTTCATCAGAATCACAGCAACATAACTGTGAAAAATAAAAAGATCTTGTATTTCTGAAACTTTTATAGAAATAAGAGAAAGTCGGGTTAATCTCTATCTTTAGTTCCTAATATATATTTTTATCAGCATCAGTGTAAATATTTCATTATGCAAGTTACATTAAATATTTTCTAAAGAATATGATTATCATATTTAGGTATGCTTATTCTAATTATCTGTTGTTTTATTAGTTTATTATATTTCAAAGCTTATTCTTCTTTTTATAGATATTTAAATTAATAATTAATAATCAATTGTTTATTATCTATACATTAGTTGTGGTATGTATTCTTTCGATTTTAAAATCGAAAGTATTATCTTTTTAAAATGAGATATAATTTCACAGATTTTTCTTTCTAGTTTTCATCGTAATTATATATTTCTATTCCATACAGTTCTTATGATTCGAATACGGAATTCCAGGTACTGATTATATAATTATTATCATAAGTATTATATAATAAAAAGAAACGAAAAGAAACTTGATTCATAATACTAAATTTTCCAGAATGTAGAATATGCTAGTCGAATGCTGGGTTCATAAGATTAAAGTATATTATATATGTATTTATTTTATATGGATGAGAGATTGAGAAAAAAAATATACTAGAAAACATAACATTTTTTATTAAAATTCTTCGCATACAGAAAACTTCAGAAGAGATAAATCTCACTTCCGTTACATTTTTTTCTTTGTAATTAATAAATAGTTAATTTGTATCAGTTTCGACTCAAAGAATTTATGATTTCATGCTTTTTTGACCTAAATAAGTAGCCTAGTTTTTTTTTTAAACTTAAAAGATAAAAGAAAATATCTGTCATCATATTCTTGATAATTACTGTTAATTGGTTCGTGATTATGTTGATATTAATCTTTGTTTATTTGAAATATGTTATTAAAGAATATTTAGATTATATTTTTCTTATTTTACTCAATTAAGTTTGATGTTTTGTTTTTCTTTTGTAAAGAATATCATCTAGGATAATGAAATCAAAAGTAAAGAATGATTTATTATACGAATATTTTTCATGTATGAGATCGACTGATTTTTTTTACATGAATATATTAGCAAACTGATTTCATTATGAATGTTCGTTAAGAATATTGATATCCTCTTTTTTTATTTAAATGAAAATATACGTATAGATTTAATAATGATATTCTCTTTGATCTATTTTGAAAGGCTGTTAACATATTGATTACTGAATTAAGGCATGATTTATTTATTATTAATATAAGAAATGCTATCAAATTGTCTATTTATACTATCAGATTCATATAAAGATTTTATATGGATCTTAATAAGCACTGTTGAAACAAGAATGTGAACGATGAATTACTAAATCTGCTGTCATATAGTTGAAAACTTTGTTCTATTCATGCCATCATTCTAATTGGAAAATTGAGATAGACATAATTACATATATAATCTTATAAAAATGTTTGTTTTTTTATGCTCTGATAACACTTACGTTATGTACGAAAATCTATTTATTAAGTTTAAATTCTTAGTACATTCCAATTCTTTCATGAATAATAACATTTAATAAACTAGTAGTTTATCATATGATACTTGTATTTGTTAACTACGTCTTTAATATTCTGTTAGATAATTAATTAACAAAACAATATATTTTAATTATTAGTATTTCGATAATATTTTATTAGTTAGGATTGATGTGATATATTTTAAATAATATGATTTAAATGGCGTGTGTTATAAAGCAGAGAAAATCACTATTCTTCGATGAAGTGATAATTGCATATAATAGATGTCATTTTCAGTGTCTATATTAACTGTTTAATTATTTGAACGAATAAGGATCACCAAAGATTAATCATTTATGTTGATGTATTAATACTATAGACAACAATCGAACAAATATTTTGATTATTCTTTGCATCATCTAATTATTAGAAAACTATTTATTTGTCTATAAAGAGCATTGATTATGGCTGACATCTTAATAAGATCTTTCTAGAAAACATTGTACAATAATTATATCATTCGAAATATTTTTATCTATCAAATAAAAAAATGTATATTTAATTTTAATCATTTATTATCCTTTAAAATTCATTGATATAAAAATAGACAAAAAACAAATAATTTTTCCTTAAATATAAACACTCTGTTGATATCAAAATATATTTAACAGATAGTTTTCTTTTTTTTTTGTTCTTTGATGATAATATCTTATACATTTTAGAAATTTTAAATGATCATTATCTACATTTTGTATTTGTCATGTCTGAGAAAAACATTTCGTTTCTTATCTTTGTTGTATGTCAAATTTTTGAATCGAGGCATATGTTTACAATTATTTTCTTGTTTTAATACTATTAAAGAATTTGATTATTTATATGTCATATACTGACAGATGTTCTTTGTCAAATAGATTAGTTATATTAATTGTGATTTATAAAGAGAAACAGAAAAACATGTAACCAGTATTTTATCCAAATTTTCTCTTTCGGATGGATGATTTCAATTTTCTGTAGGGTAAATATCTATTTTTGATAGTATAAACATACAGTATATGGTACAATATTCATATTCTATGGTAGGGTCAACTTGATCTTCGGAGAGGCGCCCGGTTCGACTGAGTGACACACTACATTTAATCTTTCTCATTTGTTTTCGATTTTAAGATGGAAATTTTTTTAAAAGTTAAACATCTCTGATGACATTAAAATGTATTTATTGTCTGTGTTTTAGATATATATTAATTTTCGATTTTATAATAAACAGAAATTAACTGAGAAAAATTCTATATTAGAATAATATTTATTGAATATAGATCTATGAAATCACGACAAGTTGGTCAATGTTTAGTATGTAATGATGCTGCTGTTGGTATTAACTTTGGTGTACCAACATGTATGCCATGTAAAGCATTTTTTCGACGAAATGCTGTTAAACTTGGCGTATGTTAATTTTTTTCTATTTTTCATGTTGTTTATTTATTCTACTCGTTGTTTTTTCTGTTGTAGAGAATTGATTTTATTTGTCAAGAAGACGGTGATTGTCCAGTAACATATGAATCTCGTCGTATATGTAATTGTTGTCGATTAGCAAAATGTTTTCGTGTTGGAATGCAAAAATCATTAATTCTATCTGAAGCTCAGAGATTAGCACGAAAAGAACTTGTTCAACAAAATCGACAAAAACGTGCGCAATTAATAATACAAAATTTAAGTTTAGTACGTACAACATATCTATATATAAAAACATATAGAAAAAATATATAATTAGAAAAAATGTATTGAATATAAGACTCATTAAATGACGATAAAATTCTNCCATATTGCTAGATTAGAAGAAAAAGGTCTTGATCAGAAAGCTTCTATGTCACATAGACATAATCAGTTTCCTCTGTATATAATTTATTCGACTACATATCACAGAAAATTGACACAAGAACACAAAAGTGTGGAAAAATAGACTCACCCAAGAAGAAAATGTTGATAGAAAAACTACGTTTTAACGTACCATTTGGAAGAAAAAATGCTATTTTTGCGTTTAAATGCGTCGATGTTTCTTTTTCTAATACTTCTTTTTATCAAGAAAAGAGATTTTTTACGAACAATCTCAAAGAGTTTCTTTTTAATTCGTGTTTTTTGTGTCGAGAAAAACACATTTGCACGTGTTGCGCAAAACACGTAAATGTTCTAGCGAAAACGTTCATGCTCCAAAAAGAAGGAACACGTTGAAATGCTTTTTTCTGCTAATCTTTTATTCACGAGCAAGAGCACAAAAATGGCATAGCGTGAGATCAATCAATCTTTTACCTTGTTATTCTCTATCGAAGAAAGCAATAAAGCAATATTAACAGTTGTTGAACCTAAAGTAGATCTTCCTAAAATGACAATTTGATTTACGACCGAAAGCTCTCTTGCGACAGTAGCTTAACTACATAGTATTGTGTATAAGCAACATACTAATTAACCCCGCCCTGTTTCGTTAAAATTAATTCTATTACGTCAATTAATACTAAAGAAAAAGCTTTGCAATGTAAAACTTATCGAAAATATTTTCATATTCATGTCACTTACGATCATACAGAATATATATTCTCGAGTGTATTCAAATGATTTAAACGAGACATAGTAATTAAATTGAAAAAAATCTCTCTGACCATATTGTTTTGCATTCTGGCAAACTCTCTCTTCAATTGAAAATATACTATTAACAGGAAAATACTACTCTAACGAGGATAATAAAGGAAACTTAATACTGTACTATTTAGTTTCATTTAATTGTCTGTAGTCATAAATTTTCTTGTGTTGAAATTTAAAAAAACGTTTTCTTCAATAGCATTTAAAATCTTAGTTTTTTGTACTTTGTATTAGATATATTATTCTTTGTACTCTTAACTAAAAATTTGGGTGTACTGCATCAGAATGCAGGACACTGACGAAAGAATCTTGACAAAAATTATAAATACGACCGCAATGAAACTCTACCTTCTTCCAGTTAAATTCGAAGTAAACAATGCTCTGCTACTAATCTTTGTTGACTCGTCGAATGCTGAAAATCAAGAGTTAAGATGCTAAAGATTCGATTCTTTTGGGGTGGTTCTGATGTGATTTTGTAACGTTAGATAGCTTTATCTATTTTATCTTTCTGTCACGAAGTTTGGAGACTGAGTCAGCATGAGGGGCTCATTTTTCTCACTATAGAATTCGACGCTCATTATCAATCGTGTTTAAAAAAACTGTGGTAACAAGTTTGAATAGTTTATTGTTATAGTAGATCAAAAAGAGATTTCACGGACAATAGCTAGAAGTACAATATGAAGCAATGCACAGATACGACAGTCGAATATTGAACGATAATAGTTACAAACAAGAATAATAATATCAAATATCAAAAGTTGCTTTTTGAAATGATTAATATATTTCTGCACTGTTCAAACCACACTGATATTTGCCCATCTACCAATACCTAACGCTTTTCTATTTGTTAATATGGATGCTGTATGCTTCGCTTCTCGACTATTCATGATACCAGTAGTTGTCCAAGTTTCTGTTGATGGATCATACAACTCGGCACTACTTAGACTATCAAAATTTCCTCCACCAGTAACTAACACTTTTCCATCTGTTAATAAGATTGCTCTGTGCTCATCTCGTTGTTTATTCATGCTACCAGTAGTTGTCCAAGTTCCTGTTGATGGATCATACAACTCGGCACTACTTAGAGTATCAGGACTGTTTCCACCAGTCACTAACACTTTTCCATTTGTTAATACGGTTGCTGTATGCTGCATTCGTTGGCTATTCATGCTGCCGGTAGTTGCCCAAGTTCCTGTTAATGGATCATATAATTCGGCACTATTTACATTTTGGTAACTATCATTCTGTCCTCCAGTAACTAACACTTTACCATTTGTTAATACGGATGCTGTGTGCTCCACTCGTTGACTATTCATGCTGTCGGTAGTTGTCCAAGTTCCTGTGGATGAATTATACAATTCGACACTACTTAAAACGTCATAATTTTTTCCTCCACCAGTAACCAATACTATTCCATTTATTATTAAGACTGCTGTGTGCCAAGCTCGTTGATAGTTCATGCTACCAGTAGCTGTCCAAGTTCCTGTTGATGGATCATACAATTCGGCACTATCTAAAGTATCAGGATTATTTCCACCAGTCACTAACACTTTTCCATTTGTTAATACGGTTGCTGTATGGTGCACTCGTTGGCTATTCATGCTGCCAGTAGTTGCCCAAGTTCCTGTTAATGGATCATATAATTCGGCACTACTTAGAAAATCATAATCAATTTGTCCACCAGTAACTAACACTTTACCATTTGTTAATAAGACCTCTGTATGCTGCGCTCGTTTGCTATTCATGCAGCCGGTAGTTGTCCAAGTTCCTGTGGATGGATTATACAATTCAGCACTACTTAGAACATCAAAGTATTCTCCTCCACCAGCAAGTAACACTGTTCCATTTATTAATAAGGTCGCTGTGTGCTTCACTCGTGGATCATTCATGCTGCCAACATTGGTCGATCCTACATGAAAACATTTGTATGTATTTATTCTGACAAGAATATGTATTGTTGGATTCACACGATGGTCTAATGTGCGGAAAGTGTTGGATTTTATAATGATAAAGATTGTTTTTTACCAATAAAACAACGTTTTTTCTAAATTTTTGGTAATCTCAAAAAGTTTTTGAATCGACTATAACAAGTCGCCCATGATATAATGCGACTGTGAATTCTACAATTTTGATAAAGAATCGTATGTTTAAGTAACAGGTAAACTAGGTTTGCATTTTCTAACTATCAGCAACACTTATTTACAGAATTAATATGCTTCCAATTATACATATATTACTGGAATTTCGATGGAAACAATTTTCGGTTCGGGTTCACGTTCTATTCGTGTGTTTGATCGTAGCTTTCCTTAATCATATCCACACAAAATCCTATTTCTGCGAATAGTTCGTGCATGGCGTAATGCTCAGCAAGATGAGATGGTACTGAACAGTTTGCTTGAATCCCTTTTAGAAATGCTCTATTCTTTTGAAGCAATGATTACTTGTCTGAAATAACTACCAACGTAAAAAAGCACAAAGCTCAGTGAAATGCCACAGTGATGAGCAATGGGAAGAATATGAATAAATTTTCCTCTTTCACTTCAATGTTACGGATACTGAGTGTGTAGCAATGTTGCTAGTTATGGAAAGATTAGAACAAGCAACACGTTTGGTTTGTGATATCTGTTCGAACTCAATTTTATCCGCGTGAATCTGAAAGCAAGATATATGGATCTTCATGACGCGATTATTCTGTGTTCTGCGATAAGGATTTGTACTCGACTGTCCTACAAGCAAAAATTCTACTAGAGGACTACACAAAAATTGAGAATCATGATGCAATTCTAGTTGAAGTGAGTAGTGTTGGTAACTGTGTGTTACGCACTATTCATACATTTTATTCAACAATGCCTATCGATGAAACTCGTTGTCTTTGTTTGCACTAACTGTATACACATAAACAAGATTACAATAAAGTGAATAATTCTAAAATCTGTGGTAATATGTTGAATGCAAATTTTTCCACGAGAGTTGCTGAATTCTATTTTGCGATCTCCGATACGTATACTATAGTTAAGATCTGACATGGATACTGACCAAGATTAGTAGCATAATTATTTTTTTACCGATTATGCCCACTAGTGAACTGTCACATGCTACTGTAACGATTACCTCTATCAATATATTCTATACTGCAGTATCGATAAAAAATATACATGATATTACCAGTTTACATACTTCGCGTGCCATTGATAATTAGAATTGGAGAGAAAAGAAATTGTTGTTGAGGAGAGAAATGATGAAAACGCTGCTGCCATTACTATCTAGTTTTGAACCAAGTCGTTTTCTCGAACATTCTCTTGCTATTCAATAAGTATTGAACGCCATGAGAGAAAATCTAGTTGATCCGTAACCACGAAAAATTATAATCTCTTCGTCAATCTTCATTGTGAAATTTACAGAAGAAAAGATGATAATGAGAGCTGCAATTGAAACAATTCTTCTGAAATGAATCTGTTGGTCACTGACAACAACAGTTATCAAGTAGTGTAATGCAATTTAGACGATCATTTTGGTTATCACATACGCATTGGAAATCGATATATGTCTCAGTCTGTCCAAGAAAGCTCAATCATAACATGAAACCGACTCGTACTTCTTCTCATCTTCTTTAATTCATTTCTATACTCAAAGAATATATGCATAAATGAAAAAAACAATTTTTTGCCAAGAATTATTTGCTATACGACTTATCATTTGGAAAACTCGATTGCCTAAAACCTACCGATATTTTTACTAATACAATAATATTGAAGAATCCTCAGGCCAAAATCACATTCTAAAGCCATATGGTAACTCTACGAAATATCAGCAGCCATTTCTTCAGTATTGCTTTCAGTTTTCGAAGAAAATAGAAGTATGTTTAATAGTATCGTGGAAATTACTTAGAACTTTGTTCGCATAATTAGTCAATTTCTGCAAGGAACGAAGTCATCGATAACTTATTTAAACTCCGTGGTCTATGTAGAGTAGATGGTCAATGCATTTTTAACGATGAAGGGGAATAAAACTCAAGTATGAAATGCTCGATGAATAAGTAATTTGCATAAAGAAGAATATATTACTGCCATGAGACAGCTGGAGAAGCGGGATGAAATCACTGTGCTATTTGTTATGGCTAAGAGTGAACATCCCATTGGTATCTGATCTCAAGTTCATTTCCTCCAAGAGATTAAACGTTGATGCACACCTGTCTCGCATTAAATAGCTTTCTCAGTAATGTGTATGTATAGATCCTAAAAAATAGAGTAGAATACTCTTCTTATAGATCAGATATGGATACAACTGTTAACCTTGGCACAATTTTCGTAACACCTACTATCTTTTAAAACTGCGTGTGGATGTTCTACATCAAAACATTCCATTCACAAGCATCCTCAGTTCGAGTTGCTTGATTTCGCAAACCTCTAATTACTAATTCGGCGGTTATTCTTCAATTAGGCATCTATTCTTTACAAGTCTCTTTCGTTTTACTAATACAAGAAAAAGTGCAAAAATATCAATACCAATGATTTAATAAAGGATTAAAATTATATGCAATTTCCTTCGATTACGAACGATTATAACAAAACAAACCAAACTTATCATTTTTGAACGACTAATCCGATTAAATATGACAATAATGCTAGAAGAAAGAATGATGATTTAGATTACTCTAAAACCGGTCTAAATCGTATAAACCATGAAGAACTATTGAAAGTCAATTAGAATCCTCCACATCCTGTGAAGAATCTAAATTTATTTTGGTCGAATTTTTTCACTTTAAATGATTTTTATTAACTTTTGGTAAGCTCCTGACACTAGATGATTTTAATGTAACTGCTACCAAGATACATAGCATCTACCTATATCTCATTTAAAAGTCATATTTAGGAAGATTAAAAAGCGTCTGTGTACAGCGTACCTGATTGCTGAGTTGTGGTCCCAGCTGTTGCTAATAGTGTTGTTGTTGCCGTTGTTGATGCTGTTGTTGCCGTTGGTGATGATAGTGTTCCCGTTGATGATGGTGATGATGGTGTTCCCGTTGATGATGGTGATGATGGTGTTCCCGTTGATGATGGTGGTGATGGTGTTTCCGTTGATGATGGTGATGTTGCTGTGGTGATATCACGCTTCTTTGGTGCAAGTATGGCGAATTTTAATACCAGAGTGAGTATAACTCCAAGAATTGCCACAACGACAAAGCAGATGCAAATGATTGTAAACCAACGATGGTGCCACCATTTGCGTGGTACATTATTTCCATTGACTTGCTCACTCAACATCTATAGTTTTGCCAATACAGGAAAACCTGATAACAATACTAGAGTGTATCAATAGAAAAGGAACAGAAGTTTGTTAAAATTCATGTGACTATGCTAGTGAATGGAAGTAGCCTATAAACATGGAAAAGACGGTGCTAAAACTATTCCAGTCACAAATAAAATAACAGATAATACAGATCTACATGAATGGAAAACAATTAGAAACAGTGAAATTTATCCCACTTCGATCTAGACGAGTCATTATCTTATAACGATCTTTTCGTTTGGGATATCTTTACGAATAAAGGAAAGAAACAACAAAGCATTAATATTGGACATATCTTAAATTTAGGACATTTCTCCAGGTTAGTTAGAGTGATAAAAATGATTGATAGATACGAGTCAATTCTAGGCCACTAGCTTTTATTCATCGAAAATCTTTCCTAATGAGAAAATAGATTAGATTATGTGCGAGCTCTTCTTAGCTTTTTAACAACACTACCTTGTCTCTTCATTTTAATATACTTAATAACTTATGCTTCATACACTCTTTATTATTCATATTGTGTAAAAAAAAACATGTTAGCATATGGTTTGCTTTTCACCTATTTATATTTGCCTTTTGTTTTTCTTACTGATATGATACCGTTTTACCTTTCTGTTTTCTTCTCTTCTCTGGTATCATGTTTTTTATAAACATCAATAGAACTCATAGAATTAAGCTTACTCAAAAATAAACCTGTTGTTTTTTATCTTTTCGTATTCAGATGCCTCGTCAATGTGATGCTGTGAGTATTGGAGCTATTCCACTACCGATTTCGACCTTGCTCAAAGATATCATCGGATAGTCGGTAGATCTCAATTTGACTAGAGCAAATCATTGAGAATGGCTTCAGACAAGCTATTACAGTACAAGTATACTTCAAATTTGTCTTTGTTTTTATTTGTTTTTGTTGGTTTAATTCATGAAGAATATATCTAAAATAGAAAGAAAGATGAATTTATAAATATATAATTGGATAGCTCTTAAATTTTTATGGTGACAAGTATATTTTAGACAAAACCTAAAGGAATATATGATGATTAAAATAACAAACCAAAATAAAGTTTTCTTGTAAACGAGCTTAGTCCTTTCAAGTACTTCTAGATGTTGTCTGTAGTATTTGCTCGAAGTAGAGTTTTCAATATGACCGTTCGGAAATCACGTGATCCATGTTTTAACCGTTTTGGATCTCATCTCTTTCTTCTGTGATCAAACGTGATTTTTCTGGATCCCCTTCCCTCCCGGCCAAATGCTACAATTTTTTCAAATGAGTCTTTTTTCAAAGTGGTTATTTCCATTATCTTTGTTCATTTTGCTAGTTTTTTATGATTTATTTCAAAAATCAAATGTTTCAACATGAAAACAAACTCTACGTAAATCAGTTGTGGAACTCTGACAATGTTTTAAGAATTAGACCTGCTTCAATTTTCCTTCCTCCACAAAACAGTGTGTTGAACTTTGAATTTGCACGTATCCTTTCTAAGGAAAAAAACCTTTTTTTTATTTTCTCAGTAAGACTTCTCGTGATTGATGGTGATTACTCTAACAAATACCTTCTGAGCATGTTTAGATGAAAATCTTAAGTGTTGTACATTAGTCTTTTGATGAGAGGAAAACTGAAAAGCGTATACAATTTCTAAATCTCTTTTTGAGTTTCACCACTCATTTACGCTACAAAAATATTCAATTAGGAAAGTAGTTCATGTAAAGAATATTAATTGATGTATACAGTTAATCACCTGTAACTTACTGAACTCCAGTGATTTAAAAGAAACTAAATCTTTCTAAGAAATATGTTTAGTAATATATTGAATCTAACTGTTCATAGTTGCTTTTTTTTTCTATTATGGTATTTAAATAGTTAAAAAATGCATAGCTTTTATTATATAATAGTTGTAGAATGAAATAAAAAAAATGATGCATTATTTTTATAGAAGAAATATTAAGATATGAAAATCTATCATATAATAAGAGGACATGTTATTAACATCTTAATATGAGTTAGATTATATCATCACACGAATCTATTACAAATAACGTGATATTGTTCTATATTGATAATAAATTTTACAACAGAAAAATCTTAAAACTGTGTCTACTACAATTGTCTCTGGCACATCCAACGAAAAAAATTTCCAACTATCTATGATTACGTATAGTTTTTAGGATCTGTTGATGTGTTCCCCTATCTCTAATTCAAATTATTTCGCTTATTGATTGCTCAGATAATAAAATTCCTATGGTAGTATATATCTACAAAATTTCATGGTTAAAAATATTATTGTTGAAAAATGGCAAAATATACAATGAATAGATACTGCATTAGTATATCTTTATATCTCACTTAGGGCTACATACACGGAGAACTTAACTGACATTTGTGACAACAGTTGAACATATGGTTCGTATTTGAGTTGTTTCTCTCTTACAACGGTTCTTAGGGAGTCTTTAACATACTTCTTACTCCTTAAAAACTGGGGATTCATCTAGGATTTCGTATTTTTCAGGCGATACATCGGAGACTCTTCAGAGAAGAGTTGATTACAGCACCGTTGACTACTCATTAAAAATATCTATCCAAATATTTGTAACTAATACAAAGTCAAAACTATAAATGCGTTGTTAAATTCTCATTAGTTCCACTCATATCTCTAATGTAATTCTATGCAAAATGATGGCAAATATGAGCCATTGCTTAGTATAATCATGTAACAGGATAGATAACATTGGGCTCTCTGATACAGAATGCAGGAAAAAACTGCTTTATTTCATATTTGCTATACACTTTGTTAGGAAAATATATTGTAAATTAGCGCTTTGGAAAAAAATAGAAAAATGGCGAGAGAAAAAAGAACTGCTAATACTGTGTTCATATTGAGTCTCTAAATAGTTAGATGATGTTGTTCATCAGCTATTTATTCTATTTTATTCTGTTATATAGAATAATTGCGTTTCCTCAAATTAATCTTGATCTCACCGATTGGATAAATGATGATGAAAATAATAATGTTCTTCAGCATGATTGTCTTCATGTGGCTGCTTGGATCGAAAAAGATAATGATCCTTATCAGATTATTTCTTATTGTATGAGTGAATAGCCATCAAAACGGAATATTCAAAAAAATAATCAAGATCATAACTTTACTTTTGCTGAACTCTACAAATTAAATATGGCTTGTATTTAATTGTTCAGTATTTTATTATAAATGTTCAGTAAATTTTTTACCACATGTTCAATAGTTCTTGTTCATTAAAAAATTATTTTTTGCTCGGTGAATAATTCAAGAAGTTCAGTAAACAATTCAAAAAGTTCAGTAATTAATTTACAGTAAAAAAAAGTGTAATTACCATTAACAGAAATTTATTGAATCAGTAATGCTTTTTTGAATTTTGGTGGTCTACCACGACGTCTTTGTTCACCAATTTTAACATTTTTAGCAGTAGATAATGGTTTGCAGTAGTTTAATATAATTGCCATGTCGAGAACATGTTTACACATAAAATTTTTGAAAAATATTGAACAATTGCACACAGTATCTAACCATTTTAATTTATCTACTGGTAATGTTACAGACCAAATATTGAATGCTTTTTGTTTATATTGATCAAAGGAGTACCATTTCATTTTCTTCCCTACATCAATTTCGACGTTTGTAATTTTTGTTTCATTTTCAGCAGGTATATAATATTGAACTAAATTATCACATTCAGTCGAAAGTATTCATTTGTTGGATTTGACCCGTTGATATTTACTTGTCCATAATTCCAATGAGATTGTTTGCTTATAATTGTATTGCTTTGAACCTCATTCATAACATTTCGACCATTTTTACACAATTTCAAATGCTAATACTTAAAATCTTGATAATGGTAGACGTAGTTTTGGAGAATCAAAATTCAACTTATTTTAAAAAAAAATGAGCTATTTATATAGGAATAGGCAAAGGGCCAAACGAGGGTACGATGTCGAGAATCTTATTCTCCTTTGTTAAATTGAGAACAAGAAGAGAATACAATATATTCATCCTCTTAAATAACTGTAAAATATCAAACAACTATAAGAAAATATAAAACGTAGGTCAAGTAAAGATGACTTCGATAAATACGACAACATATGTATACGATTATCTAGGGATACTATGTAACGTAGCATATTTTGACTGATGATGTCATCATCCGTTAACGTGGACAAACGTTCTTCTATTTACATCAAAATATTTTCATCGAAAAAATAAAACTGATTACTGATAAAAATACTACTTGTTACTGAGTAAATGAATTTTTGAATCAGCAAACTGAACTAATTACTGAAACTTTAATTTTAATACTGAGCAAACAATTAGTTGGCTGAGCAAACGTAATAGTTACCGAGCATTAAATTTTATACTGATAGTTTGATTTCTTTACTGAGAATTTGTATATAATACTGAACGCATTTTACTGAATATTTACAAAAAAATACTGAACATTTAATTTGTCTACATTAAATATTACGAGTGAACAATTATATCTTTGGTCGGCACCAATGGATGTTGTTGAACGTTGTCAATTTTATTTAAATCTATTGTTAACTTCAAATTCATCGTCATCATCATTAATGGCGATACATATATTCTATAATTGTACATCACCTAGATTCGGTCCATTGTGTCAATATTCATTGAATGCTTACAAGTCTCATCATTTAACGTTACACGAGATGATTTGCGAATTTTATCTTCACGAATACGAACCAACAATATTGACGTGTTACATTCATTTACAATGGGATCGTGGTTCAACATCTGTATCTCTTGATTGGAGTGAAATATATGATGGAATTATCGATTGTCAAAATGGAGTCGATGAAGAAGATTGTTGGCAAGTGGAAATAAATGAATGTGAATATAATGAAGATCGATGTCTAAATGGACAATGCATACCTACGACATTCTTTCATGATGATCCTAATATTTTTGAATGTATTGATCGATCAGACGAAAGGTTATCTCAGCAACGATTATTTATAAATATGAGTGGTAAGCCTACATTTACAAAGGAAGATGTTCTGTGTTCCATACGTCATTTCAACTTCAAAATGAAGCTAACAAGTTCATGTGTGATGCAGCGCACCAATTTACTACAGCAGTTCATGTTCTCTGAGAAGCCAAGCATTATATAGAATGATTGTTGGTTAGCTGTTAAGTATCAGTTGGGTATTCCACACATATTATCAGATCTAAAATGTCGTGATCTTTCTTTTAAAAAAATTTGAACAGAAATAATTAACGACACATGTCCCGATATGCTGTATGTGCCAGCTGGTCCCTTTCCTTTTGGACATATGCACGTTCTATATACAAAAGAGGGTATGTTAAAATCTAATGCGAGAGTACCATCACCTGAATATGCCTGCTGCAATGATAAACTTTGCGGCGGATTTTATTCGAACCGAACATTATTGTCAATCGGTAATAATAGATGCCGCTGCCCCATAGATTTTCCATTAACTTTTAAGTCGCTCATACTCACCAGAGACAACTGGCGGAGCATGTATATTTTACCTCTGTATGAGCAGTTTTATCGATGCAACACAGTTGTCCACAGTGGTTCTACAAATTGTAACAGTTTAACCATGTACAGATGCCTCAAGTCCTAAAAATGTATTTCTAAGCATCGTCTTTCTGATGGTATGAACAATTGCGATTATGAAGATGATGAACAATGTTTTTCGATTAATGGCTCTTGTTCGACATATGGATCGAAAATGCATTTCAAATGTACTACAAGAGATCTTTGTATTCCTCCGACATTGATTGAAAATGGTTGGTGTGATTGCGGATATAATGAATATGATCTCTGTGATGATGAAAGGCTAAATCTTCATTATCCCAAAAAACATATCTCATTTCCAACAATTTGTGATGGTTTTACAGAATTAATACCTGTTAGTATCGGCGGACGAAATGAAACCGACGAAACTGAATGTGAATATTGGCACTGTAATAACACGTACACTTGATGTGACAGATTTTGGAATTGTTTCAATGGAGCAGATGAAGTCGATTGTGATCAATCACCAATATTGAGATGTCCGTTTCATCATCACATCTGTGTCTCACCTGAATCATATCAATTCGTGTGTTTGCCTCTTACAAAAGCCAATGACGGTAATATTGATTGCTTTGGTGCTACTGATGAGCCACAACTATGTCGATCAAATACTTATGAACTCAGCAATGTTANGATTGAAAACTGAAATGGAAAGCGTATTAATCTGCCTCACGCGTTAGTGAAGTTTTACACAAAAAACAGTTCTTATCGAAATTTCATTATTATGATACCAGCTGAATAGGGATGAAATAGCACAGAAAAATAGAGCTTCATTTTCTCTATCGTCTCATAAAAACAGAAAATTTCATCAAGCCTTCTATACGAAATTGAGATGCGACCGCCACTACTTTTGGATATCCCTAAGTAAATTACTTCAATTCTGTTTAAGTTCAGTTTTAAAATGTTCCATCAAGCATTCGTATTGATATTCCTAAGAAATCGCCACAAATTTTGATCAGTTGTCTTATATGGCGAAAAATAGAAGAAAAAAGAATTTTGTGTAATTATTGAAAAACTATTTGATCATGTATTCTATTATGATTGAAATGCGACGTAGTTAATCACAGCATGTTTCACTGTGATCGTTCTTGATGGTGACATATATATATGCGTTATTTTCATTTATAATTATGACTTTAGCTAAAGTACCTATTCGAAACTGACAATATTCTAGAATACAGAGTGGGTCTGAGTGTAATAAAAAAGTTTTCACACAAGTATATCCACATCAACACCTACTACTCACACCCTGTTCGTACAAAAAAAAACTATAAAAAAAATTTCAGCTGAAACTAAAACGAAATAAATCTTCAAATTAACCAATAGCTAAAGAAAACATTCATATGACAAAATCTAAAAGAAAGATTAAAAGCCAGAAAGTAAAAACTGTGGATAATGTCAGGAAAGAAAAATTCAGAAAAATATAAAGAAACAACATACATTGATAATTAGTGTAACGAAGGGCAAAGAAAAGCATGATAATTCAAGATCTTTTCTTTTTCTTTTTCCTCTGCAACCGATGCGATTATTCTTATTTACCGTTGCCATTTCATGAGTGACCTTTTCTCGAAAGAATGAATGAGATTTTTGTCATATCGAATTTCTGTGCGGTCGTTTTGTATTACGAATCTCAATCGAAACGAGAGAAAGAAACTCATTTTTATGAGTTTATGGCGTTGACTAACGTTAAAATTACAAAATCGCAGCATTTAGAAAGACTGATGAGAGTTCATTTCATTCGCAAAATTTAAACGAATAACTGAACTCAATCTAAGTAGCGTGTTATCAAATCAGTATTGAAAATCAATTAAAAATCATTACACATGCTTTCTATCATTATTACACTCGTCCTCATCGCTTTTTCGCATTCTTTTCATTGATTAAATACATGAAGCTTGAAATGCCATCTTTTGTTATTTGTATGTGATCATATAACTTTCATCAGCTTCACTATCGACTGTTTTGCGGATTGATGACGAAGCTCGTACTTTTAGCATTCTTCGTGACGATTTCTTGTTCATATTCAACATCAGAACGGTTATCCAATTTATCGAGTCTTCATTCGCAATGGAGTTCAGGTATATTGTGGTGTTCAGAATTATCGTTTCAACTTTTACTTAGGAATAAAAGAAATACAGAAAATTGTTCTAATCCTGCTTCCAAGTAATCAATAACGTTTGACTAAGAAATCTTTGAATAGATAAAATCTCATCAACGTCACTTTTCAAAAGGATAAAAATAAGTGGTTTGTATAGTTACTTTTGTTTTGTAAGATAATGGAGATACAAAATTAAAGTAGAACTTTTCAAAACAATAATCATATTCTTAGAGGATTCTTTGTACTTTTTATGCTTGAAGAGGATGCACAGTTATCTGGCAACATATCACTTGCTTCATTCGGTGAAGTTCTCGGAATAGCATCAACAAATGTTCCAGCCTATTCGAACGGAAATGACAGCTATATTTCTAAGGAATATTATAATCTGTATGGTATATTCATGGGAATGAAATGGCAATGTGTTGAATACGCCCGTCGATGGCTTTTTATACGTAAAGGCTGCGTTTTTGGAAGTATCAAGGGCGCTGCTGACATGTGGAGTGTACTAGCTCATGTGCAACGAGTCATTGACGGTCAATGTTTTCCTTTGACAACGCATCCGAATGGTTCTCCTTATTCACCAAGAAATGAATCTCTGCTTATCTACAGTCGTAGTAGTCCGGACATGCCATATGGTCATGTTGCCATCATAGTCGATGTCGGACTTAATTTTGTCCGCGTGGCCGAAGAAAACTTCAACTTTTATTACTGGTCAGACAATTATGCACGACAAATTCCATTCGTTATAAAGAATGGCAGTTACTTCATTGAAGACGACTATCACATTTACGGATGGATGTCAATTGAAGATCGTAATCAACTCAAGTCGTTAGATCAATCTACCATCAATGTCATCGTTCAGCAAAATATATCTTTGCCTGATTTCTTTTGTTCTTATAGTGCTGCTCGTTATTGCGCTCCATTTCATCATTATCTATATTTCTTTCTTTACTTTGTTTTTTTACGATTGACTTTTCTCTAACATTTTTATCAATTTCCAAAAATCACCTATCAATTAATAAATACGGCAATTGATGTGAGTATAGTTCTTTTTCATCAGCAGGAGCTGTTCGGTCTGTGTGAAGCGCAATGATACCGCAGATATCAATCGTTTCTGCGAGTACCAATTGTGTAGCACTTCTTTTACAGTGACTCGCACTTATATGTATCTAGATTGTTTATCTATTGACTTTACAACAATGTTCAATCACGGAATGCCATTGCATTATCAGATGAAAAGTCTTTTTTGAAACAGTACAACCCATTGTGTCGACGTGTTCTGTTGACTTCGTCGTGAGATTCATTTCGGTATTTCGATTCTGAATCACATTAAATAATTATCTAAGTTTTCGTCACACAAATGTTTCTCTTTTTGAAAATTCTAGTTCTTGCTGCAACTTGACGAACACGAATGATTTTCAATGTTCCACAAGAGGGTGTGGGTTTTGCTTCCATTGCCACTGACCCCTCACACCCACACCCTCTATTTCGGCAACAGATACTCTTGTATAATAGCTATCTTTGAGTTTACTCAAAAAACAGATAGAAATAACAAATTAACGTGAGATAAGACGAACGTGCATCGAATTAGGCGAATTCTATAGTAATATCACCGTGTCTAGACATAATGGCAACTCTTGTTAAATGTCAATCTGAATTTCCCTCCGAATCACAATCAATAAATGCTATATGCTACATTATTCTTACTATGATTACTTTGAGTTCAAATCGAGCTAAATCTTGTCCGATACATGAACGATGACCACGAACGAACACAACAAAAGCATAAGGATGATGATTTTTGTCGTCAACTAGGAATCATTCTGGATAGAAAATATTTGGATCGATAGACCATAATCGCCGATCATATGATAGATTATGGGACGGTATGACCACTGTTTCGCCTTTGTACAATTGAATACCATTCTCGGACAGACGATCATCGGTCGTCAGTAAGTGAAATACCTCGTTGATAACTCAATCCAAATAGACGAAAGAATCAAAACAATCCAGGAACATTAGGCCCATCAATTTCGTCTTGATCTTTTGTTTTAATGGTGGATATTTACTCTTGAAATGAATGAATCAAGCCAGAGCGGTTGCAGTAGTTTCAAAGCCAGCGATATGTATTCATGGCTTCTTTGGCATAGTGGAACTACTTATGTTATTTTATTTTTCTCATTCTTTCTTCTACCGATGCAACATGTTTCTCTGCTCATGACTCAACTGTTGTTACAATTGTGCAGTTGGAAAATTCCATGCCGTATTATATTGCTTGTTTTTTTTCTTTCTATTTCAGCTATTTCATTACTCACACAACCACAATACTTTTTACGACGAACGGAAGTGACTAATATACAATGAGTGACAGAGATGTATTGCAGCCGGCAAAAAGTTTTATATGGCAAAAGTTAAAACCATATCGTGGTAAAGTGAAACGCAACGAGAAAGGCGATCAATTTTATCAGTGGGATTATACGCACGGTGATATCGAAGTTTACAATAAACGAGGTGAACATTTGGGTTGTATAGATGGTAACACTGGCAATTGGACCAAGCCGGCTGTAAAAGGTCGTACAATTGATGTTACATAAATCAATTTTTTGTTTACTTATTTTATCTTTGAATGTTAATAAAATAAACAAGACTTCAGTTGATTTATGATGATCTTCACTATTGAGAATATATGAAAGATGAAAGGTGAATTCATTAAATCTGTATTCAGATGTAAAAACGAGTTTCACATTGATGTAAATGACACCAAATGTTGAAATAATGTAATGCTTTCAGGAAAACAATGACAGTAGATGAACGATGCACATTAACTCTTAAGAACAACAGAGAAGAGAAAATATTTTTTTCTTGAGTTCACATACCACGAAAATCGTAGTTCAGAGCTCGAAAATATTTGTATCAGATATAGAATTATATTGTTCCAAACATTTAGAAGTAACCTCTGTCATAAACGATCGATTAAGTTTTAGTCATTTCCTACTAGTATAACTTTAGCACGAACAACATGATGGTAATTTATCAAAGACTCATACACTAAAATAAATCGAACCTATTGTTTTGGGTCATAATTTTAGTGTCCTGAAGAGAATGTCACAGAATATAATAAAATCTATTTTCATCAATTTACATTATAGTAAACTGGCAACCATGTACATCCACACTGAAAATAATAAATGCATCTTTTTTAACGAACACAAGCATGATGTGAATTATAGAGCTGAACCATTTTTAGAAAGAAGAGTCTAATACAGTGTTTATTGTGCAATTATTTTTTCAATAGCGAATTCAATCGATGTAACGAAGATAAGATTTCGCCATTTATAAAAAACTCTTCTTAAATGTTTTTTTTTCTTAATGTTGTTAGTAATTTTTTGCATTTGAAAAAGAATTTTAGAATGTCTTTTTTTTATTGAGTAAGATCTTAAATGACAATGACTTGAAGATTGTATACGAAACTCATTAAAATCATATGAATCCAACACAACAACATTTAGTATACAGTTTCTTATTCAACTTGAAAGCCAAGGCGGCAGCGTTACACCAACAATCGAGTTGATCGCCTAAACTTTGTCACTATTGTACCATTTACTGAGTTTCTTTGCCTTCAAAAATAATTTTGGATCCTTCTAGAACATTTAATTACTCTTCAAAAGTGAAAAATCTGGATGAAGTACTGGTAATGCCGTCTATTATCATTGTTGTAGTAAAATATTACATAGTTTGAATTGATGAAAGTTTCATTCAATCTACCGAAAAAAATCACAAGAGAAATAAAGAATCTTTTAACATTACATATACAGACCGAAAGTTAATCGAGAAAAACATCGATTTCTTTAGTGGCTGGAAATTGAAAAAACTTGACTAGAAAACACTATAATAATTTAAGTTGAAGAGACAAATTGTAGCAAATAGACTTGGAATAAATCTATTTAAACATGCATCAAGATTATTGATAGTTTGTTCACTATTGCTTATAGTATCATAACAGATCAATGCTACAAAAAATAACTAAGAGAAAGATATCAAAATTCTTTAATATGTATCGATTAAAATGAATTACACTTACCTATTTGCAGAATAAAACTTTCCGCTCGACTAAAGAATATTGTGTACCTAAAATGAACATAATAATTATATTCAAATCATTTTTACAAACATAGATTCCAGTGCCGTATGACATCAGTAAAAAGTATTGAGGTTTGAACACTTCATGAATATGAGTGAAACTTTTTCATATTATTGTTGAGATTTCCTCAATTAATATGTGATTCTATCAACAATGCTCTACATAAAACATATTGATATTTATCGATATGAATTGAATTTATGATAATAATAGTGATAATATTTGTTCTTAATTATAAACAAAAACAAAATAAATGACTCAAATATAGAATAAATAAAATTGTAATTTAAGGATTAATAATAACATTGTCAAATAAAACTATAAAATAAATAGGTTTTAGTTTGAATGAGTTATTTTTTTGCAATTGCAATCAATAATCCAATAAGTGTTTCGGCAAAATTAATCATTTGTTCATTATTTTTAGTACATGAATTTTCAAAAGATTTTTCCAAAAGTTCCATAAAAGTAAATTGTTTGTCATTTGGAAGTAGATTTATTATAGAAAACAATTGTTGCTTTAGGCAATCGTATAAGTTTGAATTTGAATCGAACGCATATTTTATAAAATCATTTGTTTCTTCATCTTCCAAAGCAATAGAATAATTGACGAGAAGTGGAGCAGCAAATAACCATGGAAAACTTAGCATACGCTTCTCTATGGCACTTTTATCAGTATATGCTACATAATAACAAGCAGCTGCTTTGGCTTTGACTTTATGATATGACACAAGATCATAATGAAAGCTCTTTCGAATATTTTGAAAAATAGCTTTCAGTAACTGTTGTGCTGTTTGTTGGATGTCACTTCTTTCGTTGGCTCTCATATTACGTGAATCCATACAACAAAAAAGATCAATTTCATTGGAAAATCCATAAGATCCAATAATTTCCAGCATTTCATGTTGATATCGTTGATAAAGATTTTGTGCAAAATCAATATATTCTTCATAACCTGTGTGAAGAAGAGTTTGATCAAGAATAATTTCATTTTTATCATTAGAAATTTCATTTTTAAAAGTATCATTTAAACGATGAGCACTTCGAAATAATTTTCCTATTAGACAACAATAAAATTCTAAATCTATTTAAATTCATGTCAAAATATAATATATCTAACTTACCGAGTATTTTCTGAGATTGATACACTTCATAATCAGATGTTTGCATAAAATCAGGTCGAGTTGTACCAGCTGTGTCAACAATCTTCTTAATTTGATCTGACGTATAAGGATGTTGACCTGATTTTACGCTATCTAATTCGTCACTTAATCCAGCAGCTAATAAAATAGCTTCTTCACTATCAATACCAAGTTTATCGACAAGAACAAGATGAATATTACTCAAACGACCTAAATTGTCTTGTTCACAAATATCTAATATAACTTTCAATCGATCATTGCGTGTTACAACACGATTAAGAGGCTTTGGACTTGGTCCAGAATCATATTCGTATGGAGTTGGATTAGGTGAAGTAGGTACGAGTATTGGATCCCAAATGACAGTATATTCGTCCCCATCCAAATCCGATCCAGATATTTCACTTGCGTGGGGTCGTGAACCTTGTTGAGGAAATACTAAAACATCGTATAAATGATAAAGAGACTTCTTATTAACAGCTTCTAAAACCCGTAGATCGCCAGGATGATGACATGGATTTTTCGTAATAGCAATAGGTCCTTCTAAAATAGTTCTATTTCCATCTTCATCAGTAATTTGAATAAAAACTTGTCCTTCCTTAAGTACTTTATATTCATCAACAATGCCAAACATATAACGTGCTTTCGGAACACGAATATGAGCCCTTGTTACTATTTGATAGAGATTATTTGTGATTGTTGTAACAAGAAGACGACGAAAAAAAGGTTCGTTTGATAAATTTGGATGACGAGAAATTTCTAACCATGGTAAAACATGAAGAATCTTATCACGAAGAACACACAAGGTTGATTGATTGGAAAAAAGTGAAGCAATTAGCCATAAGATATTTCGCAGTTGAAAGACGAGAAGATGTTCATTGGATATGCCACGATATGAAAGTAAATTGATTACTTCACGATTAAGACATAAATTACCTACAATAGATCATATTATAAAATATAACGCATGAATCAGAATAAATACAACTATAGGTAAACAATTTCTCTACAACGAAGTATGACAAAGTTATAGAAGAAAAAGTCGAGATGCGGCAAAAAGTATCAACTTTTAAAGGCTTAATTTTGGCGTTTTGAATTACTGAAAATGTATTTGTCTTTTCGATGTAATGTTTTATTGTAACGTATTCGTTATAATAATAGAATAAAATACTTTCAGTACCTATTCTAAAATAGACAATCTAAGAACATCTTCTGTTCTATTGATTTTCTCAAGCAATATAAATTTCCTAGATGAATTTAGACTTACGTCTAAGTGAACGTTTGCATAATTCAAGTACTTGATGTTTACATTTAAATTTATTCATGCTTGGTCGAATTAATAATTGCTTCTTTTTTCTATGCAGCACTGGATTTACAGCAACAGTACCCTTACAACCTCCATAGCGAATTTGGAGAACACTAGAAACATATTCACCCTTTTCAACGTTAATACCAATTGATTCATGAATCTAAATAGAATATAATACTATTAGTTAGATTAAAAAACACATCATTATTTACCAATTGATTTAATTCTGGTGAGATTTGTCCAACGCCATCCGTAAAATTATATTTTCCATCGGTTGTCTTTAAGTCAGGAATAACATTAACGAATTGTTTATCGATCTTTAAGGAAAACAGAATGATACTTTTTTGTTTTCAATTAAAAGTAATTTATATATATTCTTACTTCAATAGTTGCTTCTGTGCTAGAAAATGGCTGGGTTCGTCGAGCAGTATTCTTTGCTGGTAATTGTTCATCATCAAAATTTCCCATCCATGCTTCAAGTACTTCACGTTTCATTTTGCCTTCGTTTTCGCAGTAAAAGTAAAACTGTTTTTGTCGTATTTGAGATTGTGCGTGATGTAAATAAATATAATGACGATTACCAAACCAAAATCCATTTTCCAGATAATGTTTTAAAAATGGAACAAGTTCCTTTGATAAATATGCTGATCCGGTATCATCACGAAATTCTACTAAAGCCATTGATTGACTTGCATTGGATATATATCGAAATACTCGATTGGATCGCATAAATTTAAATGGTTTGACACTAAGACGTGTTGGTGTAAAACAGAACCATGGTATACGAACATAATTAATCCAAGCTTTATCCATTTTATAAATCGTACTATTAAGATAGAAATCATAATAAGAATTCTTAATAGTAGGTAATTCAGATGGAAGTGGAAAAAAAATATTTTCCGGTAAAACTGTCAATCGTCTCAATCGTTCGAAAATATAATAAATAAATTCATCAGTATTATTTTCATTTAATATTTGCAAGATATTATTATTATTATTAATTTGATCATATATATGACATCCTGTACTTATAAGCATATGCCAAGCATATTGGTAAATAAATGTATACGTAGATATTTGTAAATGATTGCTATAAATAAAGTTCTTATATGCAAAGTTAATAGATCCAAAATATATCGGAATGCAATGATAACTAAAAAATTGGATAAAATAACGTAAAATCTCGTGGACCGGTTTAGCATTTTTTTGTTGACGATAAATCGACAAATGCATGGTTGAAAAACATGGCTGCAACTGTTCGTCACATGTGTTCTGCAGCAAGAATAGACGTGTGTAACCTTTGACAGAAAGAAAAAAAAATGAAAATTGTTGATATGCAGTCAATGAGAATGCTGCTATAGCTTACATACTGAAGAGAAAAAAGCAAACAAATAAAAATCTAGTTCTTTTTCTCTTGAAAAATTACTTTACTTGACAGAAAAATTAAAATAAGTATATAACCTTTTCTTTACTTCTACTAGTGATAACATACCAGTTGTTCCGTATTGGAGTCTATATTCTTCGAGATTGCCTCGTAGACAAACATGCATAATGAAGCTATGACTCGATTTTATATCAATGATAACACCATGCTGAATATCGATATGATCTTGTTTTAGTTGATATCTTGAACGTCCCATGTTAATGCTAACAAATGAATTATGTTTTGCAAAATAAATATTACACTTTGAATATGAGTTTTTATCAAACAAGAAATTTGATGCAGCACACTTAAATTCTTTTGGTGAAATAAGAGAACCAAAAGCTAAAGTAACATTGTAATCTTGAAGTGAAATATGATCACATTTTTTATTATTTCTAGATGTCTTTAATTCTTGTGAAGGATTTAAAAGATACCAGAAAGATGAAAGTTTTTTTATATTGATTTTCATTGTTGTGTGATAGGTTCTTTTGTAAATTGTGAGACCGAAACTATTGATTTCTTTTTGGCCTATTGATGTATTCTTATTCTGACATATATTATAATTTAACGATTGGGTACATAAGACAATTTCTGTATTTGATGGTACGAGCACAGCATCTTCGTCTTCTATGCAAATAGATGATAATAAAACTCACGATAAATTTGATACTTACTAATGAGCTCCATATTATTGAATATCAGTTGAAAAAAGTAGTATAAGAGAGTTTCTTTGATTGATTAAAATCAACTAGTGAACTCCAATACATCAAAGTCAGTCATGCCATATTATATAGTGTAAAAAAACCCACTGAAACCTTTCTATTTCTCTTAGTACAGGGAATTAGTCACTAAGTCATATCTCTGTTGTTTTTTTCTTATTGGTTGATTACACGAACTCAATCTTTTTTTTTTATTCCAACTTTCTTCATCTATAGTTTTACACAAACAAACGTTTCAGACAGCCTCTTTTTATTTTTCTGACCAATAAAAGACAAACACATATATAAAAAGTGTATGAATCATAAAAAAAAAGACCATGAAAAGTATTTGATCAACTTTACAAAAAAAATTTTCTTTCTTACATTTTCATTTCATTTTTTATCTCGTGACATTTTCAGATATCTATAATATTATTATATAACAGAGATGTTTATCGCAGCTGAAAAATCTACCGCAGTCGTGATTCAATGTCAAAGAATGTTTCGAAAAGCACTGCCACTAAAGTACTACACTAGTACTCTTGTTACTAATCTATCAGATTCATTTATTCATATAGTATTGTAATTGTGAACATCGAAATTCTGTACAAAAGCATGTAGTTTGGTAATGTACTCGAAACAAGCTGTTGGCATCCACCAATACTCCTTACCTTTTTAGTTGTTACTCAAATAAATCTAAATAAGAAGAATAAAATTCATACTGTAATATTATACTTACCATCACAGTGGTGGGCGAAATTGGTATAAATAAAAAACAACACAAAGTTAATTCTTGTAAATTGATACATGCTGTTAGAATTGTAGTTAAGATTGATCTAAATGCATAAAATATAATCGTTATTCTAATTTCTTAGCATAAAACTTAAATCGTCTACTATTTATTCTTTAATTCCTGTTTTGTCTTTGTGACAGTCGAACATTCCTATAACGAATTATTTGACCAGATCTCTCACTTATGAACAAATACAATTTAGTGCATATTTGAAATGCTAATGCATTTTGGGAAATACAATTACGAAAAAAATAAGGCTCTAGAAATTCCATATTTTTCAGGCAATTCAATGAAGACTGGAAGGGAATGCCGACTTGGGCAGCATTGAAGACTGATTGAAAATATCTATCCAAGTATTTTGTAATTAAGAGAACGTCAAAAATATAAATGCGTCATTAAATTCATGAGTTGCATGCATATTCATAATGTAGTTCCAAACAAAATCGTAGCAGATGTGAATCATAGTTTAGTATAATCATATAACAGAATGGACAACATTGTAATCTGTGATGCAGAATGCAAGAACAAACTACATTATTTCATATTTGCTATGTACTTTGTTAGTAAAAAGTATTGCAAATCAGCATTTTTGAAAAAACAAAATGGAAAGATAGCGAGACAAAAAAAAATGCGCTTTAAATATTACATTCATATTGAATCTCTAAAGAGTTAGATGGTGTCTTTCATCAGCTATTTATTCTATATCATTCTATTATGCAAAATAACTGCGTTTCCTGAAATTAATCTTGATCTTACTGATTGGATAAATGACAATCAAAGTAATATTGTTATACAACATGATTGTCTTCATGTTGCTGGTTGGATTGAAGAAGAAAATGATCCTTATCAAATAATTTCTTATTGTATGAGTGAATGGCCATCAAAATGGAATATTCAAAAAAATAATCAAGATCAAAAATTTACTTTTGCTAAACTCTGCAAGCTAAATATTATTAGTGAACAATTATATCTTTGGTCAACACCAATGGATGTTGTTGAACGTTATCAATTTTATTGAAACATAATGTTAACTTCAAACATAGCATCATCATCATCAATGGCAACACATATATTCTACAATTGTACATCATCAAGATTTGGTCCATTGTGTCAATATTCATTGGATGTTTCCAATTCTCATCATTTAACGTTAAACGAGATTATTCGAGAATTTTATCTACATGAATATGAACCAACAACATTGACGTGCTACACTCATTTACAATGCGATCGCGGTTCAATATCTTCATGTCTTGATTGGAGTGAAATATGTGATGGAGTCATTGATTGTCGAAATGGAGTCGATGAAGAACCTTGTTGGCAAATTGAAATGAATGAATGTGAAGATCATGAAGATCGATGTGGAAATGGGCAATGCATACCTAAAATATTTTTTCATGACGGCCTTAATCTTTATGAATGTCTTGATCGATCAGACGAACAGCTGTTGGCGCAACCATTATTAATAAAAATAATTGATGAACCCACATTTGCAATGAAAGATGTTACATGTTCCAAACGACATGAGAGCCTCAATGTGAAGCTAGCAAGTTCATGTTTGCTAAAACGCAAGAATTTACTACAGCGGCTCATGTTCTCTGATAAACCAAACCAAGTATCGAATGATTGTTGGTTAGCCGTTAAGTGTTACTTGGCTATTGAATATCTAGTATCAAATAAAAGATTTGATGATCTTATTTTCAATCAAACGTGGACAGAAATAATTAACAAGACATGTCCCGATATGCTGTATGTGCCGGCTAGTCCCGTTGCTTTTGGACATATGTACTCTCTATATACAAAAAATGGTATGTTAAAATTTTATACGAAAGTACCAACACCTCAATATGTCTGCTACAATGATCAAATTTGCGGCAGATTCAATTCGAACCAAACATTATTGTCATTCAATAATAATACATGTCGTCGTTCCACAGATTTTCCATTAAATTTTAAATCGTACGAACAAACTAGAGGCAACTGGAACAGTATGTTTGCCTTACCTTTGTATCAACAGCTTTATCGATGCAACACAGTTGTCCACCGTGATTCTACGAGTTGTAACAGTTCTAATATGTACGGATGCTTTAATTCCTCAAAATGTATTTCTAAGAATCGCGTTTGTGACAAAATGAACGATTGTGATCATAAAGATGACGAAAAATATTCTCCGATTAATGGCTCGTGTTTCACATATGGGTCGAAAAATGATTTCAAATGTACTACAGATAACCTTTGTATTCCTTCGACATTGTTTGAGAATGGCTTGTGCGATTGTAGGTATGATAAATCTGATTTGAGTGATGATGAAACGCTACATATCCAAAATATCAGAAAACATATTTCGTTTCCAACAATTTGTGATGGTTTTACAGGATTAATACCCGTTACTATCGATGGACGAAATGAAACCGATGAAACTGAATGTCAACATTGGTAATGTAATAATACTTATACTCGATGTGATGGATTTTGGAATTGTTTGAATGGAGCAGATGAAGCAGATTGTGATCGATTTCCAATATTTAAATGTCAACTTCATCATCATATCTGTCTCTCACCTGACACATACCAATTCATGTGTTTGCCTCTTACATAAGCGATCGATGGCAATATTGATTGCCTTGGTGCCATTGATGAGCCACATCTATGTCGATCAAATAACTCTGAGTCCTGCTATGTTAACATTCATTGCACCATTGGCGAACATGGAATGTGTGCCCCTTATACATATTTATGCTCAACTAGAGGATGTAACGACACAGATTATGACAAAATTTGTGACGATTCTGTAGACATTGGATTCGTAACTATATGTCATGACAAATATACAACTGTTCGTTCTGATATTGCAAACTTTTTTTTGTAAACATCAACTCTATTATAATCAATCATCGGTTACATATTTTTCGTTGGATAGAATTGACAACTCAATAGAACAAATAACGAAACAAAACACAAAAATAATACATTTAAACTCATCAATTACTAAACAAACCGCTCTTCAACATCAAAAATGTTGTAATCGTGGTCTTTTTGTTAGAGTTTGGATAGATTATGAGAAAAATTTAACGACTGAAACATGTCTTTGTCCACCTAGTTTTTATGGAGATATGTGTCAATATCAAAATCAACGAATTAATTTCACTTTACAATTTCAAACATATTCTGATTCTCGACGAACTCTATTTGCTATTGTTGTCTCACTTATTGATGATAGTGATGAACAGACCATTCATTCATACCAACAATTTAGTTATTTGTACGTACGAGATGATAAAATTAAATTTAACATGTATTTATTATACTCAATTCGACCAAAAGACGAAAAAAAAAACATTATTCAATACATATTGATATCTATGAAAAAGTATCACTCACATATCGAAGAAGTTTTTTAATACCAATTAAATTTCCCTTTCTACCTGTACATCGTGTCGCTGTACAACTCAGCATTGCACGTACAACTGATGATGTGAAAAGTTGCTCAAATCAACAATGTGTTCATGGTCAATGTATTAAATATGCAGACAATCTGAAAGGTATTAGTTTTTGTCGTTGTTATCCAGGATGGTCTGGACGATATTGTACTATTTCTCATAACTGCACATGCTCACCTGACTCATTATGTATTGGTATCTTAGCGAATAACTGATCTTTGTGTGTTGTCCTATAAATAAGGGGGGTTCCCAATGTTTATTACGAAGTACAATATGTCACTCTAATCAAAACACCACATGTTACAACGGCGGTCAGTGTATACCTACTGATGAGCATTTAGTATCGAACAAGAAATTTAAATGTATCTGTCAAAAAGGTTTCAATGGAGACAGATGTGAAATAGCTGATAATAAAAACATTGTATCATTTCATCGAGATATCATTTTACCAAACTCTTTACTTGTTCATTTCATTCAAGTGATTGACGATGGTCCACCTACAAATGGCAGTACATTCAAAATTATTTCTGTCAATCAAAATACAGTAATAATTAATTGGTCATATCCATTTCATATTGCTTTTATTCAATTTTTCAATAAAGATTACTATTTAATCAGTGTTCAAAAGAAATATTATCAATCGATAACCATTGTTCGAGAAATTCAACCATCAGATCGTTGTCGACATATAAATGAAGTATTGAATGAGACAATTGTTAAGTTTCATCTTCTTCATCGTATTAAATATTATCATTTACCATGTCAAAGACATTCACCACAAGTGTCTTGTTTTTATGATGATATTCATTTTTGTTTATGTAACAATTATGGACAACAACGTGTAGCTAACTGTTTTGAATTTAATTATAAAAAGAAATTTGATTGTTTTGGTCAAAGTAATTGTGAAAATGGAGCACAATGCTTACAAGATCGATCAACATGTGCACAAACATCAACATGTGTTTTTTTAACATGTTTTTATGGAAGACGATGCCAATTTAGTTCCAATGTATTTGGTCTTTCACTTGATGCAATTTTAGGTTATCATATTCAACCACATATTGCCATCAGACATCAATCTCTTGTTGTACAATTATGTATAGTATTGACGATCATTATGACTGTAGCAGGATTGATTAATAGTGCTCTATTGATGATTGCAATTAATAACAGAGAACCACGTAAAATTGGTTGTGGTATTTATCTAATAAATTCATCGATTACTACTATATTTACAATGATTCTGTTTGCATTGAAATGTTCGATACTTATTATTGCACAAAAGACATATATTACGAATCGTTTATTCCTACAATTACAATGTACTTCAATAGATTTTTTACTACGAATCGGTCTTAACATGGATCAATGGTTGTCAGCATGTATAGCTATAGAACGAACAGTTGCCGCAATAAAAGAAACCAGTTTTGATAAGAAGAAAAGTAAAAAAAAATGACTAAATATATTGTTTTTATTCTTCTAATTTTGAATATTAGTACAACTATTCATGATCCTATTCATCGACGTTTCATAGATGGTGATGATGATGATAGCAAGAAAAGAATTTGGTGTATTGCTACTTATTCATCAACTTTTCAAACATTTAATATAGTGGTGAATATATTTCATTTTTCTATTCCATTTATTATTAATTTGATTTCGGGTACAATCATTGTCTTAATGACTGCTAGACAGCGAAGAGCTGTTCGAATTCATGCAAGTTATCGAAAAATATTATATAAACAATTTGAACAACACCGTCATCTGCTGATTACTCCAATTGTTTTGGTCATTTTAGCTATTCCACATTTGATAATTTCCCTCATTTCACATTGTATTAAGTCAATTAATCATCCATGATTATTTTTGATCGAATATTTTATTTCATTCATGCTATCTATGCTTACTTTCATTGTGTTTGTTCTACCATCCACATCATACAAACAAGAATTTTGGAAGACTTACACACGATATAAAAAAGCGATACAAACACGATTATATATTGTTTCATAGAAAGTTTTAAAAAAACCAAAGTGATTACACATTTATTTTCATCAATGAACAAAAAAATTAATATTTTTTGTATTGAGCCTTATAATTACAAATATATATCTATATAGAATAAAAATAAACTTGAGAAGGGATGTGGGGTTGGAGTGTGTGACTTTTCAGTTCAACCACGACCATGCTGAATAACTCTACATCAGAATGAAAAAAATATTTTTAACCTAATTCAGTCGTCAACAGATAAATGAGTTGAAAACGACAGTTTATGTGATCTATAAAACAAAATTATTTTCAATTTACTATAGTGGCAAACAAGGCATCGTCCATCATGCATTCAATGCAACTATACAGATCGATGAACTCAATTTGAGTACATCACTATCAAATCAACGACAATTCTTTCATGAATTTAAATATAGTAATTTTCTTGGAATTGACTCCCAGTACAAATTTCAGTTTAAAATCTTTCGATCAACATGATAATTTGACTATATGCTATAGTTTAGCTATGCCCCAAATAGTCGTCGAAAAATGGGGTATCACACGTACTGATATTGATTGTTTTCATCATCGGATTTATTATTCTAATTCTTTATGGACTTCACTAAATATGATGTATTTTCATCGACCCTAGCCAAGTCATCTGAAATTTTCTAGAGTATCGATGGAGTCAAACGAACAGCAGACAAACAGCTGATATTGACTGTAAGTATTTTCGTNTTTCTTTTTAATACATCATCAACATCCGATTTACTTGTTTCAAAAACAACGAATAATACTCCAACAATATCATCAATTAGCAATACTCCTATGGAAACAACTGTTTCTTCTTCAGATACAATTAATTTTAGTCAGTTATTAAAATCGACAACTGTCGGTAAATATAATTTAAACTCTAATTATAAAAATATACAATGCCTGTCAAAATTATTGAATCAGTATATAATTTTATTTTGTATATATCTCAAAAACAAAATACGTTAGAATAATCTGGTTTTCATTAGATAACAACCTGTAGTCTTTAGTATACTAATAATAAAAAATTTTAGGTCATTCTATTGATATGTCTAGCTTTTATTAATAATACAATCGCATCATGCCATTTTTCATTCTTTCAAAATTATTCAACCATTTTTTTATGTAAGTTTATGAGGGCCTGTTCTAAGGTGAAATTTTCTTTATTAAACATGATTCAAAAGAACGAATTATGTTCTACATAAACAGTACTTTTTATTGTAGCTTCTCTTCAAGTGTGAATTTAATAACAATGTTTGTTTTACCTATATCAGAAATTTTCAATAGCAAAACAACAAAAAAACTTTTTTTTTTACTCATATGATGTTTACTTAATTTATTGATCAAAATAGCATTAACAAGAACACTAGAATTTGCATGAGATATTCTATTTTAATTGACGCTTACTGTTAAAAAAAATTATGTTTATCATCTCCTATGTGTATACAAAAGTCACAGATAGACGTTATCGATCTAATTCCTGCATTGAAAAAGATGCAAAAATTGTTTGAAAAACTTAAATTTCTCAAGAATAGTTTTCCGTAGAAAATTTCTTATATTTGAAATCAAAACCAATAGATCATTTGAGTTATAAATAACAAGACTAAAAAGTTTACCATACTGTCAATAACAGTTTTAGTGCAGATCTCATGAAATACACAGTTCATATTCCTTAGAAAATTTATGCTTGTAAAATAATTTTTTATACAGTCATTAATATGTGAATTAGGATAGTAAGAAAAATTGAACTTACGTTAGTCACCTTGTTTATGACTACTTCCGTTATAGGTCAAATAAACCTTGTTTTTCAATCTTTTCCTCAAAGAAAAGCTGTGACATAATGTACTTATTAATTAGAGTGCTATTTTTCTTGATGAATCATATATGAGAAAGAAAATTTCAATTGAGAACAGACTTGCAATAGTTTGCTAAAAATAAGTAGTTGAATAATTTTAAAACGATGAAAAGCAGCATTTTGTCATTGTATCATTAATAAAAACGAAATAGATCAATAGATTAATCGGGAGTTTTTTTACGAGTATACTAAAGATTCTAGATTGTAATCTAATAAAAATAAAATTATCTACTGCTTGGATAATTTTTTTTTCTTTATACAGAGACTGTTTACATTCTATTTTATATATAGATACACAACATCAACAACAATCAATCGTTGGTAATGCTGGAAATATTCATTCATCATCATCATCATCAATTCTTTATGCAATAAGTCAGATTTTTTCCACTAATACATCTTCTTCATCCACGACAACAACAACAACAACAAATACTGCTGCTAAGCCGCATATGCCCAATAGTCTTTCATTATATAATAATAATCATTTATCAACATCATCATCTCTTGTTACATTTAGTACAACAGACAGTCCTATATCAGCCACAACAATTGAAAATGAAAAGAAAATAACTGATAGAAGAATTACACCAAATCATATATTTGCATCAACAAATTCATTCTTTAGTAATGAACCTAAAGAAAATAATAAAAAAGCACAAAACAATTTAGTTTTTAATATGAAAGTTGTAAAAAAGAACCAAGACGAATATAATAGAATAACCATTTCAATTAATTATTTTTCTTTAACTTATATAGGTTTTCGAAAAAAAATAGTGAATATAAGTTTCAAGTGTGCGGCTTTGTGTTATCTCTCCTACACAATTTAGTAGCCGAAATCAAAGTCAAATTCCATTTTATCGTTCCTTAGCAACGAAAAAAGGCGCTAAATGGCATTAACAAAATGGTTTATGAGGTAACTTTCTCAGATGTCTTCTTCCGATTTTAATGAATTGTTTTTTTGCGTATAGGTACCACATAGTGTTCTAAGAACAATCCTAAAAGAATCAGAATTTCTATTCCTATTTGATTAGGCTATCGAGTTTTTTTTCTAGAGCCCCCAGGTTTTTGGAAAAATCATATTTTCGAATTTTGATCTGAACCTTTGCGCATATAGAAAACTCAACTAGAATAGCTTCCACAAAAATCAGAAGTTTTAAATAAAGTTTCTTCAAAATATGAGATATTCAAGATGTTGACCTTTTCTCATGTATAGTGTGTACAAAATGTATTTGAAAACTTCATATCTTGAAGAGATTTTGTTGAAAACTTCTGAATTTTTTGTATAAGCTAGCCTAGTTAAGTTCTCTATATGCGCAAAGGTTCAGATCAAAATTCAAATATATGAATTTTCCAAAAACTTGGAGACTCTAGAAAAAAAGTCCGATAGCGTAGTCAAGCCTCCATAGGAACTCAATTTCTTTTAGAATTTTGGTTAGAATACAGTGCAGTATCTATAGACAAAAAAATCATTGAAATCGGAAGGGGACATATGAGAAGGTTATCTCGTTAGACCGGCTTACGTTTTTTGAATGCTCTGATTAGCGCAGTATCTGAGTTTCGTATCGATAAACGATTATATGATAAACATCAAGGGTGTTAACTATGGATGTATAGATTCGTCACAGTCATTATATGAGCTATAGAAAAAGCATATCATCATCAAATTGTAACTTTGGGAAATATTCACGAGGGTACATATCCAGCTATCGAATGCCGTTCGATTCCATCTTTTGACTCTCAGTAGACTTCGATGAAATTAAGAAAATAGTAAAAGAGTTCGTGCCCATGGCGTATTTGGGAGAAGATTTCATTATCACATAGGTGAAAGAGAATGGATTTTTCGGTGTGGGTGTTGACATAGAGAAATAAATCAGACAGATTATTTTTCTGATTATGCTTGGAAAAGAATCTCTTGTGTATTGAAGATTTTTTACTTTAAATATTTTTTACAATAGTAAAAATAAGGCTAAAAAAGGCGTACTAGTTTAACATTTCAGTTTGATGATTTGTTGCTAAATTTTTATTTGTTTTTGNTAATTGTTCAATAATAATAATAATAATAAGCACAAGGATGAAACTTTTAATTATTTGACATATTTTTTTACGTGCTGTTGTTAGAACAGTAAAATTAATAAACTGTTTCTATTTTCTTCTTTTTAATTGAAATCAATATTTCATTGGCGAATTTTTTCTCTTTATAATTATGATAGTTTCAGCTATTTATAGCGTTAATGTTGCCATCTATAAAAATTGTAGGTCATAGTGGAGGCGTAAATATAGATCAAGGACAAATAGTGCAATAAGATCATAAATCATAAGAACCAGTGAAAAACAGCCTCATTGATATGTTTATTAATTAACCAAATAATTTCTTGTTTGTATCGTAATATAAACTTTACTAAGCAAAAAAAAACTCTCATTACTATTTAATAGAGTTATTTTTTTATTATTTATCTAGTATTTGATCGAGTTTCATATGCAATATGTGAATTATGTAATATAACACAACAAGCTCCTGCTGCATTTCAATATGCAACATTAAATATCTATCAAGCATAATCTCGACGACAACAATTTCAGTCTCAATTATCATCATATATTCCACCAACATCAAATACAATTGCTCTTGCTCAATTACAATTTATGCGACAACAAAAATAAATATTCATTCATTTGTACTATTCGTTTAATATGTATAATGATATGAAATAACAGACTTTCATAGAATTATGAAAGACAAAATGAAAGCCCGGTGATGATTTTCAAAAAAAAAAGGGCAACCGAAGATCTATATATATAAAAAAGAATGTTTGTCTGTCTGTCTGTTCGCTATGCATTTCCATACGGTACGAGCAAATGCAACCAAACTTTCCAGGAATCTTTCTCTCATCCAGGAGAAGGTCGACGTCTATTCTTTTTTTCAAAAACAGTTGATCCTTCGCCAGGAAAAGCCTGCCTATGTTGCTGACCAATCAGATTGCAGTATTCGGTACTGTAGAAGTACTGTTGAGCACCACTTCGTGGATACACAGAAATATGGAACCAGAGATTTTCGAGGACGGTGAGCTCGAATCTGGAGTCCATTACCCTCAAAATCTGATCGATTGTTCGGAAACCAATAGGAAAACAGCTCCTAAGAAAAGAGACAATCACTTACACTATCGGGAAAATGATGAGGCAAAGGTTTTTTAGATGTGATAAATTCTAATCTGTGATTCAATCACTTCGATAGCTTAATGATCAGTGCAGAACCAACAGACACCGAGTTTTTGGGTAAATGAGTATCACTGAGTGATCGCAAGAAGGACATTAGAAATCGGGAATCCGTCGGGGCATGATACTTTACTGGACGACCGGTGGCTTAATTGGATGAGACATGCCAAATACACATATGTTTTAGAGAAACTGATACCTTGAAGATCATCTGCGGTGGGAATCTATCTATACTTTCGGGAAAACGATGAAATAGGAGTTTTTCGAGGCGGTGAGTTCGAATCTGGAGCCCATTCGCCTCGAAATCCTATTGGTTGACCAGAAACCAATAGAAATCGAGCTTTTGAGAAAACGAATATCACTGAATGATCGGAGATAGGACATTAGGAATCTAAAGTCTATTAAGCTTGATACTATTCTTTTAATCATGTTTTGAACGAAAATGTTTCAAAACAATGTCAAGTTTTACAAAGAAGCTTTTTTAACTCCAAAATAATGTAGAAAGGATTCAAAGCTTTCATCAAAAGAATTTGCAAGAGTGATTTTCAAAGCGATTCAGATTATGTTAGTCGGTGCCGATAACAGAGATCGCTTTTTTGAAATAGAGTGACTATATACAGGCATGAATTTGGAAAAAAACAAGAATATATTGAAAAGAAAAATGAACGATAGGCGAAAATACCGCAACAATGTCAAAAAAATACAGCACTTAGCAAATTTCTGAACGATAGTAGAAGATGGATACCGTGCATATTATCTCTGTGTTATGGTACATATTGGAAATGTACCAGAAGGAGAAACAATGTATATATGAATACTTCCCTTGACTCATATTGATAACGTGTTAGTTACATGCATCTATTTCTACTTTCTATTCTTTCCTTTTTGTCTAAGGTATTTCCGTAGTGCTCCTTTGGTTTTTTCCATTAATAGTATTTCTAGGCTATTCATAGGAGGGTTTTCATTTACGAATCTTGGGTATAAATCTACATTTATAAAGAAGAAAGTCTATTTGTCCGTTTGTTTGTTCTTTATGCATTTTCACACGGTACGAGCAAATGGAACCAAACTTTCTCAGAAACCTTCCTGGCATCCAGGAGAAGATCAGCGACTACTTTTTCTCCAAAAAGTATCAATTCTTCACCCGTAACCGGTCCGTCTGTGTGCCTGACCAATCAGATTCAAGGCTTTGATAGTATGAGAGAACTACTCAGCAGGACGTTGTGAGCAGACACAAGACATACACCCATAGGTTTTCAAGGGTGCTGAGCTCGAATCTGAGGTCCATGTGCCTCACAATCTGATTGGTTGGCCAACAACAAACTGGAATTCAGCTGCGAAGAAAACAGACAAAAACACTTATACTCTCGGGAAAACGATGAGATAGAGGCTGCTACAAATGATGAATTCGAAGCTGGGGCCCAATCACCTCGATAACTTATTCTTTAGTCAGGAACCAACAGGAAACAAGTTTTGGGGAAAATGAGTAACACTGGATAATCTGAAGAAGGATATAGGAAATCCATTGATCTCGATGCCTTACCGGATCATCCATGACTCTACCTGGTGGATCGTGTCAAATACAAGCAGAACCTGAATATCGTACGTTTTATCTCTGTGTTAAGGTGCATATTGGAAATTCACCAAAGGGATGAGTCATGAATCGTCATTGGAATGTTCCAATTACGCCATATGATGGAATTATCGAAACATTCCAATGGGTTCTATACATATCCGGAAATCCCTTGCTTTTCTCATGGTTAACTTTATGTGGCATGTTCTAGAGTTGGGACTAGAAAGAATTTGTACTTCTTTATCCCAGACACAAAAAGTAAAAATGTTGTGTATTACATAGCTTTGCAATTAAAAATGTATTTCAGTGCATACAGTCTATTTTGCATTAAAGAATTCCAAAACAAATCACTTAAATGCTAAGAACCGATACAGGTCCTAGAGAGAAAGAGATTGGAGGGCATTTTTCGATAACCAAAGTCGGTTATTCATAGCAAATCATGAAAGTAACATTCTATAATGTCTCGAGTATCCAATATCGAATTTTCCCGAGCAACGCCGGGTACTTCCGCTAGTAAATATATATTATAAATAGAGCAATTTCAAATAATCTGTATGCCTTATTAATTTTGTTTTCTTTTTCTGTTTATTGTCCTCAATAACATCTCGATTTTTTTTTCTATGCACTGACTAATCATTCTTTTGACCCAATGGAAACAAGAAACTAAGAGATTAGTTTTTGTTTTTTCTATTTCTTATTTCTTTCTCTTATCTGGTTAAATTTTTTTTTTGTTTTTTAATGTTTCGTCTATATCATTTGTGTCTGGCAGTCAAAATGTGCATTTTTTTTTCTTCTTTGTGTTTTATCCATTGTCTTTTGTGTGTACAAAGCAAAATAATAAAAAAAACTGAACGAAGGTCAACGCTCTTTTTTTTGTTTTTTTTTTGGATCTTACTCTGCTTTCTTGTATTTTGTTTTTTTGGTTTATTACTACCAAATTTATTCTTTTTTCTTTCTTTCTTTCTCTTCTCCTTCTTCCTCTTCTTCTTCGTCTTCTCCTACTATACTCGTACGGTCTTTTCTTTTTTGTAGCCACATCGCGCTTTTTCCTTTTTTTGTAATAAAACATGAGAAAAAAAAAACTTTTTGCTTCAAAAAATTATGATGGGGGGTGACGTGTGAAAAAAGCGCATTTTTTCTCAATACATTCTTTTCTTTTTTTCTCCATTTAAGATATAATATTTACCTACTATGCATCTATCTATTTGGGAACTAGTTTGATTTTACGAATTAACTATACTTATATTGTCGAATATTTATTTCGATTATTTTCTCTTGTTTTGTCGATATAGAACACAATTTACTAGTTGGTCTCGAAACATAATTTTGACATAATTGATGTAATACATTACGTCCGTTAGCTTTAGTTCAATGATCAACTTCTATTTTCTTATTTTTTTATAATGTTTTTATGGACTTTTGATAACTTATTAGGTATTCTATCATGTTTCCATTCCCTTATGAATATTTGTCACGCGTATGATGACTATTTCTTTTTTTTAAGTTATTATTGAAAAACGACATTATGTATGCAACTAGCTTCTGCTTAAATTTCAATCACAATTATTTATATAAACATCTGGTAGATATAAATATAAGAATGTGACCTACATAGACTTATTCAGCTTTTAGCAAAGAAGAAAAAACCTAGTTTCTTTAGATTGTTTTGCGAAAATAAAGGAATTCTTTTTTAAAGACTGTTTTTTTTTAAAGAAATCTTCAATTAAGATTGAAATCCTTCACATTACTTGTCTTACATCCTTATTTAATTAATTTTTCATCAGAATCACAGCAGCATAACTGTGAAAAAAAGCATGATGACGACATATGAATAATAAAAAGATCTTGTATTTCTGAAACTTTTATAGAAATAAGAAAAAGTCGGCTTGATCTCTATCTTTAGTTCCTAATATATATTTTTATCAGCATTAGTGTAAATATTTCATTATGCAAGTTACATTAAATATTTTCTAAAGAATATGATTATCATATTTAGGTATGCTTATTCTAATTATCTGTTGTTTTATTAGTTTATTATATTTCAAAGCTTANTTTTCATTTATTTTTCTTTCTTCTAGAACATACTGACTCTGGTATGTTTTTTTCTTTGTATTCAGTCATTAAGTTGATGCGTTGTATTATATGCCCTAGAAATGCATGTTTCTTTCTCTTCACTGAGCTGTTGGAATGCAGAAAGATTTAATACTTTCCGAAGCTGCAAAAGAAGCAAGACGACAAACTGTGGCACAAAATCGTCAAAAACGAGAACTAGCATTAAAAACAAAATGTTTAGATTTGGTAAGTATTAACATATTGAATGAGATTTAATAGATATTAAAGTAAAATGAATACAAGAATTTTTTTTAAAAAATTCTAATATTTTACATAGAAATTTATTTGAAACAAAGGACTTATTTAATTTATTAAGTATTTGTATTAAATTAGGTTTTAATTATTGTTCGACATAAATTCTAGAGTTATTCGAAAAGTTGGAAAGAGTCTTTTTTCTTAAAAGACTATCAGAACTATCGATATTGTTTTATAATTTTTTTATATACATTCAAACTTGTATTATTTATTTCGATGTATTAGTAATGTTAGAATGTAATATGACCTCTACTAATTGTCGTACTTTTCATTTATTTTTCTTTCTTCTAGAACATACTGACTCTGGTATGTTTTTTTCTTTGTATTCAGTCATTAAGTTGATGCGTTGTATTATATGCCCTAGAAATGCATGTTTCTTTCTCTTCACTGAGCTGTTGAGATTTGCACTGTTTTTTTTTTATTTTTATTTTCTATGTGCGCAATTAGAAAAAAGTGTTTACATCTCTTTCTTATTAATGTCTTTACCTGAGTTCAAGAAAAAATCCTTTTCAACATGCGCATGACAGATATATGTTATAAAACATAATATTAGTTTGTCTTTGTGTACAGATTAATTGAGGCAATGATAATGAATACATTCTTCTGTATGAAATGCATCCACTAATCCACTGTTAGTCAATTACAATATAATTATTTAGTTTTACTGTAAAGATATAATTGTATGTATTTCCTTTAAGATCCATATATTATTTTTATTCTATCTGAATAGAAGACTAAAAAATATACTATTTTATGAGCTAATATAATAAAAATAAATTTGATTATTTTTATTAGATTCCAGCATCAAAAATAAAATATTTAGCATGTAATTCATTATCGAATTTATCTGAGTCTGATCGACTTCTTCTTGGAAATGTTTTTAATGCATATGAATCAACATGCATGGCAGTAAAAGATTCTCAATTTCCGGAATTTCCTTCAAGAAAACATACACATTTATTTGAATATTTAAATGAATATTCTTCTATACATAAAGTATTAATTGATTACTTCAAAATTATACCAGAATTTAATAATTTATCTATTACTGACAAAATATGTTTAGTACGAAATCAATTCGGTGTTATAATCAATATCAATGAAGCTATTGTTCATCCAGGTATAACAACTAATTTAGTTGTTTCATCATCAAATGTGTACGGTGTACATATTACTAATCATATTTTAAAATCTATTGGACGAATAATACCATTTACTCATGATCCTGTTATACTTAAACTTCTTCTCATTATTGTTGCATTTTGTAGTGGAAATTATCGAAATCGAAATGATACGGGTATGGATCAAATTTGTAATGATACTTTGTCAATATATTATGCACAAAACATTTATGTTGAATTATTATGGAAATATATTTTATCACATTCATCAACTGAATTAGATGCAGTGAAATTTTTTGATAAATTAATTCAATTTTTACTTTATTTATTAGATGTTCATTTAATAGTTGATGGTTTTATAAATAGTCAAATTAATGAAATTCAACGAATGGACCCATTAATGCAAAGTATGTGGCCCAAACCAAGTAGAAACGAGATTAGTTTAATAAATGATATCGATATGGATCATTATTAAAGATGTGTCAAAGAACAAAATATATCGTTTGCAATAAGTCTCTATATGTGGCTTGTCTTGAAGATCCTTTTTTTGCTTGGTTTGTCAATATTATCTTTTAATGCTAAAAGCTCGATGTCTTCCTTTATATGTTTAGTTAGATGTCAAGTAGATTCTGTCGTAAATTTATTGACTGGATAATTTTTTTCTATGATGATTATTCAGACGATATTTTACAAATAAATTGTTCGACATTGAAGTTATTTGTATTAAATGTTTGTTCGTGTAGCAATATATCGCGTATTTTCTTCATTGTGTTATTTATTTTGTTTTAAGAAGAGTTGATAAGATCTAATGAACAGAATGTTATTTTTGATGTTATCTCTTACAGTGTATAGTGTTCAAACCGATGAAATTTTCTGAAACTTATCGTTTTTGATTGCAAAAAATAAATATATTTTTATATGTTGTTAATTGTTCGAGATTATACAATCTTTAAAATTATTAAATATTTGTATTCCATATAACCATTTTAGTTCTTTGTTAGGATGGTTTTTTGAAACTTTTTTTTTTTTTTTGTGTTTGTTTCTTTTTAGATAATATATCTCATTGTATGTGTAATGCATCGAAAAAAATAAAAAATCGTTATTATTTAAAATAAATTTTATTTATCTTTTATTTTCTATTAAAAATAAGGTAGTTTATTATGAGTTCAGCAAAATAATTAGTCTGCGGTAAGAAATCAATTGGTTATAACTATTGTAGTTTTTTTTTTCTGATGGAATGCTGTTCGACTTAGTGTAAATTCTTTTCTTAGCTTAAGTAGGCAAGACATATTAGCATTGATCATTGTGGTAAAAACAAAATTCTAAGGACAAGGGACATTTTTGTGCCATCCTCAGTTTTCCTTCATTCATGGTTTACTGAATGTAGAATTTCATTAGAAATTCCATGGTAAGAAAATAATGCGATTTCTAAAGGATTCAAATTAATTTTTCCTCAAATTGTCGATATTCACGTTGGTACCATAAATGAATAACTAATATACGAAAGGATGGCTCGTATAAATTTTCTCATCCTAAAATATTTCTAACTGAAAAACGTGTCAACCAACTATTCATTCTATAATCTCTCTCGGATACAAATTGTTGCTCGAATGATTCAAATGTTGCTGAATAATGACGTAAGTTCTGTTTCAAATGAGCACGAGAATAATATAGTTATATTACCACTTTTACTCACTATTTCCTTACTGTTTTGGAAAAGGAAAAGAACAATATGAGTTTTTGATTGATTTTGAATGTTAGTAGAAAGAGCGACAAAATCAAATAGTTTCTGATCTGTTTAGAACTAGTCGTTGTTGAATAAGACAACTCAAATTTCGTTTAGACATCATTTCTTTTTGATTTATTCGCCGATCTGCAACAAATTTTGGTTAGAGAAAATAGAGTTTGAGTCAACACAAATAACATGAATGAAATCAGCATAAAAAATTCAGTCAACTTATATACTTGTTTCGAAACTTTTCGACAAACTTTTTTTTTTCGGAAGAATCCTGTTGGAGTCTCCCCCTTCAGAATCTAGTTAAAGAGTGAGTTTGATGAAAACATCATTTTATTGGTCAGTTATTTGTTCCTTCTTCCTCTCGTTGCGGTGTTTTACAAACTCAGAATTTGTTTTCCACTTATCAGATGATTGTCTCAATGAACTCATTTTTTGAATAGGTCCTAAGGGAGACTCCAGCTGAAAGTATTCGAAACATATACAAGTTGTGTAAGTTTTTATACTGATTTCAAATATGTTATTCGTTTAGACCCAAATATAATTTTCTCAAATAAAAATTTGTTAAAGATCGATGAAAAAAATTCCAAAACATGGTGTCTAAACGAAATTGAAGTCGTCTTATTTAACAACGACCACTTCTTAAAAAATCAAAAACTATCTCGTTCGGTAGCTCTCCCTATCAGCTTTCAGAATTAATCAAATATCTATCTGGCTTTTGTTTCTTTCTCGAGATATTAAGAAAACAATGAGCAAAAATGATAATATACCTAATGATACAAAAATGAGTACCAATAATTTGAGGAACATTGAATCCGTATCTTTTAGAAATTGCTTTATTTTGTGACCAAAGAATTTCTCATGAAATTCTGCATTCAGTAAACCATGGACGGCGAGGAGAGTAACGGAGGATGGAACAAAAAATACCTCTCATACGCTTCTGTCTTTTGACGAAGAAATGATATTACTGATGACTACGAGAAAAAAGCTCTTCGAATTATCACTTAGAAGTAATGAGGTTACATTTTTTTCTCCTTACAGAAAACACGCCATATTATATAGTGAAAATTGTGATAATTAGATTGATGCTTTTTTTTTTTTTTACTTCTTGTTGTTGGTGAATTCTTCTATTTTCTTTTTCAATCTTTATTTAAAATATATATTTCTGTGCTGATTGTTTTTTACAATATTATGATTATCTACTTCAGTTAAATATCTTTGTAGTTAAGGGAATATTGAAAAGGTCGATAAAATATTTTACATATTCTTATTAGAACATATTTTATATGATCATTCTTAAGAGAACTTCATTGTAAATTAAGCAAAATTTCTTTTCTTGATATTTTTCTATGAATTAAGTTTTCTACTTTAGTACTTGTTATAATGGGAAGCGCTTAGTTATTTTAATATTTTTTTTAAACATACAAATGAACATCGATGACGATAGTGAGTACTGTAGTACCGTTTCTAAGACGAACCTTTTATATTTAGATTGAAATAGAATTTTCTTGTTAGATATAATGATCATTAAATATATACCAACTGTTTCTGAGATTTATTTTATCGGAAATTATTGAGAATTTTCTATACGACTCATTATCTATGTTACCAGTAAACGAAAGAAACTAGGTTAAAAAGGCAAATACCTGACTGATGGCGAAAGGGAAAACGGCACTTATGGCTGGCGATCAGCTGAGAGTAGAGACTGAATCCTCAGAACTATGGCTTTAGTGAATTTAAATGAATATAATAGAAAACGAAACATTATTCAATTTTGTATAAAGCTCATTATCTATTGATCTTATGGATCTTATTCTGCCTTTATTGCATAGTCATAGTAAGAGGATGAAAATGATTAGAGTTTGCATAAAAAATACACATTACTTATTAGAAAATCTATCATTAGTTTCATGTATACTTTTTCTTGATATACGCAAAAATTTGAAAAAGAAGATTACTTTCTCATTAAATATGTTTATTAAAGCTTGAGTATTAAAAAGAACTCATTTTCCTCAGGTGTAATTATTTTTTTTCTTTTCATATATCAAGGATTATCTATAGATATTTCAGATGAAATATAATAATATTATGTGTTTTATTCAAAACTATAAATTTTCATCATTGATTCACCCAAAATTGATTAACTTTCAATGACATATTACATAGAAAATCTTAAAAGTCGATTACACTCTCTAGATTTATTATTTCACCAATGCCAAACAAAGATCAAGGTCGATGTTTAGTATGTGATGATGTTGCAATTGGTATTAATTTTAGCGTGCCAACATGTATGCCATGTAAAGCATTTTTTCGACGAAATGCAGTTAAACTTGCTGTAAGTTAACTTTTAGTATTGAATTCTTTTCAACGTACGCAGTTAATTTTCTTTAAAGACTCGTGAATTTGTATGTCAAAATGATGGTGATTGTATAGTAACATATAAATATCGTCGTTCATGTAATTGTTGTCGTTTGGCAAAATGTTTTCGTGTTGGAATGAAAAAATCATTCATACTTAGTGATGAAGAACGTGAAGCTCGAAATAAACTTGTCGAAACAAATCGTCTTAAACGCGGAAAAATACCTAAGCTACAATGCATTCCTTGGGTATGTATTACATATATAATCGAAGAGTTTTGAATTGAATTTCGATTTGAAAAAGTGTAACATGAAAAACAGATTGAAGAAACGATAAAATTCGATAGGTGTCGTTTTCCAGAAAGACCTTCTGAAATAAATATTGAACTATCTACTACACAATCTCAAACATTTTAGTTTCTGTGATGTAGTCTATATCTTTAGTTAGATTGTTGTTTTCTTCTTCGTTTCTTTTCATTCTTCTTCGTTTTCTCTATTAACATAAGTCATCATTTCTATGCATATATAGACATATATATATGTTCGTCTTTCTCTTCTTTTTGTAGTCAGTTACTCTTGTTCGTTTCGTTTCATCTAACTTGTTTTGTCTCTGTTCTTCAAGTCAATAAAACATCATTATTGACCTTGACCTCTATTGTATTACGCAATTGATAATACAATACATTTTCCGGCATTTACGTATTAACGACAATACGTGACAGTTTCTTGCTGAACTTAATTGTTGAGACGAAAAAATTCTAAGGTTTCATCACATGTTGTCATTTGAGTTATTGCATGACTATGTTTTATAGTGTTAGTTTTAGTAACTTCCCTTCTATTGGTCTTGGAGATAGTACTTGTAAATTTGGTCCGGTGCCAGTGCCAGTCATTCTTATGTTTTTTAAAGGTCTTATTCAAAACTTTGTTCTGGAGCTTGATGAAATCATTCATGTGAAATATTCGTTGTTTGATTGGTTCAGCCGATAAATGTTACTTTTTTATTTTGTCTTCTGAGTTTCTTTTAGGTAGGTATGATTTATAATACAATTCACTCAACATAACAGAATACAGAATTGCAGCCTCTAGTCTTGATTTGTCCTAATATCTGATTAGGTCTTACACATTTTTAATAGTGACATATGTAACGAATGCTTTTCCTCAGTTAAAAATATTGGCGTCATATTTCGGATTATAACCTGCTAGGATTGAGTTATGAACCGTTTGATATAGATGGTTATAGGTTATGGCGATTCTTATTGTCTTTGTTTTCTAAACATGAACCGAAGAGATTTTGGATAAGTGAAGCAAAGGGATTACTCTTCTACGTTAGACGTTGGAATTAGAATATTAAGTGTCTAAGTATATTTTACGAGAAAAATCAATCTTCCGCCCACGAAGAAACTTTCCTAGATTATAAGTTGCTTTTAAGATGACAATCATCTCCTAAAATAAAGTTTATTAAAACTAAAAAGATGCTGAAGTGCTTCATTCCCACGAATGTTCTCGAATAGTGGCAGGGCATTGGAAAACAGTTAGAATGGTACAGTTTCAACATGAAAGCTTTGCTTATAAAAAAAACTCTCATGGCTTTTTATATGTTGAAAAGACTTCAGTAAAAATGACTAAAGCATTTCTTGAAATATGAAGTAGCCAAAAAGGACATATCTTTTTTTCATAAGGAATAGTAAAAGCTTAGCTTTATTAACAGACGCATGTTTTCCGAAGGTTTTATTTATTTCGGTTAAAATTCTTTTTCATATTCTAGAAAACCTGAGACTTTTCATTAAATAAAATTTCCCGTTAAAACTGTACTATTCGAGCCATCCCTAAATACTCTACCACTATTCGAAGATCTGATAACATCATCATAAGTCAAGACCGAAGATCTATGAAAATAAATCGTTTGAGAATCTTTTAAGTTTTATTAGACTTTAATTAAGGAGATAGGTTTCATCTTAACAGTATTTTATAACTTGAAGAAATTGTTTCAACAGCATAAAGTCAATATTATTTATACATAAATGACAAATATTAACTACAGATGCGTCCACCATCTCTACTTCGTATGACAACGAACTCAGCTCAATGGTTATCTTCTACTGATCAAGTTCTTCTTGGAAATATTTTCAATGCATATGAAAATACTTGTACAGTGGCAAGAAACACTACTTTACGAAATTTTCCTGCTGTTCAACACACATCTATGCATGGATTTGTGAATGAAATGTCTTCTGAATTCCACGTGTCTATTGAATATTTAAAACTTGTACCTCAATTTAATAATCTCATCTTAGATGATCGAATACGTCTTATAAGAAATCATATCGGCACAATAATTCATATAAATGAACCTTTAATGCACCCAGTAGCACCTATTAATCTTGTTGTTACATGGAACAATATTCTCGGTTTTGATATAACCAAACGTTTATTGGCACGCCATCAAATTATTGAACAATATCTCGTTGACCCTATTATTTTAAAAGTTATTCTCATTATTCTTGTATTTTCCAGTAGTAATAGTAGAAATATTGATCATACAGATATGGATTTAATTTGTGATGACTCATTATCTATATTCGCAGCACAAAATATATATGTTGAACTATTATGGAAATATCTTTTATCATGTTCACCAAATGAAAAATATGCAGTGAAATTTTTCAATAAATTAATGATGTATATATTATTTGCACAAAATCTTCATTTAGAAATAGATGATTATGTTGACAGTTTAAAACATGAAATTGAACAAATGAATCCAATGATGCAAAGTATGTGGCCAAGAACAGATGATCAAGAAGATATTCATAATATGACTATAGGTCAGGATATTACCCTGTAATATTACAGTAAATATTTATTTTTAAATACACTCAATGCAACAAGGATTTATGTCGAATAAGTCTCATATTCTTCAATTTACATGTCTATCGGTTTCGAATTTTCATCAATAGCAAGATTTTTAGCTTGCTGAAGCTGTTGATCTTCTTTATTTATTTTTTGTTTTTTTTTTGTACAGTAGCACAATTTTCCAGCTTCATTTATAACATATATTTGTATCTACTGAACGATTTCAATAAGAAATTGATGAATATATGAATGTATCAGTTTTGATTGTTTTTGTTTCATTTTTTATATTCAGATTTCCGAAAAAATTGAAAAATATTTTTGTTCTTCTGTTCTAGATGAATGACTCTGTAGGAAAGATGCATTATTGACATTTACTTAACTATGATGTAAACCTATTTCACTAGAAGAATTTTTACAAGAAGATTTATAAAAAGGATTACTATAGAAATAGAAATTACTTTATTATTCAAAATAATCAAAAACGATTGAAATTACAACTGGTATGTTGCATTCGTTCAAGTGAACATTTTTGATGAAATTCAATTTACTAACTTCGAATTATGAGTATCTCTATGTACTAATAGAATCTGAAATACTTTGAGCATTTTCTTAAATTTGATTCACTATTAACGGATAATCAAATTATTCAAATACAATTTTTTTTAATTAAATGGTAACTAGCAACAAAGTTAATTACCAGCATATAAGTTGTAATGTATAATGAATTGATTTACGAAGCATATTTGGTACTATAGATATAAGCCGATGCAATACTCGGCGATAGCGGTTGAAAGTTTTCAATAGTTTTGTTCAAAATTTTGTTAGTTCTCTGAAATTTTGAAATGAGAAAAAAGTAAATTATGCTAGAGAATGTGGTGTTAAGCAACTAGGCAAGAACATTCTCGAAAAGTGATCCTGAAGGTCGAAAATTTTCAGAAACCAAGAATGTATATTTATGATTCGGCAACGGTTAGACGCATCGACTTTTACCTCTATGCGATATCAAATTAGTCATGAGTTCTTGAAATCAATTGAATTGATATAATCATGTAAACAGAATCTCCTTCAATAGAAATTTTTTTTTATTTTTCCGACTTGAGCAATATTTAGAATTACATCAAGGCATGCACTAGAATGTATTTGTTGAATAGAATTTATTTTCTTTTGCCTAGTCTATATTTGTAGTTTGAATTTTCTTGTTTCTTTCCTGATAGTTTTTTATTGATCAGTTAATTAGGTTTAATTTATTGGCTAAGAAGTATTGTCAAAGGACTTATAAAGAATTAGCAAATCTATTTAAGAATAGACTCTTACGATTGTTGAATCGAATATGTTTATTTGCAATATTTGCAAGGAAATATTCTTATCTAAAAATCATTTCAATTAGTTACGGCTACGACTTTAGTCATTTACATTGTTATCCAAGAAATTTTTATAACATAGTATTGAACACGTGAAGAAGTAAATCAAAAACAAACACATAATATAGGCTACAATAAAAGTCCTTCACATTTAAAACATTTTGTGATGCATAAAGTTAAACTTTCTTCTGTAGATTTACATTTTGTGGCATGAACAAATGCTTGTGTCCATCGATAAATATATAATCATTCTTTTCCTTCAATAGATATTTCACAATATGTACAAGAATAATGAGTACAAAACATGATGAGGTACTTATAGTGGTCAACGTTTGTTGAATTGAAGCTATTTTACTTTGCTTTTGGATGAAACATATTATATCATGAACTGCTCAATAAACAATAGTCTATTCATTTTTTATTCATCTATAATTATTTAGCGTTCTATTACTTATTCCAGAGAAAATTTTAGAAACTAATTCCTCTGTACAGATATAATACATTCCAAATGCCGAAAAAAGATTATGGTCAATGTTTAGTATGTGATGATGTTGCAATTGGTATTAATTTTGGTGCACCAACATGTATGCCATGTAAAGCTTTTTTTCGACGAAATGCAGTTAAACTTGCTGTAAGTTAACTTTTGATATCAAATTATTTATCGAAGTACGAAATTTTGCTTTTGTTCTTTAAAGACTCAAGAATTTATTTGTGAGGGTGATGGTGATTGTATAATAACAGATAAATATCGTCGTTCATGTAATTGTTGTCGTTTGGCAAAATGTTTTCGTGTTGGAATGAAAAAATCATCGATTCTTTCTGATGAGAAACGCGAAGCACGAAAGGCACTTGTAGCAATAAATCGTCTTAAACGTAGTCGAATGCCTAAACCAGAATGGCTCATATGGGTTTGTATTAATTAAATATTGGAAGGAAATTAATTCATTAAGTTTAGATTCATAGGAAAAGAATATGCGAAAAAATATATGATTTTATACATTTAATAGATATGTTTTGGTAGAAACTATGGCATTAGGATCAATATGAGTCATGAGACACAAACTGCAGATACCAAGAAATATAATGCTGTTGTGTTTAAGAAAAGAGAAGCTGTGTAATTCATGTGAGCATGTAGAAAGCTAAGTTTAGTTAACATCTCCTAGTGCTAGATTATAATCAGTATAATGATTAATTCTTTCACTCGACGTCGTCTTAACTCATGAACTAACTTATTATTTGTNAATGATTTGATTTGCAAAAAAACAAACATTTCTATGATCAATTTTTTAAAAAGAAAAAAAAAACATCCAAAAACTTGAAATTTATCATTATCGATTACAACTCTGCACAGAGCATCTGTCAAAGAATATCTCATGGATAAATATCAGGAGAACATTTTCAGAAGTGAATCATATAATTCAACAGAAGATTAATCGAATTTACTAGAATTTTTAGAGAAAAATTCTATTTGACATTTTCCGTGACCTTCTTTTACCTAACGAACTTATATTAACAAAAAAGTATATAGAACAGTGCAGATAATGATTCATAATAATAACCATAGTATATGGCAAGATGACGTTGCATAAAATACAAAGAAAAGAAAAAAAAACAAGAATCCTATAAATAGCAATGAAATGAACTATTGTATAGAAAGTTTTTTTTTTAATAATTATTTATATTATATCTAGAATCTACAATATCATAAAATTTCAATCAAATGGCTTCAAAAGTTGCAACTAGTAACAAAACACGAATTCATATTATCTATTATTCAATGTATGGTCATGTTGCAACATGTAAATTTCAAAATAAAAAAAAAAAAAAAACAAACATTTTTAATTAACTTAATATCTCTATTTCTAGTGGCTAAATCTATATTGAAAGGTGTTGAAGCAGCTGGTGCTGAAGCTCGTTTAATTCAAGTACCAGAAACATTATCAAAAGAAGTTTTAGCAAAAATGCATGCACCAGAAAAAGATAAAACTATTCCAACAATATCATTTATATCCGGTATTGAAAATACAGTTACACTTGAAGATGCATTAATTAATTGTGATGGTATTTTATTTGGTATTCCAACTCGTTTTGGTGGAATGCCTGCACAAGTTAAAGCTGTATGGGATGCTACAGGTGGATTATGGATGAAAGGTACACTTGTTGGAAAACCAATTGGTGTTTTCTTTTCAACTGGTACACAAGGAGGAGGGTGAAAAGAATAATTTAAAATAAAAAACAAACAAAAATTTGCACAATTTCTTTTTAGACAAGAAACAACAACATTAACAGCATTAACAAATTTTATTCATCATGGAATGTTATTTGTATGTATTCTTAAAAAAAATATTCTTATCTTATTATTTTTAAAATAGGTACCAATTGGTTATACAAGTCCACTTTTAAGTAGTATGAATGAAATTCATGGTGGTAGTGCATATGGTGCTGGTGAGTTATTAATCACATATACACAGGATGTCGCAGAAATTCAAATGAAAACATGAATAGAACCTTAGCAAATATTTTTTTGACAATTTAATTATGTACTCATGAAACCTTTCAGATAAAATGTCTGTGTCTACAAAAGTAAAATAATTTTATTCATGATAAAATTCCAATAAGTCCGCTTCGTAAAATGATAACTAGACACTAAGTTTGCAAATAACACACGAATTAAATATTGTGTTATCACATATTTCAGCTATTTTATGAAACTAGCACTATCAAAAATTGATCACTATAGAGTATAATTACTGACGAAAGAGTCGATAAAATTAATGACACTTGTAAAAAAAAAAAAGAGCCACGATTAAGTGTTTGGTCTATGTAACTTGTTGTTGTAGAATTGTTGAACGAATTGTACTTTAATAACAAATGTTCCGTCAAAGTTTAATATGTTGTTGGTTGTGGTAATGAGCAAGCTTGTACAATAAATCAAATACTCAATCCTAGCTCATTTTTACAAATATTCTTAATTTTGTCTTCAGTGATTTCTTTGCAGTCTTCCACAATGCAATCAGTTTTCGACAGTTCAAATTACATAAAATCACTGAAATGTATTTCTATTTAAATCTCTTGAATTGCTAAGAAGCTATTCACGTTTTTCTTTCGGACTTTTCGAACATTCTGTACATATATATATATATAACTCTTTACCTTCTTATGGTTTTTATAGGTACTTATGCTGGCAGTGATGGATCACGACAACCAACAGATTTAGAATTAAAAGTAGCTGAACATCAAGGATCATATTTTACTCAAGTAGCAACTGTATTGAAATTAGGTCGTGCAGCATTACCATCTAAAGATGCAAATCCATCTGATTCAAAAAAAAAAGTTAAATGAATTAATAATTATAAAATAGTCATATAGAACAGCATAATTTGCTTACATTAAGTTCTTATTAAATCTATGTTGTCAGTTAGGTTTCTGTTTTTTTTATTATAATGAACATGATCGAAGTCGATTGCTAATAAATTATCGAATCATTTGTTTAACTACCTAAATAAATAAAAAAATATATACATAACGATCGATAATAAATAACTTCTCATTAAATGAAAAGTCTTCAAAATGATAAAGAAATTTTTTCTAGAAAATATCTCTTCCTAATATGAATATACCAGCTAAGTGTTACGTTTTCTTTTGCACTGGTTAGCATCTATCTCTTATAAATTTAGTTAATCCAGGGACATGAGTCATAATATAAAAAAAAATAGTGTTGATAAAAATTTTTATTTTTATCCGTTGTTCTATATATGAAAAACATATTGGTGATTATGACAAATCAAATTGTGCATTGTAATTAGACATGAGTGAAAGCAGTTATTGTTTTTGGTGCTGGGAACAGAGTCATCTTATCTCATATCTATTTAGAACTATGAGTCATGAGAATATGACATTTGACGTAAGGCTTAGACGACCAAAAAGCATGTGGTTCCCCTAATAAAAAAAAGTGTTGGTTCCGAGCAGAACTGCCGGTATGGCCTGCTAGGGCTCTTACGCTTTAGGAATTAAATGTTGGCACATCATCTTATTATTCGAGAGTACTTTGACAAAATCATTCGAATCAAATAACGAATGCTGAAACCGAACGTTAATTTACTGTCGTAGGATTTACAATGATTGACAGGAAAAATTTGTTTAGATTCAAAACAATCGGATGGTAAATTTTGTACTCGTACTGTTGCGAGCATTGATGGTCAAATGTAAATATCTTTGTCTTTTATTGTAAGTGTTGTTCATTTCCGATATTTTTATTGTGTATTTTCTTTTATCTCTTCTTCGTAGGTCTAACCAAATGTTGTTTGTACTATCACGATTGTTTTTTCTTTCTGATTTTGCGAAACAGAACTGATATGATCAAGAGTATGTGTTAGCTCAAGCCTTTCTTGCGTGGAAAATTTTTATATTGTTTCTTTATTTTTATTTGTTATTTCATGCAAGATTTCGTTATTATTTTATCTCTTACTTAGTTTGCAAATAGTATATCAGCAGACTTTTAACAGCTGTAGTTAAATATATTCTCGATTTTTATACAAAAATGTAGTTTTTGATAAAAAAAAAAGTCTTAATAAGTTGGCCGTTTTGCAACGTTAAAAAAAGATGTTCTTTTTTCTAATTTTAATCTCTGCCGAATTTCTACGCTATGAAATATTTCGAATAAATCACACAAAAATAATTTAGCTTATATATAATTTCTGGAGATGATGATGACCGATGTTCTTCGCAAGCTGATATTTTGTTGGAAAGGATTGTATTTTACAAAAATTTCATTTTTCAAACTTTTTTGATAAAATACTGAAGGAGAGATCAACAGAATTCCGTCAATACTGGTATTTTAATGTATTTTTATTCCAATTTAATTCATCTATATAGCTCAAAATAATTCAAAGATACAGACTTTTCAAATAGAAAAAACATTGCAAGAACTTTTTTTTTGGGAATTGTTTGTTTTGGACTTATTCTCCTTGTCAGATGAGTTCTAAAAAAATATATCTAGCAGAAAATATGTAGTTCAGATGTTACTCTTTTTAACATTAAAAACGATTTAGTTAGTCGCAATGTTAGCAGTAAGGTGGCAGAACAGAGTTTGGCATTTTTTAAAGACTTTTACATTACATATTATTTCATATAGATAAATTCTTCGTGCACTAAAAATAATCCGAATGGAGAACAAATAGAATATTTTGGTTAACCCTTTGACTATTATTGACGTAAATATATGTCAAAGACATTTTTCACTGAAAAATACAGGCGACAACCTCTTAACCCTGCTATGTTTGTAGTACTTTGTATCGATTTTACCATCTTCTACCGACTGCACTCTCTCCAGTGGTTCTGATATTCCATATCGGTTATCATTCTTTTTGTCAACAGTTGGTCTTGTATCTTCGATACAGCTTTTCTTTTCTACACATCGTTAGTTGTTTCTCCATTTATGGTGTTATTTTCCTTTCATGTATTATTTCCATTTATGGATTATAATGACAGACATAAGTATACGGTAAATTATGCATACATAAAAAATAATAAAGCCCACTTAAAAAAATTCTACGTGCAAAGATAGTTGTAAATATTGAGACAAGACTTTCATTTTTGCATTCATTATTGTAACATGAAATTGTTTTCAATTTATTGTTTCAAGATTACTGCTATATGTTGTGTATATGACATTAATAAATATTTTTGTCGAGAAATTTTTTTTGTTACTTATAAAAATTTTAAATTTTTAAAAATTTATTGTTTAGTTTTAAAAAGAAAACCAAATCAGCATTTAAGGGATTAAACGATAAAGAATTTGAAACACTAAATTCGATTATTTTTATAAAAATCTTTTTGATATATATTAAAAATTGAAAAGCAACAAATATACAAATGGTAGATAAACTGAAAGTTAATTAAATAGTATTTTTGCACTTTTTGATCAATAATCGTGTTGATCGCGATACTTAACATTGATTTTATCTGAAATATGCTCGATATAAACGTAGCTATTATATCAAATCACAATGAGTGCTTATATAAAGCCATCCAAAAAAATCTTATAACAATATCGAAATATTATTTTACATTGTAAATCAGATTATATTTAGAGTGTTTATATTTCTTCATCATAATGTTTCAATGTGAGCGATTTATTTCTCATGTGCTAGCAACAACAACAAACTGCTTGTTTGTATCGAAATTTTGATTGTCTATTGATTGTTAGTGTAAAATATAGCTGAGTAATAAAGTTTCACAATATCATGAACTCCTATATCACGATACGAGTGAGTTGATAAGGTATATCGATTGTTGATAATGACTTTGAGTATTGATGGATGTTCATATGAAGGAAATTTAATACGATCGAATATAAGAAATACACCAGCACTACTATTTTTAACGTTCGAAGTTTTTACCTGGTTGATTATATAATAAGGATACTGGTTCTGTGGGCTTTTCTTAGATTCGTCGCTTGATGTTGCAATTCATCATTTCCATCAGTTTTATAAGCAATGTTTTTTCAATCGAATCCTTATGTATGGTGATTATAGCATTACATTATTTATATGTAGAAATCCATACTTGACTGTCATTTTCATTGGTTCGTTTCAGACCAAAATGATAATTTTTGAACATTATAGCATCATTACTAAGTTGTGTGGTAATTTTAAAAAATGTATCATAGGTAACGATCGATCTTACGATTTAGCTCATCTTCCTCTTATATATTTTCATTACAACTACATGTACATGAAATGTCTGGAAGAGACGTGACGTCCATTGCTAGACTAGCTGTAACAAGACAACGTCCTCTCTAAAACAAGCTATCTGCACTGATCCTCTCATTATAACTATTTTCACTTGTTTCCATAATGCAGACATCTTTCCAATTTGCAGCAATTTTTTTGTTCCTGTCATTAAAGAAAAATGTTCGCAATCAAGAAGACATGCAATAATTTTATAAAATAATTGGTGTCTTGAACAAAAGAAAAGATTGCAAACACTGCTTAATGTCATTCATTTCTTTGATATTTTTTTTTACACTTATTTATTCTATTAAAATGATTTTTTTTTATTAGGGACTGACTAAAACTAAATAAATCAGCTGTTTTTTCCTTGAAAATATATATAAATGAACTCATCTATCCAAATCCTTCCCGTCAAAAAAAAAAGAATAAACAGTCAAAACGATTTTTTTCATTCACTGGAAAAACTATTTGATAGAGCACAACTAATGCATATTGATGTAAGGTCACTTTGAATAAAACTCCTTCGCGCAATATTAGACAAATAAAAAAAGCAATCATGGATCTTTATTTATGTAACGAAAATTTTTCAAAATAAAGGATCATTCCCCCTAACTTCTCTCTGTTCGGAACCTCTCTGTAAGTCTCATGGAATGGTAACAAATGTTCACCGATTAATAGCGTCCTCTTGAGATAAATTCGATTGGTTATGGCTACATGAAAGCATTCCCAATGATACTTTTACTAATGAAAAAATACTGCAATTTATCTAATAATTTGTCTCATTTGTGCTCTGTTTTCTCTTGGGTTTAAGTCATTATTCAATTTAAATGTATCATTATTTCAAGTGAAAATACATTATTTTACTTGATTATAGAGTGAGAATGTTATTTTAAATTTTATACATGAATAAAATTTTGTTTTGTCTTTTTCAATATTTTAGAAAAACAAGAAAATGTTGAAAGACGAGATGCGTAAAAGTAAAGAAAAAGATGTATCTAATGATCGTGAACGTTTATTTGATTCATTGAAGAATACTAATGAAGAGAGTAGTAACAAAAATAACGAAGAAAAAGTTATTGATGAAATAATAAAAAACAAAGAATTAGCAGAAGATGATGAATCTGATTCATTAGAAGAAGTTGAAGAAAAAAGAAAAGAAAATCCAAATAAACAAAATAATGATTTAAATGGATCAACTGTTGAAATTGTCCAACCAATTAATTCAAAACCAAAAAATCTTGGTTTAACTAGAACATTGTTATTAGCTATGTTTGCTGCAATGATTGGTACAGGTGCTCAATTTGGTTATTCACTTGGTGTTATGAATGCTCCATCACAAGTATAGATGAATCAAAAGAAATATACATATATTCTTTGTTAATAATTTATATTTTCTTTTTCTTTATAGTTAATTAAAAATTATATAAGTGAAATTTATATAAAACGTTATAATTCAACAATAGGTGCATATGAACAAGACATTTTATATTCAACAGCTATATCAGTTGTTGCACTTGGAGGAGTTTTTGGTGGTCTTCTAGCTACACCATTGAGCGATCGATTTGGTCGGTAAGTTAGTTGATATTTTGTATTGGAAGAATTTAAATTCCTCTAGATCATGACAAATATTAAAAGTCTTCTAGTAATTATTGTGAAACATAATAGAAAAAAAAATGAATTAGCCATTTTTCTTAATTTATTAAGAAATCTGTAATGAGAAACTGTAGCATGCTAAAAATATCATCATGAATGCATTATATTGATCTGTTTCATACCACAAAGATGAATCAATATGCTACTAAATCCTCAGAATTACAATAGCAGCGAATTCATTATATTTTACATTTAGATCGTACGGAAATTGTATTAATAGCTTTCATACAACAAGGCAAAAACGTGTTTGTTAATCATTGACATCTTTTGTGCAAATAATTTAAAATATGATATTAGTATTTGTTTGCTTTCATTATGAGAGTAGTACAAAATTTCTTTGTCATTTTCCGTTTTTTCTAGACAAATTTCCTATATAAATTTGTCTAGAGTAGAAAGAGTGCCGATGGTGACGCATGTGCTACAGTGCTGCTCATAGTAGAGAGAGTTTTATATTTCCTATTCAAGTAACTTTTACCAGCAAATTAAATTAGACGAGCTTGATGCATGTTTAGAGAGTAGAGATATGCGGAACCGGAAATTCGAGCAAAAACAGTCGTCTCAAGGGGGAAATAAAGATTATAATTAAATATTCTATGATTTTAAGTGAATTATCTTATAAATTATATAAATCAGAAGATCTTTCAAGAGAGATGATCTAAACAAAGTGCTCTCTTGAATGTAGACTTCGAAATTTTCCGGAGACCAATGAAACTATCTTTTGCAAGGTTTCGAAAATAATTTAGGCGAAAAAGTTTTCCGTACATTTTTGGACCTTTACTATTGTAACTCGAAAGTAAATGTTGAAATTTTTATTAATATATCAATTTGTAGAGCAGAAAATATCCTATAAAATGTACTTATGGAATTTTTCAAAAAAATCGACTTTTTAATCAAATAGCATTTCGTATAACAAGAAGTTCATAGCAAAGTATGTATTATTCCACTTAAGTAAAAGTCACAGCTTTGCTCAATTATAACAGAAGTATCCACTCGACAAAATGGTGGACTCCAATAAATTCTGGCACATTCGAAAGAGAGCTAATAGGGATTAGTAGAAGCCTATTGGTTCACCATTGAATCTAATTTTTTAGCCTTTTAAAACATTCCTTCATCAGTCTTGAACAAAGGCTGATATAAAATTTCTAAGGCCATAGGTCCAGCACATCTCTACTAAAGAATCATCGTGTATGAAACCTTATCATTCGCCATTCTCAAGAAACAAAGACGAACTAGAATAGACAAGAGGTGTTGTTTAGAAATTTACTCATCAGCTATTTTTTGTTTTATTGCACATATACTTATTAGTTCGACGAGTTTTTTTACTTTCTTTAAACAATTTTTAGAAAAACTGGTTTACTTCTAAATAATATTCCAGCTATAATTGGTTCAATTTTAATGGTAATTAGTAAATTTATAGCTTCATTTGAAGCATTTATAATTGGACGAATTTTAATTGGATTTACTGCAGGTTAGTTAATTGCGTTTTGTTTTTTATTAATAAAAAAATTTCTGTTGTTTTTTGTTTTAAAACAAGGTTTCGGAGCAACAGTTGGACCTATTTATATAAATGAAATAGCTCCATTACGTGTGCGTGGTTCATTTGGTGCCTGTTTTCAATTATTTGTTGCTGGTGCTGTATTATTAGCTCAAGTACTTGGATTAGATATTATCTTAGGTCGTCAACATTTATGGAATTATCTTTTTGGTTAGTTTTTCTTTTTCTTCTATTTTTCTTCTTTATTTTGTTATATACAAACAGCTATACCAATTATCTTCAGTATACTTCAATGTACTTTATTGATATTTACACATGAAACACCAAAATTTCTTTTACAGCAAAAACGTCGACGAGCAGCTGCACGAGGTTTCTATTCATTTGATTATTAGTTTCATAAGAAACAAAAGAAAAAAGGATTTATTATTTAGCACTAAGATGGTTTCGTCAAGAAAAAAATATTGAAGATGTTGAAGCAGAAATTCATGAAATGGAAGAAGATTTTCATAATATTCAAACAAATGCAATACAAGTGAATCCAAAACAAAAAAATACAAATATTGAATATTTTCTTTTTGTAAACTAGATTTCAGTTCGTGACTTATGGTCCAAACCTCTTCTTCGTAAATGTTTTCTTATATTAGCAATGACACATTTTGCTCAACATTTTACTGGAAGTTTTGTTGTATGTTACTTTTTATATTTATAGAATAGATTTCAAAAATAGAATTTGTTTTTTTTTTAATAGATCTTTTTCTTTGGTGATATTATTCTTGCTCGTGCACATTTAAAAATGGAATATGCATCATATGCAATGCTTTCATGTGGTATTACATATTTAGCTGTAGCTATATCATTAGTTTTTATTCTTGATAAAGTTGGACGTCGATCACTTTATCTTTGTAAGTAATTAGGAAAAACAAGATTTTTTTATTTGAAAAACAAGAATTATTCGATTTTTATTTAATTATAGATGGTTTAATTGGAATGGCAGCAGCAACATGTGTTATTGGTATTACGATTATTAAATCAAAAGATGTAAGTTTTAACTATCAGTTTTGAAATTATGATAAAATTTGAATGTATGATGAGATGGAGAAAAATTTAACAATAGCATATTTTTGATTGTTTTTTTTAATAGTGTTAAACATCTCGCTCAAATGTAGATAGTAATTATAATAATCAATAGAGTTTTCAGAACCCAGAAGACTTTGTCGGATGTATTTTTAACAGTGCCATTTTAAAGAGAATAAAATGAATGGTCACAGTATTTTCTATGGGCTTCCCTTAAAAAACCAAAAATGTATAATAAAAACCGAAAAAAGGCGATCTTTTTACGATTTTTGTGATCCGACAACGTCTTCTGGGACCTGAAAACTATCATGTCCGTATTTTTAGAAATCTTGATATAGACTACATTAAATAGAAAACTTAATTGGCTATTAAAGTCGCTATCTATATTTGAGATAATTACTTTATACTATGGAAAAATAAAAACTTAAGAAGTGAAATCTTAATATTTTGAAAATTAGTCAGGAATATTCTATGTTCATTCTTAATTGTTTTTCTGCAATGTGTCATGAATATGTGAACGGTTCGCATGAAAACATCAGTACCGAAAAGTTAAGTACGCAAAAAAGTTGACAGCAAAGGGTGCGTTTAAAGATGCGGACAACTTAGAGAAAGCTCCATAAGTATTTTTTTCTCTTTTTTTATTTGAACTTTCAATTTTTTTTGTCATATTTCACGTTTTGAAGTCTTCTATAAATTGAATGCAGTTCGATGATAGAGAGATCAAAGACGTATCATTTTGCTCCATCAAATAAAATCTTTTCCCAAAAGCTTTGAATGTTAGTCAGAAAGCTGGTTTTAGGTCCTTGGTTTTCCATAGGTCCTCATATAAGCAGTTTTTGTTGAAGTATTCAGAGCTACCAATCCTAATAGGGAATCGTTTTACCTACAAAACAGGTTTATTCAGATTCTTGCTAGCCATTATCGTCGAGAAGAAAACTTCATTTTTTTTTGTGCATTGAGGTTTCCTTCTGTTTGTCATTTTTATGCTTAAGTATCCAAGCTCATCATTCCGGTTCTCACTTTTCATGTTTTCTAGTACTAGTGTTAATAAAGATAGTGCCATTGTGTTCGAAAAAATTAACTAATGTGGTTATCATTAGGAGTATCATTTTTGTGTTTATGAGAAATATATATTTAATTATAGATACCTTTGTATCATATGATCTTTTTGGAAATATTTGCTATGATGACACATGTTGGCTTTTGTGCTATGGGCCCCGGTATGTATTTTTGGTTTTATTATTATTATTATTATTACATAATGTTTTTTATGCATAGGTGCTATACCGTGGATGTTATCAACAGAAATGTTTTTTCAATCCGAGCGTGCTTATGCATCAGCTATTGCTATTATAGTTAATTGGTTGTCAATGTTTTGTATAATCATGACATTTGTTCCACTTTTTGTAAGTAAAATAAGCCATTTTTTTCCATCGAGAAATAAGATAATAATTTTGATTTATTTTTTATCTTAAAGCATGCTGTGGGTGCATTTTTATTTCTTGCTTTTGCTACAATGAGTTGTGGTTTTTGGTTATTAGTTTTTCTATTCGTACCTGAAACACGACGAAAAACACCTGAGTGTGTACAAGTTCTTGTTGCAAAAGGAACCGTTTACAAAGCAAAACATCAAAAATAATTTTGAAAAAAATGTATTGTTCACTTTTTGATATGCCTAGTCATCAGTGCTTATTATGCTACCTCATGTTATATCTCAGATCTGATGAGGAGAGAATTGGATTTCTTTTTTCTTTTTTTTTGTATATAGATTTATATATATATATACGTAATAGTGGATAAAATTAACAAAACAAGATCTTTTTGATTTTTTTATTCTCTATAAAGTTAAGAGTCTAGCTTAAATTCAAAATAGACCATTCTATAACAAGGTTTCATATATGAACTATGATAGGAAGACTTCTAGAGAAAAAAAATCGGTTGTTGCTAGGACGTGGATAACTTTTTCGAGATTTTTTAAAATAGCATTATCTTCTACAGAGCACAAAATTCTGAAGAAAATTAGTCATCGCGGTTTTTTTCTGCGGTGTTTCCCGAAAAAGTTAAAATCATCATAAAAAGATAACGAAAGAAACGGGTTCTGTGTTTGCTTTTTTTTTGTGATAACTGTCGTATTTTTCGTGTCTTGTGATGCTTGCAACTAGAGATCTGCGTGATCATTCCGTCGTGACCAAAAAAAAAACAAAAATTCTTCGATAATAATTTCCACGGTAAATGTGAAAAAATAATTCTGTTTGATGTTTTCTACTCAGAGTTTTAAGCTCTTCAAAATGACACAAAAATGTCAAGGATATGATGATCTATGATGGAGAAAACTGCTGCACATTTGCCGTGACCAGAAACCGTCGTGACCGGTCGTGACTAAAATTGGTCGCGACGAATGCACCGCAGTTTTCTCCACCATAGATCATTATATTCTCGACTTTTTTGTGTCATTTTGAAGAGCTTAAAATTCTGAGTAGAAAACATCAAACAGAACTATTTTTTCACATTCACCGTGGAAACTGTTATCGAATAATTTTCGTTTTTTTGGGTCACGACGGAATGGTCACGCAGATCTCTACTTGCAACCATTTTAGAAATGGTGGAAGAAGATAAGACCGCCGCTCATTTTGTTTAGAATTTTGAATTCTTTAACATGGCACTATTATTAAAAAAAAGCAATTTCAAAAAAGCCATATGACTAATAATCTTTATTTGAGCTCATAATTATGGTTATTTTATTGAATTTTCAGTCTATTGAAAGATATCTTGAGAAAAATTGCAACAAAGAATTTCAGTCTGAAATTCTTCCTCACACCAACAGTAGCTTTCATGGTCCTTATGATATCTTGAAATTTCAGCTCAAACGAATAACTCTTTCTTAAGAAATCGTATGTGTAAAAACTGGGCTATTTTTGGAACTCGTATGTAAAAGTAACGTTTTTTTTTTTTTAATTTTTTTTGTAAACATGTTATCTCAGAAGGGAAACATCTATTTGAGCTGAAACATTCAGGATACCATAAAGGTCATGAGAGCTATTGTTAAGTACAATTTCAGACCGAAACTCCTCGCTGCAATTTTTCTCGACATATTCTACAACAGGATGAAAGGTCAGTACAATGATCATAACTCGAGACGAAATACCTAATGGCAGGAACCTTTCCAGGATTTTTGTTCCTATTGCGACCAAAATATAAACTCAGACGGAGACTATCAATCGAATGAATTTCCATGTGAGACCTAATAACATCTATTTTTTTTTGTTGCTTAAAAACCTTCCCTTTATAATCCATTACTGGAAGCTTGGTAAAGAATGAATCCGATAAAGATCTTCATTGAGTTTTTTATATCACTATTTATATTTGAGTTAGATCCTTGACGTTAAGAGAAACAAAAATATCTTGTTTAATAATATTTGTTCAGTGCTGTATATCTTTAATACATTTTTATTCCAGCATATTATGTTGTCAGTTTCTTTTTTTTTTTGTATTTTATAATGAATCTTTATTGTGTATTTGTTGCATTTATGTTGTTATTATATCTTTTTCTTATTTGGTGAAAATATTCAATGATGTTAATCTAATTGAATATTTTTGAAAATGGTAAATCGTTGAGAGCGAACTATTTTGTATAATATGTCTGTTTTTTTTTGTTGCATTGAATTAAAAGATAATTAACCAGGCAAATACAATTTTTGTTTTGTCAATTATTATAATATCTTTTCGTTTATTTTTCTTTTTCTCTTTACCTTGAATTTATTACAGATAAGAATGATAAGTAAGATCGAAGAATAACAACAAAGACTTGATAGAGAAACTTTTACTGGTTCTTTTATGTCAAGTAAAACGATAACAATTTAAAATTATTCATGGAACGTTGTCTTTTTTTTGTAATACTAGAAGATTCGTAATTCGTTTTAATTGTTGGATTACAAAATGTAGGGGTGTCTTAAGGTCATTCATCAAGATTGAGAAGGGAAGTAAACTATTGAGAAGATAGAGTTTCGCCTCTTGTTGCGGAAATTGGTGAGCAAAAACAATAAAAATTGTTCGGTTGCGCTGAAAAGAAACGTCAATTTTTCAAGGAACATCCTTGACAAAAACTATATTTATATACTACGAATGTCGTATTAGAACAATGTACTTTTGTTTTATTTTGTTATTATCAGAATGTTCTTTACTTGTGATGCAAACCCTATATTCGAATTTTATGTGAATGCATTCAATCTTCCATTTCTACTAACTATCAGTGGTTCTATTGCACTTTAATAAGTACATACCTAGATATAACATGAATATGACAGTTTTCTTGATAATCATGCGTCTTTTGAATATGTTATGCAGACGAATTTCTCTTGATGTTGAATTGATTCTTCTTATATATAGTGCAGTTCTTTCCCGATCAAAGTGATAATTTTTGTCAATTGTAAACTATTGCTATTAATTGAAATTTATCACTAAATAAGATCGATTAATAATTCTATTTCATAAAAATTTATCAAACAAAAATAAAACAATAAAAGAATTTGAAAATAAAATTAATTTATCATTTTTAGAGTAAAATATCATGGATAATGATCCACCTTTAATAAATTTGCTTAATAATGACAATCAAGAAAGATCAATTAAAACTAACGATGATATAAATGTTCAAACAACTACATCTAATATTCTCAACGACAATAATGATTCTCCTTTAGCAAACCGACAAAATCTTGATACAGTATTTTTATATTAAATAGATAAAAAAAAATCAAATATATTTTGATTCTTTTTATAGGGTATAACCAGTACATTATTATTAGCCGTATTTGCGGCAATTAGTGGAACCTCGTTTCATTTTGGTTATGCATCAGGTGTTTTGTAAGTTTATTCAAATTCAAATGATTTTTTTGTACTTTTGTTTTTTGTTAATATGAATAGAAATGCCCCACAAGATGTAAGTAATTCATTGAAATGGAATACTTTGTTTTTTTTGTTTTTAATAGAATAGTTTATAGGTTATAGAAGCATTTATTAATGAAACAATCCATAGACGAGATAATACTACAAACATAAGTCAATCAACTATAACATTAATATTGTACTTTGTCTTCTTTTTTCTTCTTTTATTTTTTAAAATAAAATTTTGTTTTTGTTAGTTCTTTAGCTGTATCTATTTTTGCTCTTGGTGGTATGATCGGTGGTCTATTTGGTGGTTTTATTACTAATCGATTGGGACGGTATAAAGTCAACATTTAGATAAGATCTTTAAAATATATATATATATTTATATATAGAAAAGGCGGAATGTTTTTAAATAATGTAATATCTTCGATAGCTTGCGTATTAATGTTTCTTTCAAAACTTATTTATTCCTATGAACTTTTAATTGGTGGACGATTTTTAATTGGACTTGCTTGTGGTAAAAAGAAAATTATTTCGTTATAAATTATTGGATTTATTATTTTAATTAAGGTTATGGTTCATCGGTTGCACCAACTTATATAAATGAAATATCACCAAGAAATTTACGTGGCACATTAGGTGCTTCATTTCAATTGGGAATTGTTGGTACACTTTTTGTTTCACAAGCAATTAGTTTACATTCGGTATTAGGTTCTGAAGATAAATGGCATTATGCTTTAGGTAAAAAATCAAAAACAAAAATTATCGTGAAATAATTTTCTTTTGTTTTTAATCAGGTTTACCAATTGTATTTAGTGTTATGCAAGTAATATTACTTTTCTTTGTACCAGAAAGTCCAAAATATTTATTAATTAAAAAAAATAATATAATTGATGCTGAAAAAGGTTAGCTTTATTTTTAATTAAAGAAACAAAAAAAGAAACAAAAAAAAAGAAAGCTTGATTACATTTTACAGTTTTTAAAGAAAAAATGATTTCATCACTCATCAAAAAAATATAATTGTTCATTATTATTGATTGAATATGATCCTTTTTTTGGAAGAAATTGTGATTCTGATGTAGTTTCTTCTGGTTCGGGTTCTGGTGTTGATCCTTGACCAATAGATTCTGTTGTTGTTTCTTGAACTTCAGGTTGTTCAGTTGTTGAACTTCCTGAAATACTAGTTGTACTAGTACCTGTATTATCAGTATTCTTTATTCTGAAAAGAAGAGCTGGACTAATGAGAATATATTTTCCATGGAAGATCTTTTTAGCTGTAAATGCTGGCCATGGACGTCCTAATTTTTGAGCAAGACGACCTGGTATACGAATATATTTTGGTGAACGATATTTAACCCATTTATGTCCATTAGATTCTTGAGATACTTCATTCTCGGTATTTTGATGAGACTGACCTGACCATGGCCATGCCATAGTAAAAGTAATCAAAAGACCAAAAGTCAACAGAAAGATTGATGTTGAATGCATGGTTGTTGTTGGTGTTCAGATAAATGTTGTAATGATTGATATAATTGATCTTCTTTCGTACGCATGTATATATATATACATCAATTTAGAAGCTAATGTCAATATTTTGACAACAGGATTTTAGTATTAAGTAGTTAAATCTAGAAGTGATAAAAGAAGATATGCACTTCATGAAAAACAAAATGAACAATGGAAAATAAAAATAGAAGCCCTTGATTAACTAATATATTTAAGAAAAAAATAAATATCTATTGAGTTCAAATGAATTATATGGTACGAGCAAATTTATTTTATTGGGTTAATCGGTGAAAACGAATATGATAGTTACAATAACTTCGTGAAACGCAATAAATGAGTTAGAATAGCGGATGCGCAATTTTGACGCAAATACTGAAATACTGACAGCGATTTACTGATAGTGAATCTACTATCACGCTGACTATACACCGATTCAGTGTATAGTCAGTGGGAGTGTTCAGTGAACAGATTATTAAAACTGCACATTCTTAAGTTTCATTACATGATAATTTAACATATTCTTCGGATGTTTTCCAATATGTTGTAAAAGTTTATTATTGTGTCTGATTAATATACAATTTATTGTGAGATGAGAAGGACTAATTTTATTGCTTTTTTTTCAAAGTCATCAAAATCATCTTAAAATTGAAGACATATGAAAGGTTAAGTAAATCAATAGTCAGCTGAATATCATCTGAATGAGTGTACATCTAATTAAAAGTTTCCAACTTAAAGAAAGATAACGATAGTAGAGTTCTAAATCTTAAACATCTCAAAAAGTTTCGTTTCCAAAAAACTCAAGTTTGAAATTTTTCGTATCTACACATTGAGACTTTAGCATATGATAGAATCAGAAATGAGGATAGAACAACTTCTTTAGTCGTCTGCTATTCATTCATATTCTGATCCTGCAAAGCAGATATACAATTTATAGTTACATTTCATTCTATTTCATTTTGTTGATAAATAACATAACTATTTTCTTCAATAGTGCTTTATTAAAAAAAGAAATACTTGTCGCACTTTTCTAAATGAAGATAACGTTGTTTTTCTTCTATAATGAATTGCACTTTAAAAAATTTGTTACTTGCAGGAGTAGCTGATATCGAGTGAATTGATCAAGTTATGCTAGATAACAAACAACATTTTTCTTTTCTATGATTTTTAAATCATAAAGAGATCAATTATTTTTCTCGTTCATATGAACTGAACATATTTATTTTTAATGCGATGTAGTTTGAATAATTCGGTGATTTTTGAAAGAAACGAGAGAATAGAACAATCTGAAAAGTCGTACTTTTTAATTTTACAATCCTAATTTTGAATTGACAAGAATAGCAATGTTTGTTTTTCATTCGATTAATATGATGCAAGAAAAGAAGAAAATACATTTATTTTAAACACAATTTTTTTTTAAAACACCTCTTTATTCACTAAATAATTATATAATCAATGAAAGCATTTTACCAAAGATAAATGTTTTTTTCGACTTCTCAAGTTTCGCTTCAGGATCCACTCAATGATGTAACATCTCTTATCTGCTAAACTATTAGAAAACTTCTGAAACGCATTTGATTGACCAGTTAATATTTTCCTCGATATATATATATGTCACATAACATTTTTCTTGAAATGTGTGTTTAGACACAGACGAACGAAGCAGAATAGTATATTGTTAGCAATAGATCGTTTATAAAGTTCTCTACAAAAAAATATAGGGTCACATAGTTGTAGATTACATAGTTCGATTTTGTTCGTGTACACTCGTGAGAAAAGGATTAACTTTCATATTCAAATATTTATTGAGCTAATACACTCTTTTTTATATTAAATGTCCAACTAATATTGTTATCGTCTAATTGTCCTCTACACTTATATGAACATCAAAGTCTTTATTTGGCTCATTACAGAGCAGAGATGGGCAAGTCAGAGGTCATTAAGGTTCAAGTCGAGTAAAGTCAAAACATGACTTGACTTGTGCATCTCTGTTACAGAGCAGATTTTAAAGTGCAGGACGAGTTGACGCATCTTATATATTTGACAGAAGAGTGATTCTTAGTTTACTTTCCACAAACCTCAATTTCCAACTAATATGATTCAATTAGACATAACACCATACGAGGATGAGGATGGCATGTGAAAAAATGAAGATTTATCTCATAGAGTGAAGGCAAAAATTATATTTCTTGTCGAATAGCGAAAAATACAGAAGACAGAAATTTCAAAGGAAAGCAAAACAATATGAATTATAGGAAAGTTTTAAAACAATTACTACTTGCTCTCACGACAGATTTCATGCTCAATTCGAAGAAGTTTACGAAACCTTTCATATTTATACTCATATCTAATGTTTATTATTCGTGAATAGATTATTAATTATTTCCTGAATCTCTTTTAATTATTTCTCTATGATGCTAAGAGATTTCCCTTTTTTGTCGACTTTCTTTTTCAGCTTAGAATAATTTTTTATTAATGACTATTATTTTTCTTTAGCACTTCGATGGCTTCGTAAATACTCGCATGTTCATCATGAAGTATCCGAAATGCAAGATGAACAAAGTCAACAACAACAATCAGTAAATAATTGTTTTGTCTTGTATTTTTTTAATTGATTTAATTCTATATTTAGGCTCGAATGATTGATTTATTTTTAACACCAACAGTTCGTTGGGCATTATTTATAACAGTATTTCTTCAATTATCTCAACAATTTTCTGGTATAAATGCAGTTATTTATTATTCAACTGTTATATTTCAATCAGCTGGTTATGAAAAAGGTATCGCTGAATATGCAAATTTAGGTTTAGGTGCAACAAATGTATTTGTTACAATAATAAGTGTTTTTCTTATGGATCGTCTTGGACGACGTATTCTTCATTTAACTGGTATTGGTGGAATGTTTGTAACAAGTTTACTACTTGTTATATCACTTGTTGTTCAATCGACTGCGTTTTGGAATAAAGTTTCACTTATAACGACTATATTATTTATTGCTTTTTTTGCTATTGGACCTGGTTCAATACCATGGCTAATTACATCAGAATTATTTAATCAAACATTTTGTGTACCAGCTTCAAGTATTGCTGTACTTGTTAATTGGTCAGCTAATTTTGCAGTCGGTCTTGGTTTTAAACCTATTTTCACGGTAAATTTGAAAGAGAATTTTTCTATGATTTTTTTTTAATGTTTCGTTTTTTTTTCTCTAGGATTTATTGCATAAATATACATTTCTTATATTTACAGGACTTTTATTAATATTTTTTCTTTTGACATTTTTCTTCGTACCAGAAACAAAAGCAAAAACTGTTGATACAATCTATGCAGAAATAAACGCTGGTCAAGTATGGAGAAAACGTCGACCACAAAGTCAATATCATGAAGATCGACTCGGAGGCAATAATGATGTTGGTAGTACTGTTGGTTATGGAGTTTTAACATCAGCATAAATTATTATTTTTAGTGAAAAAATCACTTTTTTATTTCTTATTCACTTGGATTAAATTATTACAGTTTTATTTATTTATTTAAATTAGCTATTTATAAAATAAATCCTGCAATTAAAATATTAAAATGACATTAGTCGAAAATTTTTATAAAAAAAGGGATTTTTTTTCTTCGGATTGATCGATTTAAATCGAAATCATTATAATTTATTGAATAGTCATTGATTTTAACCTTTAGAAGGGTAAATTCAAATTAGATCTGTATGAGATGTAAGGAAATTTTTGATAGAAACAGTTTGACATTATCGTTATAAGTTTATGACGAGTGATGATAATTTAATAAAAATGAACAATATTGATATCATCGTGTCTACGTGCAAAATTCGATGATCACAATAGTGTTTTCAAGCTTTCTTCGTTTGTATTGTACTAATTATTTTTTTTTTGCTTTGACTAAGCGCTTTTCATTGGATCCTGAATGCTGTTTTCTATTTGTGAAACTAATATATTGTTTGATAAAATGATACATTTTACTACTCGAGTAAATATAGCTATCACCTTTTCTAACCTCTAACGGCCATCTTTATGAAATATTTCGTTAGTGTTTGATGTATTGTGAAATTTCAATTTATCTAATTCTAAACTCGTAGGGTAAAATGCAGTGCGCTATATGTAATTAATTAATTATTCTTTGGTAATTAGAACGACGCAAATAAGAAGCTGAAAACAAATACCATGCTTTCAGCGCACAACAAAATTAGGTTGGCTTTTTTCATGGCATTTTTGTTTGTTAGTACCGATAAAAAACAATGAATACAAGTCAGTCAGTACGAGAACAAAAAGTTCTGCTGTTCAGATTTTACTCATACAAAAGTATTCTATTAGTATATTTGCTTGACATGATATCTGTCTTGTTGCACCCTGAAGCACAGACACAAAACCAAGAAATTTTCGAAAACATTTATTTTCCTATGGTAGAGGAAGAAGACTAAAAACATCCTATAGATATTTTTTGATAACAACATTGTCTTAATATGAACATTAAAAATTGTTAACAATTTTCTTCTTTTACTTTTATAGTGCCTAACTTATAATATTTAACAGTTCGTACTCTTGATGTTGAAAATGTTGTAATTTAAAATATTGTCAATTTTGCGAAAACTTCATCTAGTGCGACACAGTAGTCTATAAATAATGACCAATTAGTCTATTTATTGTACTAAAAGATGTACTCATTTTTCAATGAAATTACGTGATCATCAGTATTTATTTTGATATTCATCGATGTCTAATACTAACACAGTTTCATTTCGATTGATTTGAAATCTCAAATGAAAAGATACTTCATTAAAATTAAGATTTTCTTTTCATTACGAAATTTCTCAACTCATGAACCCTTTTTTTAATTCACAGTAGAAGTAACACAACATTGTTTAATATTTTAACTTAGAGAAATTTGACTAAAAGTTTATTTTCTACCCCTTGATCATTTTAGGCATAAACCAAACCCGATCGTTCTTTAGTGCAGTCATTTACAAT